ACTGTTACTAAAACTGGAACTGATGGAACTAACACTTTGGTAATTGAAACTCCAGCTCCAAAATCGAGCATAACCGTTACTACTTCATGGACTGGTAGTTTTACCACCTTTACTACCGTCACTGGCACGGATGGTGTTGAAACTTTGATCATCGAAGTGCCAGTTTCAACCAACATTCAAAGCTCTGTTGTCACCTTGACACCAAGCAGTTCTAGAAGACTTCCTTGGAATTCCAGTTCCATAGAACGCTCTAGTGGTATTGAAACTATTTCATCACCTTCTTCAATTCTATTGACTACTACTTCTTCCCCTTCGGTTGAGTCTTCAAGTCTCATTTCAAGCTCAATTAACCCTACTTCGTCTTTTATTTCATCCGCAACTCATTCTCAAGAAATGTCTAATTCTGCTGCCCCTCCTTCGAGATCTGGTGGTGACCATGGAATTCCAGTGAGTACTGTTGACTCGACTACCGTCACATTGCTTCCAACCCCAAGCAATGTTTCCACTGATTCTAGTGCAACCGTTACACTGGTTTCTTCAAATTCTAGTCCAGAACAAAATGGCAACACAGTAACCACTATGGTGTCCAGTAACAGTCACCCAGCTGTTTCTGCATCAGTATACGTACCTTTGATTTCTAGTTATGAGGGTTGGGCATCGAGACTTCAAGCTTCTAAGCTCTTATTTGCATTGCTTCCATTATTTGCATTCTAATTCTGCTCAAATGCAGCTCCAGCATTTTATACTCATTATTTCGGTATCTTAAAATCCAATTGATAGATTAAAGATTTTCAAAAAGAAGTGTAAATCTCACTGTTTGGATTTTTCCTATAGCCTGAGTGAACTGAGTTCCCCTTTTCATATTGGGAAGTTAGAAAATTGATTGTTTCCAGAGTATTTAGCGGGGAAATTTTAAACAGTGGTAGTAATAGACAAAGCTGTAGCACTGTAGTTCCAGTCGAATCGTCTAAAACTACCGGGAGTTCAACTGCAAAATGAATTGGAACTCACATTTACTGGTATACAGACGACGCTAAGTGAGGCATTATTAGAAATGATAAAGGTTGCGCTGACAAATCTATCGATACTGATGCTACTTTTAGTGGGTTGCAGTCTCTAGTTCAGCCTGAATAGATTTTCTTGGTTAGATTTCGCAATCCATTTAATCTTGGGGATTTGTTCTTATGATTTTGTAGAAGATTGAACAGTTCAGTACTTTGAACTTTGCTGCGTGAACTTAATCTGAGACTCTCGCAATTATCACAACGTGAATCTCTTATCTGCTACTCTTAATTGTTTGTTTTCAAATTTTAAAGAAATATTCCTGACCATTACTGTTTATTTGGTATTCAGTTTGTCCAAATCAAGTACAATTTACAAAGACTTCTAGGATGAGCCTGTTTATGACCTTCAGTCATTTGATTTATCTTGATTTTATTCCAATGTCAGACTGACTTGTCTCTCTATTATAATTACTAAAATGTATTTCACCTATTGTTTCTATCGTATGGTGACTATCTTTCCATTAAGTTGATTCATATGGTAACCCTTAAAATGCGTAAGCGAAAGTTGCAAACATCACAGTGAAGAGCTTAGAAACTTCAATTCTTGATGCCCATCCTTCGTACCTAGAGGCCGAAATTTGGAAGGGCCTAAGTGTTGTAGAAGCTACCAAACCGCTTGGATAATTGGCATTATTGCTAACCGTAATAGTACTTCTTGTATTGCCATGATATTCCGAGTAATTGTGAGGATTCATCGACAACAGTGGAATAATGTCAGCAGATGAAGTTGATATTTCACTTATCTCAGTCGCGGTGTCATTGGATATCACTCTTGAACTACTAGGTATAGTATAAGTTTGGGAAACTGAGCTGGGAACTGAGCTGGGAACAACTATTCCTGTTGTAATACCCAGTTCCCTACTATCACTCTGACTAAATTTTGATGAGCTTTCATTACCATTAGAAGTTCTTTGGACAGTGGAGAAAGTATGTGTAATTCCTGATTCAGAAAGAGGTTCTGAAGTAGTTCCAGGATGAATGGATAAAGACAAAGACAACGTCGAAAATGTGGTTTGAAATGAAGAAGATACCGGTGCTAAAGACGAAATTCTCAGGTAGTTTGAGGAGAAGCTTCGTGTTGGAAGTATCACTGATGAAAAGACAGATGATCCAGAAGTTGAACAAATTGATGAAATAGTAGACATAAATGTTGAAGATAATGATCGAGATGATCCAATGAGGATTGACAGTGGCATAGTTGAGAAAATATTTGATGTTGTTGTCAGACTATATCCACCAGCAGAATTCAGGGAGGCTGAAGTAAGGACTGATGTGGGAGCAACTGATCTTGTAGTATTCCCCGCATCAATAGAACTTGGATAACTACCACTCTGACTAGATCTTGATGAGCTTTCATCAGTATTCGAAGTTCCTTGGAGAGTAGAGGAAGTTCGAGCAATTCCCAACTCAGAAAGTGCTTCCGAACTAGCTCCAGGGTGGATGGATATAGTAAGAGACAATGACGAAAACGGAGTTGAAAAAGAAGAAAATACCGGTGCTAATGACGAAATTTCCAGGTAGGCAGAGGAAAAGCTTCTTGTTGGAAATATCCCTGAAGTAAAATCAGTTGAATCAGGATTTGAATGAATTGATGAAGTGGTCGAAATGAAGGTTGAAATGAATGAAGTAGTTGGATCGATACTACTTGACAGTCTGATGTTACTGGAGTTCCAAGGAAGACCTCTGGAACTAATTGCAGTTGCAGAGGATAAGGTGCTAACAACAGCGGTGCTACTTTGACTCCTGGATGATTCACGACTAGGAGGAACAGGAATCTCAATGATGACTGTGTCAAAACCTTCAGAGACAGTTGCAGTTGTCGTTGTTGTAAAAGAGCCAGTCCATGGAGCAGTCACAGTTGTGGTAGGATTCCTTCTGACAGGGGTTCTGATTATAACAGTGTTGATTTCATTCCCTGTTGCCGTAGTACTGGTGGTAAATGATCCTGTCCATGGGCTAGTTACAGTCACGGTAGAATAGGGCAACTTGCTGATCAGGGATTCAGAATCACCATCAGTAGCGGATGTGGTGGCTGAGAAAGTTTCTGTAGGTGTAGCAGTGACGGAGGCAGTTTCATTGCTTGCAGTAGGGGTCTCAATGACAACAGTATCAGTTCCATCGCCCCTAATGGTCACAGTAGTCGTGAATGAGCCAGTCCATGGCATAGTTACAAAAAATTGTGGGAATGGAACTCTGACGACCACAGTTCTACTGCCATCCGGCCCAGTTGCAGTGTCAGTACTTGTTTCAGTTCCGGTCCATACAGAGGTAACAGTGGGAACGGGAATCAGAGTCCTAATGATCAACGTATTAGTGCCATCAGTACCAGTAGCCGTGGTGGTGGTGATATCAGTACCCATCCATGGACTCGTAATAGTGACTGTAGGAATCGGAGTCTTGATGACCTCTGTGATAGTACCATTGCCATATTCAATGGTAGTAGTGGTGTCAGTTCCAGTCCATGGAGAAGTTATGGTGGTTGTACTGATAGGTGGGTCTATGGTCACAGTACTTGAGCCGTCATTTCCAATGGGAGAGGAAATGGAATCAGTTACTGTCCACATTGTAGTATCAGTAGTATTAGGAACAGGTGTCTCAATAATCACGGTGTTAGTACCATTACCTGTGGCCGTAGTGGTCGTTATGAATGTACCAGTCCATGGACTTGTAATAGTGACAGTTGCAGTCCTTGGAACTGATGTCACAGTAGACACTGAGTCGGTAACACTGCTGATTGCAGCAACAGAACTAGTTGAAAATTCTGTTGATGAATTACTCGCAGTATCAGACGAACTGGGAGTCTCAATGATCACAGTGTCTGTTTCATTTCCTGGAATCGTCACTGTAGTGGTAAATGAGCCGGTCCAGTCTGATGTCAAAGTTAACTGAGGAATTGGAGTCCTAATAACTACTGTGTTGGTACCGTCTCCGGTTGCAATAGACGTCGTGGTGGCAGTTCCAGTCCACCGAGTTGCAATTGAAGTAGTAGGAATTGGTAACTCGATTATTAAAGTATTTGTTCCATCTACTCCAGTGACAGTAACTGAGCTAACATCCGTCCCAGTCCAGGCAGTAGTAATAGTCCTTGTAGGAATTGGAGTTTCGATGACTAACATATTAGTTCCATCAGTTCCAGTTACAGTTAATGAGGTGATATCAGAGCCAGTCCATGGGGTAGTAATTGTCACTGTAGGGATTGGAGTCTCAATTACTAAAGTATTAGTTCCATCAGTACCAGTGACAGTAACAGAAGTGATATCAGTGCCAGTCCACGGAGTTGTTACAGTAACTGTAGGGATTGGGGTCTCAATTACCAAAGTATTAGTACCATCAGTTCCAGTAACAATTACGGATGTTGTATCAGTTCCAGTCCATGGTGTAGTGATTGTCACAGTTGGAATTGGGGTCTCAATTACCAAAGTATTAGTGCCATCAGTACCTGTAACAGTCATTGAAGTGATATCAGAGCCAGTCCAAGGAACAGTAATGGTTGCAGTAGGAATTGGTGTTTCAATCACTAACGTATTAGTGCCATCTACTCCAGTGATAGTTACAGATGTTGTATCAGTTCCAGTCCATGGTGTAGTAATTGTAACTGTAGGGATTGGGGTCTCAATTACTAAAGTATTAGTTCCATCTACTCCAGTAACAGTGATAGTCGTGGTATCACTTCCAGTCCACCGAGTTGTTACAGTAACTGTAGGGATTGGGGTCTCAATGGCCAATGTGTTAGTTCCATCAGTACCAGTGATAGTAACAGAAGTAGTGTCAGCTCCAGTCCACGGGGTAGTAATTGTAACTGTCGGGACTGGGGTTTCAATAATTAGAGTATTGGTTCCATCATCTCCAGTAGCAGTGGTGGTCGTGGTATCACTTCCAGTCCAGCCTGTTGTTATTGTGACGGTAGGAATGAGGATCTCGATAATTACTGTGTTGGTACCTTCGCCAATTGCAGTCGTGGAGGTGGTGAATGACCCAGACCATGCGGTAGTGATGGTAGTGGTAGTAATCGGAACTTCAATTATCTCGGTATTGGTGCCATCGTTTCCAAACGCTGTGGAGGTAATGGTGATTGTTCCGGTACATGGAGTGGTAACAGTGGTTATCGGCCTTGGTATGATACGCCCACTAGATCCTGCTTCCTCGTTAACTAAACGGTTGTATATAGTCAGATAAGCATCCGTGTATTCTGTTCCATCATCGCATGCATTTGAAACGCTGACTTGAACCTGGATAGCATCACTTGTAGGATCGCTAAAGGCGAAATTCATGTATGGACGAAGTCCAGGTGCTAGGTCGTTAACGAGAAACAATACTCTTCCAGGCGAGCATTCCGTATAGAAATCGAAATCACCTGGTTCACTGGACTCAGGAAAACTCCAATCGTTTATTCCATTGGTAACATGAGGCTCGAGTGAATCACAATCAATTGCAGCGTTTATACCTCCCACACTTACTGTCATAGCCACCAAGCTGACAGAAGTTTGACCTTGGCAATTACCGCTCCCCATCACCAATGCTTGAAGATTATTGCTTGCTGGTAGACTTTTGATGTAGTTATTCAAGAGGAGTAAGTCTTTACCATTCTCGGAACCTTCATTAAAATCCACAACTGTACTAAGCAGACTACTGCCATCTAAGAACGCAATATTGTTTCTTCCTGATGTGATTTTAACTGCACACTCTAGATCTGCTGGAGAAGACGATCCACCACCATTGAAAGTAACAGGAAAGAACACAGTACCCTCGACCACGTCTCCCAAAAGTATATCATTGGTGACAGTGCACTGTATTGTGGAATATGGAAGCGAAACTCCGCCAGCTGTCACTAAACAAGTGGCATATGTTTTCCCTTCAGCTTGCAAGTCCAATGTATTGCTTCCCAGTGGAATTGAGAAAACACAAGGCATAGTAAGAGTGAATGTATCATCGGGTGAAACCAAAGTGGAATCCATTCCCCAGACAAGCGTAGCAATCCAACTGGGTGTTGCAGGTATGGGATTTAAAGCATTATTCTGACATTTGAAAACAATAGAGTCAAGACTGGTGAACACACCAGAGATTTCTTTCCCAGATGCTACAATAAACGTTGCAGCAATAGCTAGAATATTCAGCAACTTCATAGCGTTCTTGGGGGTCCAATTGTATAGAAATTGAAAAAGTTATATTCTGAAAATTAAGAGTAATACACTAGTAGCTCATTCTATGACTTATTATCCTTTCCTTAAGTATAGAATTGAAGACATGCAGAATATTAGTCCACCGCTCATGCTGCTCTTCTTTTAGTAATGTGCCGCAAAGCTTCTTCACAGTATTATCCGAATCTTTAAATATATTCTATAACTTTTCTTTTGTCCAACTGCAATGCTGACAAGGCCACTTAATCAGATAACTCAATCAGTCATTTTACTAATTGAGTACTTGCTCTAGCCATTCATAGTCACGCATTAAGTTATGACCAGCCGGTAATGCGTGTAGTATGCAGCAAAAAGAAATCCTTCAATTATAATGTTGAGAGGACAGAAAGTAAATCAATGTCTTCTATATTTCAGCTCATTGGCGAGTGGCTTTTTACTTCTCTATGGTTATTGAAACATGAATCTATATCGTAGTCAATTTAAATAGTATTTTTTTAGTAGTTTCTTTTGATGGGGTGGAGCTCGGCAAGTTGCAAACTTTGCCGTTTATCGCACAATTTTACACTCCACTCCACAAACGGCGACTTTCTAACTTTCGCCGAACCTACTTTCTTTTAGCCAAGATCATTATTACCTAATAGTATATCAACTAAAAGTAATTGTGCTAGAAGGCCACTGAAAATTATTACTGATACCTTTTCTTAGTAGATTGTGCACTATTTCTCATCGAACTTGAATTAGAATTTTGACTGTTACCTATTACCTTGGTAGTTAAGCTTTGATACAAACTTTAATATAGAACAAGATACCTAGAATGTATAAGATATACAAGCTCCGAAACCTACTTTCCATAATAGTGTATGCCCGAGATTTGCCTGAATCGAGCCGAAGATATTCCTCCTTATTTGTCGCTTTTGGATTTAAAGTCGCAACGGTAATTCAAAACTCTAAAATTCTCGAATACGAGCTATCCGAATGGGGCTTTATTGTTTTGGTGCATAATAATATACCTTATTGTTAAGCAAGATCGTTCTACTCTGGCATTTTATTTTGAAGAGGAAGATAAGTTTAAAGAAACTATGGTAAGCCGATGCAAGTAATATACTCAAACAGTAGATAGCCCTTGGATATGTTGGCAAGTAACCCAACAAGAGCGATAGTACTTCCTCTCTATGTCATGAAAACTTCACTTTGTTCCAAGCACGCATCTCTACTCCCGTATTTCCCAGCCGCTGCAGCTTGCTGCTTCTCCAGAAAATAAAGAGGAGATATATTCACGGAGATAAACGATTACGGGCTAAATCATAACTTATTGTCACTCATTTGAGGTATAGAATCGATATTATTTTCTTTTTAATGCTCCTAAACAAACAGTTTGTTAGTGTCCGATCTACATTTAAATAATATTCTTGGAGAATTATAGAATGAGCAGCACACGAATTTATAGCTCTAACGTTTCCTTTCTCTAATGAAAACCCACTGCATTTGAAGGTTAAGGTTTACAGAAAGCTACTGCTACTGTTCATTAAATTCGTCAACGGTAGTTGACTAAGCACGAGTCATTAGTGAGAGGCAGTTCGGGCCGAGAGAAGTACTTGCCGCTACTAAACTTAAGCTGGCCAACCACAATTTACACTTCACTTCATGCTATTAGAGATTGAAAATCTATGAAAGTCTAAATTTAAAAATGTCACAATGGATCTCAAACATCCAAATATAAACTTCAGCTCAGTTTTTACTCAAACCGATTTGCATACTGGGAAATATATCAATTTATGACTTAGATTTCGTTGGACAGCTTGAGGCTTAAAATCCATTATCATTCTTAAAGCAGTAAGCATATAAATAACTCAAGAGAGGTTAAATTAAATTGAATAGGAGTACTTTTGAATTTATCTCTAAAGGGAATAGACTGCCGACTGGCTCGATTTTATGCTATTATGACTCCGCCAATAGGTTCAGCTTCCATCCCTTAATGAGTTGCCGTTCGATAAAAGTACTAACAGGAAGTTAATGGTGCAGATAATATTGATACTTCTCCGGTTTTGTTGAAATCAAAAGTTTTCAATCTTTGGGGATAGAATTTCGTTGAACGTTTAATCCACTTCAGACTCCTTACTGCTTCATTGGTATATTCCACGATATCTTAAAATGATCGATAGTTTAGTCAACTTTTGCAAGTTCTATGCATGATTTTTGATATCAAGATAGTATCATAAACGCAAGAATCAACTCTACAACAAATTTGGACCTAATTAAATCTTGTGAAAATTCTGGTCTTGTTGGATCCTGATCTCCGTGTTTCTCGGTTGAAAATTCTATTGATAATTATCAAATAATTGCAACTTACAATATTATTTGAGAAGGCAATCAGTTAATTTGAAGGGGCTGGTGAAATAGGATAATATGATCAATGACTACTCTTGGCTAGTTGGATTTTAGGATTTACTCAGTTATGATGCGTCCGCCACAGTAGCCCCAAAAGTACTGCTGGGGGAGGGGGGGGGGACTATACCTTAAGTTTCCCATAGATATGAAAAATCAATGTTGCCGAAGTTCCCGGAAATGGTCGAGGACTGATGAGATGATGGCGAGAATGATATTAGTGAGCATGAGATGTGTTTCACTAATTTATTCATTTGAAGGACAAGAAGCTACCATGGACTGGTAGTAGGTTCCTCAATACCATCCCTTTGCCCCACCGATAGGAAACGACCCTGTGCGAGAAGTTATGTAGTTTCTCTGTGTGATGTTGGCATTGGGCAAGACTGCAAACAAAACTAAATTAAGCAACATTCATTTGAAAAATTCCGACCAACAAAGGAAATAAGAATTAACCATTTCCTTAACCTTTCATTGATACTCAGAACTAGCTGATAAGCATATAGTACCATCATTCCTGGTGTAAGGTACCTTTGGGGGATAGTATTGAATACATTGCAAACTGAAAGAAAAGAGCTACAACTTACAAATTCCAGATTGGTTGACATATGTACACGTAATGCAACCAATCTATCCCCAGGAAATTCCATCCCAGTGTAAACGCTTTAGAATGAGAAAGGTCAACCGTATTGCCAACTGAGATACTTTAACCAGCTTAATAAATATTAGTGATGGTTCATATCTATGACAATTGGGATGGGAACCTTACTTTTCCATATTGAAATTCGTTTTGTTAATTCTCTACATTATTGAATTTAAGATTTTCGTCTCAATTAAAGTACTTATGCGTGGTTGTTTGATATGTTACTGCAGGATTATTGCTTACCGACCTTCAAAAGTTGGGCAATAGCGTCGGTAATACATTGTTCAAGGCTGACCTTTTCAAAACCCAAAAGATCAACAGACTTGGAGTCGTCCATTTGGCCGAAGGCAGCAGATGAAAGGGCTTCCTGAGCAGCAGGAGCGTCGAATTTTGGCAATCTGTCCTTCAATTCTGGGAAGTTCTTGAGCATGATCTGAGCGACAACACCAGCGTTGTACTTGCCGTTTTGGACAATAATTCTCTTACCAGCAGCATCCTTGTTTTCCAAAGCGACGATGTGAGCCTTACTGACGTCTCTAACATCAACCCAACGACCCTTGATAGCTGGTAATTCTGCGTCTGGTCCGGCCTTGAGCAAAGAGTTGATCAATTCAGAACTAGTACCCAAGGTCTTTGCGGCTTCAGCATCGAAAGCTTGAGGACCAAACACGAAGGATGGGTTAACAACAGAAACTGCGAAGGATGGCTTTTCTTCGTCAACGAATTTCCAGACTTCCCTTTCAGCAAATGCCTTAGATGCAGAGTAACCAATGAAACCGTTGGTGGAGGCTTGTTCCCAGGAGATTTCGGTCCAGGATTCTTCGTTGATGACGGTGGTCATTGGCAAATGTGGGTTGACGAGGAAAGAGGAGCCGACGGCAGCAACGGAGGAGGTAACAATAAAGTTCTTGAGGTTGCTACCGTACTTCTTGGCAGAGGCCAATGCGTTCTTGGTACCGTTGATGGCTGGCTGCAAGAGTCTTTCTGGGATGTTGTCGTTGCCGTAGTGGAATGGAGAAGCAGTGTGGAAGAAGGCAGTGATTTCTGGGTTCTTTTGCAACACGTCGTCGAAGGCGGTTTCCGACTCGATGTCTTCAACGATGGTGTACTCGAAGTTTTTTGGGAAGTAGCCAGTCAAAAGGTCTCCCTTTTCGGCGGATCTAACACTACCGATGACCTTGTAGCCCTTGGCGATCAAGTCTCTGACAAGATGTTGGGCGATGAATCCGGTTGCGCCTGAGAGAAAAACGGTGGACATTGTGTATTAGTGTGTGTAGTAGGTCAAGTCAATTGGGTCAATTGAATCTGATACTGGTTCCTAGGAGGGGAAAGGGGTCCTTTTATAGCCACTGGGGTAGATAATAGCGGGTATCGGAATATAGGGCAAAGTGCATGTTAGAGCCCAGGTTTTACGGGTTTCCCCGCTATTAGTAGATGCGGATATTATGGAATCGTTCGGTAGCGCCCGTGGCGGCGTTAAGTCTTCTGGCGACACTTCAAGCTTACTTGACAGATTTTCCGGGTCCGAGACGTCCCACGCTGGCTGGCTGGCCTGGACCACCAGCTCTGCTTGTGTGTGTCTTTGGAGCATCGAAGCACCGCTATTTCTGGCTTGCTTAAGCGGCTGAAGACAGAAGCCCAGACATGTCTGGGCGGAAGTGGCTGCGCGTTTTGCCAATAGCACACTCCGGCCGGGTTAATTGCTGACAGTGAGGGTCCAATGGGAACATAGAAAGTGCCGATCTTCCTGTCGTCACAGCAGGTGAACTGCTGACAAATTACTGTGGCTACCAGGAATTTGGGAACCGTTATCTGCCCAACATCGCACAATTTTGCAGTTTGGGTGCCGTACAAACCCCGGCTGAGAATTCCTAATAGCCGCGTACAAGCGAAAGTAAGAGATGTTCCAAATCCGACAATTAGTATAGTTATCGCCGTCTTTTGACGGTGTTGTGGATCTATAACATGTTTTTACACCTGGGGCAGAAACACGCGGTCTTTGGAAAGATTCTTCCAAATATTTTCCCGTAGTCGCCACAGACCGTGTAAGTCCCCAGCATTAATCATCATAGCGTCAGTGGCTCTATGAGTTAGCCCTCAAAAGCAAGACACATCTGAAAATTATAGTGAAAAGGAAGTGCACTTGAAAAATACCAGATGTCAAAATAGTGAGTGCAGGACCTAGAAGTTTTCTGCTGAGTGAGAGTTCAGTCACCCTTAATATATTTGAATTATGATTATGTATTCGTAGAAACTAAATCTGTATCATACTCGCCGACACACTCCAGCTATGTACTGCCCATCAAGCAACCGAGTTGTCGTGGAGCCGGTAGATACTGCAGCTGTAAGAATAGTTCATCCCATTCCAATCCGCCAACAGAAAGCTAATTGGTCCACGAACAGTCTCACAAAGATAGACATCCCCAAATCCTCATGATTGCAACCCCATTCTGCATGTAGAAGTAGAGCATTATTTGTTGGGGAGATACAAAGCGAGTCCAAGTTAATCGCCGTGGGCCTGCTGGCAATGGTATCTTAGTGAGGTAGCGACACCAGAGAACAGCATCTACGCCCGCCAATCCGGTGTTATGTCAGCTGAAGTCCAGTACATGTTAGAAACGGATACTTCTAACACATGTTTTTCGCGACCAATGATTCAATGGCAGTTGTTGCCACCTTGGAACCAGCATTGTTGTCTTGAACGATGCTTTGCCAAACGGATGGCATCTCCCCTTTAATTGTCCCACCGTAATCTTTGGAAAACCTCGCATCGCAAAAAATTGATGTATGCTTCTCTCGTTCCTCTGTTAAAGCTCGGGGATATTTGCCGGGGTCATTGCAAAAATGCAATCAAGACAATACTAAGCTAATTTTGTAGCAGACTAGATGTGTCTCAAACGTAGAACCGTTCTAAAGCATTTCTGATACTTTAAGCGTATCGGAGTGTCGAAATCAAAGGTATGATGTAAGGGAGAGAATTTTGCAACGCCAACATCATCAAGAAGCTTTTATCACGATCCCGGCCAATTATTAATAACTCCCTTAAAGTTCAATTGTGCCAATAGAAACCAAGTTATCAAAACATCATATGGAAGTAACAAACAAAATTGATACTCGACGTAGGCTGTTGGGTCTTCTAGGGCATCGGAGTTTAAATTGACAACCGTCAAATGGCTTTCAGGAACTGGCACAAGTGGACCTTCATCCTTATTGTTTCCACGAATAAATACCTTGAACTTAGAAAGAAGTTAATGGAACATGCGAGTATTTAGTTTGTTGATTTCTTAAACATCTTACCTGAGCTTGTTCGATTTTATACTAAAGATAGAACAGAGAATTCTTGACATCCTACAACTCTACTGCTATATTTTTTGAGCATTCTTTGGCCGTTAGATTCAAATCATCCATATAAGTTCAAAACTATGACATTTTAAAGTGTCAAACTGTGCTAGCTAAAAGACCACGATAATGGCTGCGAAATGGGACACGTGACTAAAGATGATGGCAAAAGTTTTACACAACAGTCAATTGCCTCGATCTACATTTTAATCTCACAAAATTGCTCTGCTATGTATTACTTATCAAAGAAACTAGCATTGTGCTCTTGGTTATAGTTCCAGTAAAATTTAACAGAAGAAGGAGCTGAATCATCGAGTCCACATTGCTCACTATAGTTGATTTCACCAATTCTTTCCTGGATATAGTCTTCGTAGGCACTCAACTCGCATGAGAAACCTGGTCCAGAAGAACAATTTGGAATAGGAATAACGGCGTCATTGATGATGTACCTGACATAGGAGGTTTCACCACACTTATACTTCTCCGTGTATACTCGAGCACCTTGTGGACAAATGGATGAGTGTTGGTATGGGTATGGGAACGGGATGTAGTCAGTTGGCAAGTCCTCATTTGGAGCAAAGAGACCTAAAGCAGAGTGAAAAACCTCCAAGTCAGTATCGTGGGTGAAGGATAACCACACCTTATTGGAATTAGAATCGTCCTTTAACAAGGCCAAGGAGGAGTTCAACAATGTAGATCCAATAACTGCGGTTAAATTGTTACCAGGACCATTGGAGTAGTAGTAGCCCACATCAGCAGAGTATGAGTACTGAATGAACTCTTCGTTAGTGAATAAATCACAAATAGGAGAAGCACCTTTAACATTGATCTCATAGGCACACCATTGGAACAAGTTTCTAACATCGCCCAGAGTGATGTTGAGTCCTGGAGCAAACTTTTGAAATCTGGTTACAATGTTTTTCAAGTACTTTGTATCGAGCTCATCAACGTAGCTGTCAGAAGTGTCATTGTACAAAGCACAAGCGCGTCTAGGAGTCAAAGAGTTGATTCCTATTTTTTCGTCCTCATCAAACACAACGTATTTGACCTTATCGTCCTTATAATCGTCACCCAAGAATCCGTGGGCGAAATAGTTCCCGGTTTGGAAAACTCTTCCCGAGTTAGAAGTGAAAACTGGTAAGGTATCGTTCTATATTGTAAAGTGAGCCATACTTTCTTTTGAAAGCAGCACCATGCTTCAAGGCATCAGTGGTACCGGCGAAGTTAGATTCACTGTTCTTTGGTGATGTTTCCTTCCCGCACATGTCTTTATCGTCGACAAAGAACGTGTAGTCATTCAAGAAACCAAGGTCACCTGTATAGGTACCGTTGTAAGACTTGAGCTTCTTGTAGACAGCCTCAAGTTTCTTGCCACTACTAGTGGATGGGAATCTCTCTCCGTGTCTGGAAAACAACTGCACTTGTTCTAAGGTACACTGGTCTGGGATGTCGGTAGAGATCCCATAACCCTGGCGCTGGATATAAGGACCAGCACCTCCCAAGTACCTAATCACATTGTACAGTTCAACAGTAGCCTGTTGAGGACTAGCTAAACCTTGAAAAACTCCTTGGTTAACCAAGAGTAATCCGTTGTTTATCAATTTGGAGATAGCGACCACGTTTTTGTATGCCTAATTGTTGGATGGGGATTTACCATGGATAATTCTACCTACTTATAGTCCTTGGGACCATGATCAAGCTGAAAGACAGTCGGGTAGCTTCCGGTCAATATCTACCTAGATCTAGTTGCAACCATCCCGATTGATCTTCATGCATACGCAGGATGCCCCGTGGGAGATTGGCAGGTAACGGCCACTGGCCAAGTGCGTCAAGTCAGCATTACATAGACGGGGTCGGTTACAGATATAAAAGAAAAAAGAGACCCTTCTTGTTATACCAATATCCGAAGTTTATCTATCTTCTCAGTCGAAGCTTCCATATGAACCAAAACTCGGTTTCCGCTACCCCCAGCATGAAACAAACGCAGACAATTCTATGACTTTGACATGTCCTGCCTCCACCCATGACCAAATGCCAAGTTCTCCTGGACTCCCATGCCAAGAGAGTTCTGCGTGCCGGAATTAAGCAACTCTCCAATTACAGCACATAACCATCCAATACCGCGAGGAGTTGCCAGCTAGCTTGATTAGGTTTTCCGTCGTTATTGTTCTTGTATTGCCAAAGATCAACACTAATTTGCACTCATCAACAATAAGCTAGGCGGTGGAAAGCTTATGCTTGGCTGCTCAGTTCTCCTTCTCTCCGGTCCGCCTAGTTCCGGGTCACAACCCGTGGTGTCTAATTTCCATATTGCAAAATGGGGCTACCACATTAATTAATTTACCTTACCGGGCCATTCCTGGAGTCTGAGCTTATTCTTACAGACCAAGATACTTACTAGTCTCTCAGTTGTAGCTTGGCGATCAATACTTCGAGGATTCACATTCCGTCTAATTAAGCAGCAATCAAAGATCTACTATGTTCGGGTATTGGTTTGTTGGCAGTAGTATCCACCATGCTCTTGCAAAAGTCAATTTTTAAACTCTCTTCTCATTGATCGTCTTGAATCATTATCCGGTGGTTGCTGTTCTCTTTGAAGTTACTTGCACCACTCGCTAGTTTCAATATTCCAGGAGGTATTCCTTCTATATCTACCCTGTCAGTAGGCGGCACTGCAATTTTCATTTAGATTATCAGGCTCAGGAAACATCGCTGCGCCATTATGGTTAATTTATGCTCTTTCCTGTCAGAAATTATCAAATATTGTAAAAACTGCAATCATATTCCTTTAAAATACCAATAAACGATAACTCGATAAACAATTTCAAACACAAGCAGGTCTACTGCTGACTGGAAATGGAGGTTAGGGAGGGCATTGATTGATATGAGGATGCCAATAGTAAGAAGACGAAAACGCAAAAATAAACAAAATCAACATGTACCGTGAATCTTGTTTTGGCAGTCAATTAGTCAATGAAGTTCTTTTGGATGTGAATTTCTATTAAGAATAACATTTGATTAGCTATCGTACCTCTTTCGACCGAGAGATAAAACTTATCAATTCACCAGAATTGTTGCCAAATATACAAAAAATAATTCTTTATGATGATTGCTGCAAAAAGAATCCAAAGAGCACTCCAGTCAGATACCTCTTACAAGCGTGCTAATATCTGTGACAATATTGATGAACCAATTTCTTGAATCTCGCAAGCCTCGCGCAGCTTCCCAGGTCACGGGAAGATTTCCTAAAAAGGAAAGCATTCCTTAAAGGTCTAACCACCTATTGAGGCTCTGATAACAAGCGGTTCCAGATTAGTTGTTGAGCAAGTAACATACTTAGATTCCAAACTCAAGTTTGAAGCTAATCCTGCAGATAACCAGATCAAGTTAATTAACTTGAATCCATCATTTTGGAACAGGTGTCCAACACTTGGACTATCTGTCGAGGAGAGGTAGCACCCACACCCAGCCTAATGTGCCTGCACCGTTGCCAGCGGCACCAGTACCAATTTCGCCAACCTCCTCTCGAAGTTACTTACCCCGCTCCCCACCAAAGAGTGAAAAATTTGTATACCCCACGATAAGTCTGGGGTGCAGGATGACCGAGATCCAATGAGCCATCAAGATCCCAAGGTGGTTACAAGCGAATTACACCCTATATACGAGCAATCACAGCCCATACTATGAAAGGCCTGGAGAGGTATCGATGTGACGTCTTGGGCTGTGGGAAATCGTTCTCCAGATCCGACCATCTCGCAAGGCACAAGGTCAACCATGCTCCCCAAGTGTTATACCAGTGTGGAGCGCCAGGATGTACCAAAATGTTTGTGAGGAAGGATGTGAAAGAAAAGCATGAGTACCGTCATAACCTCAAGTTGGGCAAGATCAAGAGAAACAGGGATGCCCTTGGGACGGTGTTTCACCATGGACAATTCGAGTTGGATCAAGTATTGCACAAGGAAGACCCCGAAATCGCCCTAAGCAGTGAGCTTCTCGCCAGAGGTGTGGTCCGGCCTGCTATGAGCAGGACCATGAAGGACTACCCGGGAGAAGTCGACAAAAATATGACCTCTGCTAGCCCTAGTACCAGTGTCAGTGAATCCAATCCTTTGACCAACGGCCAGATCCATACCCTCAACAGCTTGTTGAACGACGAGCCCCTATACGAACATGTAAATAATGACAAGGCCACAAATTTTGCTCAGGAAGCAGATATTTCTAAAGACCCTGTCGGATTTGTTCCAACAGACTTGACACAATGGTTGTTCAACGATGAAGCATTCCTAAACCAAAGCACCAACTCCAGCCCCACCAGCAACATACTAAACGATCTCGACCTTAAGGCAGCTAAAATGTTGGAAGATGCCTTCTGTACCTCTCCCAACTTTCCCTTGGCAAACTACCAGACAAGCGTGGATGATCGTATAATACAATCAATGATCAGTTACATCCCAAAACTAGCACTGAAGCAGCTAGGGGTGATTCAAATCGAAAGATGCTTGGAGTTGTATTGGTCCATTTGTCACATCCAATTTCCAATTTTGCATAAGCCTTCCTTTGATACAGCCAAGGTTCATCCGCTTCTATTGCTCTGTATAATCATGATGGGAGCAGGAGTTGCTAGGTTTAGTGGTGTTAATGAATCAGAGATTCTCCACGATCCTCAAGATCTAGCAGACACTATTGCTGTACCATTGAGATGGTTGGTATTATCCTCGGATGATTTCTGTTCTCCTCCAAAGGCCTGGATTTTACAGGTGTTGATCATCCTTGAGATTTACGAAATCTTGCTTTCGTCTCGGAAATTGCATGAAAGAGCATACTTGCACCATGGCCTAAAAATACAGCTATTAAGGAGAAGTCCATTACTTGGAGGTGATCCCACCAATCAGTATAATGATTACAAGGAGTTGACCGAAGGTAGTGATGCGTGGAAAAGTTGGATTGAACTAGAGTCTCTCAAGAGGGCTACGTTGGTATCGTTTTATTTGGATACCATCCATGCAACTATTTTCGGACATGAAATAATATTGTTTGCTCATCAAATCAAGCTTCTGATGCCCTGTGATGATATGCTTTGGGAAATGTCAAATATTGACAAAAATAATTTACCTCCTCAAACTGAAACACCACGTTTTATCACTGCATTAACTAAGCTATTACATCAACAAAATTTTGATGTGGGACCGTTGAGTAAGAAGATTTTGTTAGCAGGCTTATTAACGATTAAAGTACAAATGGAGAAGAAGGACTTGGAAGTGACCTTCTTAGATTGGAAACCAGTCAAGGAATCATGGAAAGATACAATCTACAAAGCTATCGAAGTTTGGAGGGATGACATTTGTCACGAGGATTGCTGTGATTCCAGAAATGCATTTTATCTCTCCTCCTCCAACAATGCCGAATTGATGCCTGCTCCTTTCTCGATTGCGGACAAGAAATGTAAATTCCCAATTTATCATTTGTCGCAAACATTTATGAGAATAAAGCAGTACGACTGTATTATTTTTGCAGGTGCATCAAATAGAATGAATGTTAAAACAACTGACAGGGATTATAAAGTTGTAAAGGAGAGAATTAACACTTGGGCAAATTCATATAGTGGCCGAATATCTGTGTTGCATTGCTATATCTTCTTGAATGAAATGCTTTTCAAAGGAAACGAAAAATTATACTATAATCCTTCAAAAGATCCACTATTTCATCGCCCCAATATAGTGGCTCTGTCCTTATTTGTTATTTGGGCATATAATTATTCCTTAGGTGGTTCTGAGTCTTCAAGTTATCTTGAATACAGTGGAAGAGACAAAACCATTCAATTATCTAACTCAACTTTCAAAGAAGATGGTTATGATTATTTGAAGAGAATTATAGATACTCTAAAGGAGGAAACTTCTCAACAAACAATCTCTAACCGCTTGCTCAATGAGTACAACGAGATATTACCCAAGATAAAGAACAAACACTATCTTGTTGGTTTTTTGAGTTTGTTCCTAGAGGGTTTCAAGAGTTGTCAGTCAGAAGTTTGTAGGGAATATGGAGGATTATTGGAAAATTGCATTGAAAGAAGCTTGGGCAAAAAGTATAAGGTCATGCAGTAGTGTTGAACAAGAAAAAAGAACATTTTATGATCGGTTATATGGTGTATAATAAAAGTTTAATGGAGTAATCGAATGATTTGATGCCTAATGTGTACAAATACAAAAGCAAGTTCCTGAATGGCCAAGCTCTCTACACAAGCGTAAAGTGAACTTACGAACTTGAAGACACTTGCGGTCAAATTGAGATGTAGTTTCGTCGTATAGAGAATTTCTGTTTGGTTGATACCGTTTATTTCTAATAATTCTATCTAAATTATAACTCCCAACTCCAAAAGTTTGTTTCCCACAGCCAAAAAGTAGTAATCCGCATATACCAAGCCATGATCTGCGTGTCTCCTGATTGCATGCTCATTATTATTCATTGTGGAGTGATCTAAAAGAGTATCTTTCTCACTTTCAACGGAACCATCGGTAGTAAACCTGGACTCCCCATTGTATGTGAATTTGAGGGTATCAGAAACCAATTTGACACCCTTCTCCAAGAACTTGTTGTCCTTGGTGTGCTCGTATATCTTGAGTAGACCGAGTGCAGTTGCCATCGCTGCAGAAACATCCTTGATGTTATTGCTAGGGGCATCAAAGTCCCAAGCAGGAACTCCATCTTCCGATAGCCTGCTGAAAAAATACTCAGCAGAGTTAATAGCTGCCTCGAGGAATTGTTGCTTCTTGGTCCAGCCATATGCCTCAGCAAACCCTAAAACTGCCCAAGAGAGGCCTCTTGACCATGCCGATTCATCTTCATAGCCCTGATGGGTGAATTTTGCCTTTGGCTCGCCTGTTTCTTGGTCGTAATTAACAACGTGGTAACAAGACCACTCAGGGTACCTGAAGTGATTTTTCAAGGTTGTTTCTGCATGCTTGGTGGCAATGGTAGAGAGTCTCAAGTCTCCAGTTTTTGCAGCCACATAGTACAACAAGTCCAAGTTGCACATGTTGTCGATGATGACCAAGAAGTCCTTCTTCTTGTCAGTAAAATGTATCTCCTTGTTGTGGGATTCGTCCCAGCTTCTCATGCAACCGATTTTCTCATCAAACCTGGTAGCCAAAGAATTGGCTGCGGTGACCAAAACATCCAAACTCTCTTGGGTACCGAAAAGCTCATATTCTCTGATGAAGGAAGGACAAAATACAAACCCCAAATCGTGGGTGTTGGTCCTTGTAGCCTGACCTGGAAGATTAGTAGCCCACCATCTCGCAGCATATTGCAATTTCACTGGGTTCAACTTGTCCAGTGGAAAGTGTTTGGGATACTTTATGCTTCTCTCCACGAGAGCCCAGACAGACCCAGGAAAAAACCCTGAGGTCCAGTAGTCTATGGGATTATACTGGTACTTTCCATACGAATGCTCAGGGAATTCAGTTGGAGGGTTTTGGTCCTGGAGTTTACTAGCAGCGACACCCCAAATTTTAGCGACAGTCAGCTCTCCAAAGAGTTGATCTTCAAGTCCGTTCAAGAGGTTCTCAGCAGCAGGCATAGCGACGTTTAGTTATTGCAATTGCAGTGAATAAGATGCATAATGACCCGATCATGGCGGTTATTATATAGCATTACCGAATTGAGGATTTTGGTGGGGGATGGGAATTTTGTGGGGCAATCAGCGCGGGGTTAACATATGTCGGGAGGCTTTCGAGATATTGGTGGGGTACAGATCAGAGATCCTACAGATGAACGCCCTACACAGGAACAGCCGTACTATGCTAAGTTCCGACGAGTGCAGGGTCACCTACATATTTTGGTGGGGGATGTTACCAAGCCAAGTCGAGTGGTGGGGTTTTGCCCCAGGAGTGGTTGAAGGCACTAAAACGATATTTTGAGCAAATTAGACCTGGGGATAATACGAAGGCGCGTACTTGATGGGGTTGGGCGTAGCGCTGGTTATCCCTGGGGAAAATACGAGGGCGCCGATTTCGAAATTGATGGGGTGGGTGGGGATCAGCAATTAATTTGTGGGGAAAATACGAACTGTTTGATTTCTGGGACAAAGGGGGTCGGTGATTTCATTATTGATGGGGTTGGATAACCTTTTCAATTTCTGGGGAACAAGGTAATAGCCCGCATGTGGTGTGCTGCGAGTTAGAGTGTAGTTGAAAAAACCGAAGCTGAGACCAGTAGTGTGACCTCCTGGTAGAATTGCTCCTTGTATATGTTGTTCTGCGCTGCTTAATAGAACTATTCGACGTTACACTTGCCTCGCATCGGCTACCCGGTTCATTGAACTACGGTTTATCTAGGTATTTTTGTTCTTTATTGGTTCTACTTAATAGCCTATAAGGACTTTTCGATTTTGTGCAATGCCCTGATGTTGGCTTCGTGCTTACTGTATGCTTTGGCATCTGCAACCTTACTTAATGGTGGCCTGCCGGATAAGAGTTCGCCAAACCCGTGGATCTCATGTACGGCACGCTTGACACCAACCACATTCAACTCGGAAATCATTTCGTCTACCAAAGTGACTGCGTGCTGCAAGGCAGCAGCTTCTGCATTTTTGCCCTCTTTGTAAAGCTTGTAGAGCTGAAGCATCGTCTTGGGGAAAATTCCAGACAACCCATCGATGGCCCCACATAAACCTACCGAAAGAGCTGGAATCAAGACCTGACCAAGGCCAGTGAATGGCTTGAAGTTGTTTTCTTTAAAACGCTTGTTCTGGCCCAAGAGTGTGTAGGTAGCCAAGTTGAAGTGCGTGAGCTTGACACCCACGATGTTGGGGTTTTCAGATAACGCAAGGAAGGTGTCAATGTTAATATCGACCCCGTTGCACGTTCCTGGGAAGTTGTAGATAATGATTGGGAGATGGGAGCTGTCAGCAACTTCATTGAAGTAATCGACAAGGCCATCCTGGCTGACCAAATTGGGACCAAAAAATCCCGGAACCAACACAATGAGGAAGTCAGCGCCGACTTCAGCAGCCAACTTCGATTCCTCGATCACGTCTCGGGCACTCAGAGGTGGCACTCCCGCAATGATCTTAAAGTTTCTGTCAGGAATCGCATCACGAATAGCCTTCAACGATGCGAGCCTCTCACCCATAGTGAGATTCGCAGCCTCCCCCATGGACCCGGATACCACCAAACCCTGGATACCCTTCTGGTAGAGCATGGTGGCATGCTTTACCTGGGTTTTGGTGTCCAAAGTGTGGAGGCCATCGTCCAAAAAGTAGGTGATGATGGGGGTATAGATGCCGTCGGGGACAACGGCGACTGGAGATTCGGGGACAGCTTGGATCATGATAGTAGCGACAGGATCTTTCTCTTACAAATCACCACCCAGCCAGAAGCATATATATAAGTCTACGGCTTTGGTGCCGCTTCAGCCCCGCAATCGGTTTTGATGGGGGATCTGTGGTGGGGGACGCGGCTCCAGTTTGGTGGGGGAGGAGATTCGAAAATGATCTGGGGTACACCTAAAAACTCTGGGGAACTACTATGAGATAGCCCGATACGGTCATTTCTTCCGAGCATACTTGTCTTCCAGCGTGGATATAGCGTGTCGCTTTTTGGTGGGTCCCAATATAAATAGACGCCTGATTTTCTCTTTCGTTCATCATCATCTTGGCCATCTCGACCAACAAACACTTAGCTTCTGCAACTCATCTCCCAACCATGAGCAAGGAAGCCTCTTCTAACAAGGAAGTCGCTTCGGTCCAGTTAAATCTGTTGGAGTCCCAGTCCCAGGAAAGTCACCTCAAGCTTGAGGATGTCACCCCCAAGTTGGACAAGATCTGGTTCAGATACCCATGGTTATTCAGACTCAATTTTCATCTTGCCGGCTCGGTGTTGGTCTTAGTTGCCGGAGGCTTTGACGGTACTATGATGAACAATTTGCAGTCATTGCCCAGTTGGAACAAGTACTTTCACAACCCCCATGGCTCCGACCTTGGAAAGTTGAACATCGGTACTGCCATTGGTGGTTTGTGCTGGATGCCTTTTGCGTTCTTTCTTACTGACATCCTTGGAAGAAAGAAGTTGATTATTCTTGGTAACCTCATCATCATCATTGGTGCTATCCTCCAGGGTTGTGCTACTAGTATTGCAATGTTTATTGGTGCCAGATTTTTGATTGGTTTCGGAGGTATTTCCTTAGCTGGTGCCTCTCCTTTGTTAGCTGAAACAGCTTACCCTACTCAAAGACCAGCTCTTACCAGTTTCTTAGCTGCTTCCTTCCCTCTTGGCTCTTTTGCTGCCGCATTGATCACCTGGGGACCTTACAATACCAGCATGAAATACAACGACTGGTCCTGGAGATTGCCTTCTCTCTTGCAGGTTTTCTTTCCTATTATCTCTACTATTGCCGTTTTCTTTGGTCCTGAGTCTCCTAGATGGTTGATTTCCAAAGGAAGAGAAGAAGAAGCCTTCAAAGTTTTGACCAAGTACCATGGTGGTGGTGATCCTGATAGTGCTCTTGTCAAATTCGAACTTTCTGAAATCAAAGCAGCCATTGCAATGGAAAATGCCAACACCAAAAACAAGTGGCTTGAATGGTTCAGAACTCCTGCCAACAGACACAGGTTGGGGATTATTATGGGTTTACCAGTGATGATGCAATTCTGTGGAAATGCCTTGATTTCGTACTACTTAACTATTATTTTGAACAACATTGGATTCACTAAGACTACTGATAAGTTGAAAATTAACATTGGTTTGACTATCTATGGGTTAGTTTGGTCGTACGTTGTTTCAAGTATTTGTGGTCGCTTTAAGAGAAAAACGTTGATCATTACCTCCTACGCTTCCATGTGTTTCTTCTTCGTGATTTGGATCGTGTTGTCAGCTCTTAACCAGCAGAGACATTTCAAGGACAAATCTTTGGGAAATGCTATTGTTGCCATCATATACTTGTACCAGGGATGTTACCATATCGCATCCCCCATTGCCGTTACCTATGCTATGGAAATCTTGCCATTTACCTTGAGAGGTACTGGAATTGTTATCTACCAATTGTTTGCTAATGTTGCTCAGTTCTTCAACACTTATGTCAATCCTATTGCGATGGAAGCAATTGAATGGAGATACTATATTGTTTGGTGCATTTGGTTAGTGGTGCAGATTGCAATTGTCTACTTCTTCTTCCCTGAAACATACGGCTTGGCCTTAGAGGAAATAGCTGTCGTGTTTGGTGATGAGATTGGAGACATCAAAGAAGCTGGTCACAGAGCAGTTGAGGGTGGCCAAGTCTTTGAAGAAAAACCAGTAGTCAGCACCGAAGAAGATGTTACGAGGACCAGGAGCAAGAGCTAAAACACAAGAGGGTATCGAGCTGGAAATGTGACGCTTCATCATTCTCAACCTCTCTAATAAGCTTTACAGTTCAGTATATGTTTCAAATGAATGTCTAAAAAGTCTAAATATTGTAATGCGGGTAGAATGACACCCAAGAAAAGGCTAAAACTACACCTTAATCACCAAACTATTAATACTATTTCGTAGTTGAAACAATTGTAGTCGGAGTTGATGAAAAGCAGACTTGATAGGTGAGCCTCGTCAGCTGTTTCTGAGGCAAATTAGAGGCCATTTGTAGCACCAATGTGTTAACCATGCCGCCTTGCCTGATTTTCCAGTTTAGAGCCTTCATACATGCGGTTGCCTGATTGGGCAGGTTGTCCCACGACAGTTTTGCAAAACTGGGGACTCTATTTAGTGGGGTATACATTTTGGTGGGGGTTCTGGTGGGGGAGGCTTTACTGTATAATTATAAAGCAACCCACGGTTCTTGCTCAATTAGAACAAGAATCTATACAATGACCACTTACAAGTAAGTAGCCAAGCTCCACTAGCGACATTTCTAACATCAAGATCCTCCAAAACCTACAAGCTTTCCAATGGCAAAGAAATCCCAGCGGTCGGACTCGGCACCTGGCAATCGCCCTCAGAGCAGGTGTACAGCGCCGTGATCTCTGCCCTCAAAGCTGGCTACAGACACATAGACACTGCCTGGGCGTACCAAAACGAAACTGCAGTTGGCAAAGCCATTAAAGACTCGGGAGTGCCTCGTGAAGAGATATTTGTCACCACTAAATTGGCACCAATCCAGCAAGTCAATGCAGCCACCGCAATCGACGAATCGTTGAAAAACCTCGGATTGGAATATGTTGACTTATACTTGATGCATTGGCCAATAGCATTGAACCCAGAAAATAAGAGTCATCCGTTCATTCCATTATTGCCCAGTGGAAAGCGTGATATATTATTGGACTGGGATTTCGTTGAAGGCTACGAGGAACTCCAAAAAATACACGCCTTAGGTAAGGCAAAGTCTATCGGTGTGTCCAACTTTAGCGTTACTAACTTGAAGAAGTTATTGGCTGATCCAAGGACAAAGATCAGGCCGGTGGTGAATCAAGTAGAATTGCACCCATACTTACCTCAACACAAATTGCTTGCGTATGCCAAACAAGAGGACATTCTCTTACAAGCATATTCGCCATTGGGCTCTACAGACCTGCCATTGCTTACCGACGAGGTCATTTTGGAACTTGGCAAAAAGTATGAAGTAGCTCCAGCAACGATCTTAATCAGTTGGGCAGTGTGGAGAGGCACTGTGGTTTTACCAAAATCAGTCACATCTTCAAGAATTGAGAGCAACTTTAACATCGTTACCTTGTCTGATGAAGACGGTAAGAAGATTGACAATATTCACGTTAACAAGGGAATTCAAAGATTGATTATGCCTGAATGGTCCCCTGTTGTGGTCTTTGATAGCAATGAGTGATTATTGTGCTCCTTGGTGGATCTTGTGGAGCAGCATTACAGACAATTTAAGTTTGCTTAGTATTGGACACATATACAAAAGATATTAAATAATGAAACAAAGAACCCGTCAATGTTAATTCGTAATTCATGTAAAGTAGAAAGGCATAATTAAGTAATCATTTGATCACATAAACCAAGTTTATGCAGTATATCTGAAGAAAGGATTTTGCTTATCTGTCAAATCAGCAAACTCGATATTCTCTATATTCATGAATTCAGCATTGTCCGCTTCAGCATTATCTCTTCTCTTATTTTCGTAAGTGTAATAAAGTAGAATCAAAACCAAGCACACCAATGAAACCAGAGAGAACGTAAGCATACATACCTTTGCAGTAGTATACTGTGGTGCTTCCAGATCTATGAAGGTTTGGGGTCCAACAAGGTTTCCCACACAATATCCAATCAAAAAGATTGCACTCACGGTAGTCTTCTTGGTATGACCAGCAACATTGCTAGCAATACTTGATAAGATGCAAATGAAACCCAATGGTGCAAGAGCATTAAGACAATACCCCGCAAACTGTGCATTGTGGTTATCAACGAATCCCAAAAGACATTGGCCAACAACAGTGACGACCGTAGCAAGGATGGCCCAGGCAAGTCTAATAGGGTAAAATTTGTAGCAACATGCGAAAAGTGTACACCCAACAAACTCAATGGCACCAAAAGGCATTTGCATCAACAAAGATTGCTTTTTAGAATATCCAAATCCTTCCGATAACAAAATAGCGCCAAAGTTTGTAAGCCCACCATTAGGGACATTATTGGTGATTGCAAACAGAAAAAATAACCATGTTTTGATATCGGTGAAGGCCTCGATGAATTGTTCTTTCTTGAAATGCTTGTTTCCAAACCCTTGTTGATTGACTCTGATTCTTTCAATGACCAACCTCTTGTCCTCTGCATTCAAAAACCAAGCCTTTGAAGGGGTATCAGGAACGTGCGCAAGAATAACGAAACCAATGAAAATTGTCAAACAACCAGTGATAATGAAAATCAATTTCCAAGCAGTGATGGAGTAGCTTCCAGCATTATTAACAACATTATAGGCAATAGCTCCACTTCCCAAAATTTGACCAATACCATTTGAGGAAAACCACAAAGCAGTCCTCAAGAAAGTTTCCTCTTTTCTATAATACTGGCCTGTGATGATAACAAAAGCTGGGGTTATACTCAGCTCAAGCATTCCTAGAATAGTTCTCAACGCAATAAAGCCCGCATACTGTGGGACCGAGTGTAAACTCAATATCACACCCCAAGTAATCACAAACACCCCAACTGTCTTAGCAACAGGGAATCTTTGCAAGATTCTGACTGCAGGGAATTCGAAGAATAAGTATCCAATGTAGAAAGCGGAACCCGTCCAGGAGTACATATCACCTTTCATGTGCAAGTCAGTTCTAAGTCCAACAATAGAAGCGTAGGAATTTGAGAGCTTATCCATGAATTGAAGGCAGTACAATAAGCACATGATCGGCATCATGTAAAGATCGATTTTTCTTAAGAGCTTCTTGTCTCTTTCTGCATCATATTCGATCAGCCCTTCGTTGTCTAAAGCATATTTCATAGCATCATCAACATCTCCAGTGATATTAAAAGGTTTCCCTGTGTGTGGTGAAATTATGGTGGCCAATACTTCATCTCTTTCCCTCAAGTCTTGGCTGGTGAATGAAAGCACAGTGTCAAGTTTTTCATCTACCCCGGATTTCAGCATGGTGATAGATTTTTGCCCAACTAAACTGAGAAACCCTGCCTATTAAATATGCTACAACATCCATACGATGAATTATTTCTTGCTCGTGATCACAGATCATAATTCTGCGGGGAGATGCGTTGATAACAAGTTCGTACTCTTATCTATTCCGCTCTTGTAATTTGCGTTATCCAATTTAGTGCTGAGCCTGCGCGATTGACAGCCTGTGCTTTGCAGATCTCAAGGGTGCGTTCGAAGACCCTGAACTAGCATTACTGCTAGCTTCGAACTGCAAGAGCTTGGCCTACTTTCCGACATGAAGAGCAGCGGAGGTAGGTGACTTGTGGGGAACGGTGGGGATTGATGTACTCACCCAATTCCAGGGTGCTAAAGGCTCAAAACGGTTCAACGCGCTTGATAAGATGTAACTGGGAATTCGGATGCGCATACCTGTTCGACAACTGCCCAAGGTGATGCGGTCCCTGCAGTCAGTTAGCCCCCACAGATATTTTATTATAGATGTAACAGTGTGAAAAGTTTAGCAACTAAGTCCGGCAACGGGGAAGTCCATTGAAGAAACACGTTGCTGCTGTGACTAGAAGTAATCCAACTATCCGATATTTTGTAATCCTATTGTTTCCTTTGTTTTATTATAATCCTGTACCAGAGAGTCTCCACCAGCATATAACGTGTGTTTCTTATCACCTAGGCTTTTAATAATGGGACTTATCAGTCCCTAAATCATCCCGGATCGGGAGCTGGATCTTTGCTCCGACGCTTATCTACGTTCATTTTTGTGTGATATGACAGATGTCTGCTTTTGACGATCGCGGTTAGAAATCCGTCTTCAGGAACAAGAATGTAGTGTATATTGATGTCTGAAAATTCCAGACTATTGCAGTAAAGCTGAAGGAGAACAAGATGTATCAACTTCCCAACCAAGCATATCAGAAATGGAAGCTGATGTGGAAGTGTTGAGGAGTGGCTGAACTAACAGAAATCTCCCAACAACCCTCTAAGCTCTCTTCCTTATTAACAAACACTTCCATGCTCCTATCGAGAGACCTTGTACTTGCAAAATTGGAATTTGTACTGAGCGGCTGAAGAAATGGCAAAATTGCCTTCAGAAACGTAACATTCGTAAGCAGAGTTCCAATATTCTTTCCCTGACAAAACACAAACACAGTCTCTAAGAGATATACCACCTTCAGCATGGCATTTCTTCTGAATGTTCTTGGTAGTAGTACAGCTGCTTGAAGCTATTGTGTCTCGCTTATCATTGTATCCAGTTGAATTAGTACCACTTGAGACAAACTGAGTTGAATTGGCATAAGGATTGGATCTCTTAAGCACCGGTGAATCTTGCTTGGTGGTTGCAATACTAGTAGAATTCCATTTACCCGGAGAAGGAGTTTGGGAGAGATCATGGCGTCTCGAATACTCGTTTGAATTGTTTACTCTTGATGCTGTAAGATTAGTAGGAACAAAGTCACGTTTGAATACCCTTCTTGTAGGCTCTTCTTGAGAACGGTCATTATAAATGATTCCACGGCGCTCAACTAATTCCCAAGTAAGGTTTCCTTTAGGACCTCCTCTTTTCTGCAAACCAGCGGTATTGTTTGTAAGAGCCTCAACAGAATTCTGGCCTTGAAAGGTTTTAGTAGCAGTAGAAAATGTTAAGATAGTGAACAAGACGATTGGGCTAAGCTTCATATTGTAGTAATGTAAAGGACTAATAAAATTAAAGCCTGGGGTATATCTTCACATTTATAGACATTTTAGATGCCTATACTAGCCGAAAACTATGCTCAGAGTAGTCCGAAGTTGCTATAGCTTGACAATCATGAATATGGTATTGCTCTTTTATGAACACTATTCGTTCTTATACAAAGCACATTCAAATTGCCTAGTCTCACAATAGGGTCTATCATATCTAGCCAGCCGTACCTAATAACTTAAATTGATTATTGTTCCTTATGTTCCTGAATAACGTAAGTAACAATAAGCCCTTATTGTTCACCGAGACCTGCTATTATTGAATCTGTTGAACAAAAGATTCTTAGAAAATGAAGTAGATGAGATAGATGCCTTCGATATGAGATGATATCCGAATAGCGAAAATAAGCTGTGAATGGAAGATTAATAAACTTGAAGTGGAGATAGCTTCCTCAAGGTCGTCAACTTATGCTTGCAGCTCAATATACATAGCAGCATTTGTATTTAAATGGTTGATGCCCAGAACGTAACAATAGCAAAATGTCACTCTTGCGAACAATGCAGGCTTGATATCGTTCCTCCATCGGGGCACCAGATGCCTCTATATGGAGTATTTGCAAGCACTAATCATCATCTCTTATCATTATTGGGCGATATACCGCTAGCAACCTTTCCAGTACCAAATGGTAATAAAGCACCATAGTTCTTGAACAATCAACTCATCACTCAACTCCTAGCCTAAACAAGGGCCTGGGTGCATATTGAAAAATCGTAGGTGTTTTGCCTGTTCAGACTGAATATCCACTATAAGTTGAATAGATCTTGATACGTTTAGGTCAATTTTATCTTAATTTGTTTAAATTGCCAGCATTCACTTGGTAGTTATCTGATTTTTTTAACTACAAGGGTATTAAATAAGAAAGTAGTACTTCGATGAGCGCTCCCAAAAGGTTTTGCTCAATAACCTCTAGAGATAGAACAAACCAACGCGAACGAAATTATCTAGAGGGTATTCATGAAGTACGACAATAGTTGGTGCATCGAATCACTTCCAGCACTCCATAAACACGTCATTCTAAAGTGAGAAAAAATACTTAAAGTTACTAACATACTGGTAGTTTTTGTGACAAACCGGAAATTAAATTACCTTTGCTTTCAATTCAAAGCCCAACAAAGCCCTTTGCTGTTGCTCAAGTTCTCCAATTTGGATAGAGATGTATGTCCGCCTAAACATGAATGTCGGGCCGGACTTATTCAAGTGCGTCTCGGTTAGTAATATATTACTGATACAATTCGAATATACATGGAATTACTCCGATTACTAATCTTTTAGGATAGTCCAAGCATGTTTTCTGGATTTTACAAGCCCTCTTGGATGTCATGTTTAGCCCTAATGTCCTAATATGATTTCATCAGCTAATATTAGTGATTTGACCATGATGGTCATATTTTTCTTTGACCTGTCAAACTAGCGTCAGTCATAGGAAGCAATTATGGAGGCGCAAGAGAAGCAATATTCTGCGAAGAACGCTCAATTCATCAGTTTAATTTGGCAAGGTTGCCTTGCCAGATCGGAAGGTGAGCCTGTATGAAGCTTATCCAACGATACTTCAAACCATATAGGACTTACTGCACCAAAGGAAATGTTACCCTCCTTTGTGTAATATCAATTTGGTCATGTGGGGTAAGTAACCAACTACCGGCCCGGAAGGCAATTGCGGAATTGAACCAATGGGCCCGTAGTTAGTAACCTACTGCCAACATGCCCGAAAGCTCCTTTGGGCAACACCATAGGAAGACACAATCCTAACAGTTGAGACATTTCTATCGTTGCAATGTTAATAAGCACTTGGCCAGGTGTCACCTCTAGATTCTTGATGGCGTTATCCTTTCTCAGAGATCTAAGTCTTTAGTAAAAATTGACGCAAGAATTGCCGACGCAGGAGTATTACTACTTCAATCTTCGCATATATTTTTTCGGATTCTGTAGTTCTATAGGGCAAGAATGTGGAAAATGTAGTTACTGGCATATTCTTCCAAGAGAGTTAGGCACAAACTATAATTTGAAGGGGAGGGTAAAGTGGTTATTTCGAGAGATGCAAAGTCGTTTGAATCAGTCAGCAGTATGCTCCTAGAATAATCTTTGTAGATTTAACCTCTTGTTAAGTCTTCGGACATAGGGGAGAAGCTTTGATGATCAATCACCATGTGTGCCAGAACTCTTAAGTTATCTTAAGCTATCATTGTGCAAACACTAATTAGAGACAAGCGAATGTATAATGTTAGAGGTGAGATACGGTAACCTACTGGCCTCGTGGAAGAAGGAGCCTTGCATCGAATCAATGTCAATAATGTGGCGAACAGTAGGAAAAGAAATAAATGAAATTACACAAATGTTCGCGTATAACAACCGATATTCTTGTTATGCATCAGCGGTTCTTACTCTCTATTATGTCGGCCCCTGATTTAGGGCAGTCGCACGGCACTAGGTACAGACTCTTTGTCTATAGAATAGGATGACTTATGATTGACCGTTTTTATCCTTAAGGTATCGCGTACACCATATGACCTTCCGATATAATCTTAAATGGATTCTATCTGAGGAATTTGGAACCACGGGCACTATGGGGATGGTCTCTTTGCTTATGTTGATTTTTCAAGTCAATATATAACTAATGACTAGTAGACCAGTGAATCATTATCCGAGCCGGGCTTGTAACGTCGAAAATGCGGAGGCACAAATAACTCGTACGAAAAATAAACTCGACCCTTTGTTCTGAAAATCCACATTCGTGTTTTGCTAACATATTTTTTAATCTTACGACTATCATGACGACAGCATGCTTGGACTTCTTTAGTGATAACCCAATCAATTACCAGACTGGACATTCAATTATTAAATTTCTTTTTTTGAACTATAGTGAACTTCATTTATATGGACCGGTCCGTCAGGTCAATTAGTGGAGTCATGCAATGACATTGATCTATACTACTTACCTTCATTGATCAATTCATAGTTTAATATAAAATAGTTCCTTATTAAACTTATCTCAACTGATTGTTTTCAGAATTCTTGCAACCATGCGTTCACCTGCCAGTGGAAAGCTTGATAACAAATCCACAAATGACCTGACAAAAACTGTCAAAAGGAAAAGAAAGTACTCACGCCCTTGTGATAGATGTGCTCTTCGGAAGATCCGTTGTTCTGATGTCAGGCCTTGTGTGAGGTGCACTGACGGTAATCATCAATGTACGAGCAACAGAATACGCAAAAAGTGTGGACCCAAAAAGAAAACCAAAGAGAAACAACCCCAAGTCATCCAAACAAAGAGCTATTCAGTTTCTTCTGATTCATCTTCCAGTGTTTTCAGCATGGACAATTTTACTGAAAATAGCTCGGTAACGGATCTCAGCACTGTCTTCTCTCCGCTTCCAGAAGCTGCACCAGCCATCAAGATAGCTGATGTGGTGTGGTACTTGCAGGCATACCAAAGTTGGTTTTACAGCGTTTGGCCTGTGGTTTCAACTTCGAATTTGATATTTCGTCTATCAAATATAGATTTTCAGAAGACACTTTCCTACGAAGACTCATTACCATATGCTCTATCACTTTCGATAAGTGCTGCAATTGCCAATCAGATTGAGGCTTCCTCCATGTCTGTCATGGAATTGCCTCCATTGATGGAAGCAGACCGATATGCTCTGGAAGCATTGAGGATTAGAGACGTTTATGCTCATAGTATGATACCATGCACTGAGACTATATTAACATCATACTACTTGTACGTCTATTTCACTACCGTCCGTGGAGGTACACAAGCTTCGCTACAATATTTACAGGAGGCCGTTTCTACGACACAGCAGTTAGGATTGCACAACCCAATGACTTATCTTACAAAGTCTCCTCACGAAACACACCTGTTGTCAAAAGTGTACCATTTGCTCCTTGTCACGGAGAGGGTAATTAGTATTCAGCATGGATTTCAACTGGTTCTTACTACTGGTATTCCTCTTCCAACAATAGAAGACGACGAGTACCCTTTTGCATTAGTTGAATTTGTTGATCTATTAAAATTGTTTGTGAATTCAGAAGCAACGATAAACCCAAAAATTGAAGTTTTGGCTAACAATATTAATGACTCAAGCAGCTCGGGGAACATACCCAACTTGAACACGAATTACAATGACAGCTACAGGTAGTTGTGTGATTCTATCGAGATATTTCAGCAGGGATGATTCAAAACCCTTGAAGCTTGTGGTCTTGCTAGACAACTTTCAATTCGATGTAACCACACCAAAACTTGTACGCTCTAAGCCCCATACATTTGCTCCACCAGATAGCCGTGCCAGTTCTTTGGTCTTCAGATTTAGAACCCCTGCATCCCCTTGATGGGCATTTGCAGTTCCCGAAACCACTATTGAATAGGACATTTCGCATTACAATAGACATGCGCTGAAATAACTACCGTAAGCCAGGGTACGGCGGGTATAGTATTCCCCGCAAACCCCACCGTCCCCATCTAAGCCTAAATACTTGATTCGATGGAACACCCCAGTTCGGAGTCGGACTTATTACTGGTTCTACCCGGCCGGCCTCCACCAATATATATTTTCTATGTCATGCGGCGCTTGGTTTAACCGTTATGTTCTATTTGCGCGTCTTCACGCCTCGGCCCCCTGTTCATCATCAATGTCTATCATGAACTATTGGCCACCTGGTAGCATTAACTTTTCCAACTTCAGCAAAGATCTACATTCCAAGGCAAACCGTGAGCCTACCTGCCCAAAAAGGTAACAGTAATAGCCAGGATCAGAAAGGCTCGCGGTTCTAGTTTTGAATAAGCTTCCGGGCTCGCTTCTGGAGATAATGCCCGAGAATGTTGAGTCCGTTGCCGCGGGCCGGGGCTCAGACCACGGAGGCTTGATTTAGCTATTATGTTAATTTAATCAAATATCATCTACCACATGGTAGTCTACAGCAGATTGGACGGTTACGGAGTATATTACAGTATCTGAATAGGTTTCAAGGAGTTGTACGGAGGCCACCAACCCTTTGGTTGGCATGTTACGGCACATAACCTCTGCAGGAAACTCTTGCTGTCGTGAGCTGCGAGTTACGGAGGTGCAAAAAAGTTGTTGGCTGTTGGGTGAATTTTGTGGTAATTTCATTCTCTGGTCTGCAAGTGCTGTTAATCGATTAGTCCAGACTACATCAACTCATTAGCCGCCGGCTAGTGGCTCATCTTGAGTTTGTGCTCTATCTATAGCAATGGATCTCTGCACAAGATTAGGCCCATTTTTTGCCAGTTAAGCTTTCATACGCTTCGATGTACTTCTCCTTGGATTTGGTGATCACCTCGTCGTCCATAGACACGCCATCCTTACCAGCAATGCCGTTGGAAGTCAACCAATCTCTCAAGAATTGCTTATCGTACGAGTCTTGTGACTTGCCCACGGCATAGGTGGAAGCGTTCCAGAATCTGGACGAATCTGGGGTCAAGACCTCATCAACCAACACCAAGTTATCGTCCTTGTCCAAGCCAAACTCAAACTTGGTATCAGCAATGATGATGCCGTTGTTCTTGGCGTACTCCTTGGCCTTGGAGTATAATTCAATGGCCTTCACTTCCAACTTATCGCACAACTCCTTGCCGACGATCTGTGCTGCTTGTTCTGGAGAGATGTTCTCGTCGTGTTCTCCTTGTTCAGCCTTGGTGGATGGGGTGAAGATAGGTCTGGCAAACTCCTGCGACTCTTGCAAGCCCTGCTCGACAGTCAAGCCATGGACCGTGCCCTCCTTCTTGTACTCTTTCCAGGCAGAGCCGGTAATGTAACCTCTGACGATCACCTCCAATGGAATCAATTTGAGTTTTCTGACTAAGAGTGATCTGCCTGACAATTGAGCCTTGTACTTAGGCTCGGACAACTCCTTGGGCAACCTAGCAAAGAGGTGCTCATCGTTGTTGTCGGACAATATGAGATGGTTTGGAATGTTTTGGGCCAAGAAGCTGAACCAGAACTCAGACAACTTGGTCAAGATCTTGCCCTTGTCGGAGATCCCGTTTTGCATGATAACGTCGTATGCTGATATTCTGTCTGTAGCAACAAACAACAAGGTTTCTTCATCCACAGCATAGATATCTCTGACCTTTCCCCTGGCAATCAATGGGAGAATACCGTCCAAATTGGTGGAGTGCAATGATTGGCTCATGATGTTGTGTAGTAAGGATGTTTTCTGTACCCAGATGAGGATGTGGATAGTGCTGAAGGTGTGTTAAATGTTTTATTTCGACTCAGATGAGGTGGGTGGTAGATAGGCGCTTATAGTAATTTGAGATCTGACTCGGGTTGATTAGATCTATATGCAGGAGGGCATGGGGTAGGTGTGCGGAGGAAATGTGAGAGGATGTTTACCAGACTAGTACCTTACATGGCAAACCAGTGGGCTACTAAGGACGAGACTATGTTGGATGGTAATACAAGCTCGTGTAGATGCAGAGGATTTGTCGAAACTTTACGTGGTTGGTAATTGCTTACGTAATCATCTTACCTCAGACTGTGGTGGATCGTAGTGGATACTTAAGTCACAGGCAGGACCCTCACATTGAGTTGATGTTCGCGTCCTAGCTCCCTTGATCTGGTTGGCTACCAGTTGCAATTTTCTACTATGTGCTCTTTTAATCACTGGGCCTTTTGTGGCATGAAATATTTACGTGTATGCAATTGACAGCTCGTGTTTGCATCTCACATAATATGGTACCTGAAAGAAAGGGGCGTGTTGAGATTTAGACGCAGCTGGCATTTGGTGCGGAGAATGTGATTCCCCAGATGAAAGCAATTAATAGAGGCAACGAGAGAGAGAATTGAAGAACAAAAGCTGCAGCATCAAGTGACTGTGAACTTGTTAAATATTTCAGCCACTGGCTATGTCCACCATGCTTTTCTGTGACCAAGCACGACAAATTGAACAAGTTTCCCTTACTTGAACATTGTTTCCTCGTTCAACTTCAATTCTCTGGGATTCGGGGTCATTAAAAGTATTTTTGGAAAGGGTTTCGAAACTCACCCTTCACACCAATCTGCCAATTCACGAGGTTGGCACTTGAGTAATTAGCTCAGCAACACCACACTCGTCACTGCCCCTATTTGGTAGACGTGGTTGTGCCTAAGCCTTGGTGAAGCGCGCTTTGGCACATGTTCCACTTTCAACATAGTTGAGTGAGCTACCTTACGTGACACAGAAGTAGACGATCTTAAACCAATTGAGACCCCCTGCTGTGGTATTGCATAGCGTCTAAACTCCTATTCTTGCATCTATTGTCAATTTTGGACCTTTGCACTATAGTTTTCGGCACCGATCGTGAATCAAAATGAGGCTTAAAACCCCGATTTCGTACAGCAAAATCCTGATGGTCAGCATGACGATTGACGAACCGTTTGAGTTTGAGGAGCAGGGGGTTTCTGAATTTGCATGCGCCGAGTCCGAGTCTCGCCTTTAAGCCTCTAGCTCCTCGGGTGTGGCAATTGATGACTGTCGACTCGGTCATTCCCATACGCACTGACGAGATGCATGAGCCTTCTATTATTAGTGATCGGAATGGACAAATGTGGAAGGCGATGGTAAGCAGCTGAAACAGGAATACCTGTCGGCGTGTCCTGAGTGGTATAAATAGTGAATCGCTTACCCACTGGCCCTATCCTACCACTACAATCAGAAAAATGTTTGGATTCCACGAAGATAAACACGAACAAGTCTACGGTGAACAGCACGAGGGTAAGTTCTCTCACGAATTGTTAGCCGGTGCCGCTTCTTTCGAAGCCGCAAAGCTTTTTGAAGACAGACAAAGAAGAGAAGGTAAGCCTGTCAGCCACAAATTTGCCAAAGAACTTTTGGCTGGTATTGCCGGTGCTGAAGTCGACAAGTTGTTCGAAACCAAGGGCTTGGACTACTTGGACAGAAATAAGGCCAAGAGACAAGCCGAGGACTACGCTCGCGAGAACTACGACAACCATTACGGTCAGGATGAGCAGTGGCACCCAGACTCGCGTCCTCCATTTGACTACGGGTCTGACAAATATAGATACTAAATATTGTAGTAGATAGAGAATCCAAGTGCTAGATTCGATTGAATTTACAATACAATTACTGAACGAATGAAAGTGACGAGAGGGGCTGTTGTAGCGAGAACCAAAGTGATAAACTGACGAGTTTAATCGTGGGGGATTGTCAATCACAGAGGAAGTATTATTGTATGAGCGACCCAAACAGCTGACGAGGCTCTGGCGATCACTCAGAGGAGTGTCCGGGCGAAGTCTGTCTGAGGAGTTAGCCAATTTTTCATTTCCAAGACCCACACACAGTGTGAGTCACCGCAACCAGCACTTCCTAGGCCAACCCTTCCATACTGTACTCACAATATCCCTTACGCTCCACCGTCAAATAGCTGCAATCTAGCTGCAATATTGCAACCACGCCAAGCTTTGGCCCGTGAATTTGTAGCACTGGTTATGTCATGGTGTGCACACAGTTCTCGTCTATGTGCACTCCTCACCACGCGTACGCGTACTTATATATTTATACTGCCATATGTATTCTAGTATACCTACCACTCCTCCATGTCCAGCACCAGGCCTGACCTCAAGTTCACGGACACCGTGGATGAAAGACTGTACTACCGCAAGTATGCCAGCTTGCCCCCTAAAGATGCCTCCACCATCCGTATCATCGACCACAACAACAAGGACTACTTCACAGTGTTGGACCAGGATGCAGACCTCATAGCCGACTCCATCTACAAGACGCAGTCGGTGATTAAGTACAACAACTCCAACAAGAACAGATACGTGACTATCTCGCCTCAAGTGTTCACCAACAACGTGTTGCGGTTCTGCATCATCGAGAGACACTTGAAGGTGGAGGTCTACAGCAACAAGACGTTCGAGCTCATTTGCGTGGGAACGCCAGGCAACCTAGAGAGCCTAGCCAACGAATATGGAGTCAATTTGGAGGGCATGTTCCAGGACTGCTCAAACCCCATTGTGGGAGCCATCAAGTTCCAACAGGCAGGGGCCGCCAAGAAGATCGGGGTGTGCTTTGTGGATAACTCGGACTCGCGCATCCATATGTCGGAGTTCGATGACAACGACTTGTTCTCGAACCTCGAGAGCTTGATCTTGCAGGTAGGGGTCAAGGAGATCGTGCTACCCTCCAACTACCAACCAGGGCAGACCGACAACGAGGTCACCAAGTTGTACCAAGTATTGGACAAGATCGGGGGCATCGTGGTCAGCACGGTCAAGTCATCGTTCTTCTCCAGTAAGGACATTGAGCAGGACCTAGCTAAGATCGTGGTTTCTGACACCCACAAAGAAGGAGAGGAGACCAACATTGAGTTAATCTTAGCCTCCAAGGGCATCAGCTCTGCAGACCACGTCTTATCCTTGTCTTGTTGCAATGCACTCATAAACTACTTGGAATTGTTGGGCAGCGAGGTTTCCAGCTCCTTCACAATTGATCAATACAATTTGACTTCGTTCATGAAGCTAGACTCTTCTACAATGAAGGCCTTGAATATATTCCCAGCCTCGTCCGCGCCATCAGCTGCCATGTCGTCTTACTCCACCACTTCCACTGTCAGCTCAATTTTCGAGCTTTTGAACAAATGCAAGACCACTGCAGGCTCTAGATTGTTATCACAGTGGTTGAAACAGCCCTTGACTAATTTGACTAAGATCGAGGAAAGACAACAGTTGGTTCATCACTTGATTGAGGATACAAACTTGAGAATTTATGTCTCCCAAGACTGGTTGCCACAAGTTCCAGATATCAAGAGGTTGACCAAGAAGATATCCAACGGGCTCAACAAATCCGTGTCAAATGAGAACAAGAAGTTAGAGGATGTAATTAGATTGTACCAATTGGTTCTTGTCATTCCTAACTTGGTGGAAATGTTAAAAATGACTGCAGAAGAATTGAAAGAGACCAACACGGACGAGAGTACTCAAATTGCTCAACTAGTGGAACAGTATTGGCTCAATCCTATTACCAACAATTATACTTCGCTTTTGAAATTCAAGGAGCTTATTGAAACTACAATTGACTTATCACCATTGGAATCCACTTCCACCCATGATCTTCTCAATACCGATTTCAATATTAAACCCGAATTCGACGAATCGTTAATCGAAATCAATGATAAGTTACAAGGAACATTGGCTGAGATCAAAAATCTCCATAACGAAGTTGCAGACGATCTCAACATTGATTTGGATAAGAAGTTGAAACTTGAAAAACATGTACAACACGGATGGTGTTTCAGAGTCACGAGAAATGATTCCGTAGTGTTGAGAAACACTGGTAATAAATACAAGCAACTACAGACTGTGAAAGCAGGTGTGTTTTTCACTACTACCCAGTTGTCCTCCTTATCAGAAGCATATTTGGAAGCATCAGCCGAATACAATCAGAAGCAACGTGAATTGATAAAGGAAATTTTGTCTATCACCTTAACATACAATCAAGTATTCTTGAACCTTTCTTTATCAATTGCAAACTTGGATGTATTGAACAGTTTCGCCAATGTTGCCATTTTTGCTCCTACCCCCTTTGCAAGACCAAAGTTACATCCATTGGCTCTGAGTAATGACAGTCCAGAGTTTGCTAACAGAAGAATCCAACTTGAGCAATCTAGACACCCAATTCTTGAAGTTCAAGACGATATCAACTTCATAGCTAATGATGTCCATCTCTCCAACGCACCCGAAGACAAAGGCAAAGCTTTTGCAATCATTACCGGTCCAAATATGGGAGGAAAGTCTACCTATATTAGACAAATTGGTGTTATTTCTTTAATGGGTCAAGTTGGTTCATTTATTCCTGTCAGCGAAGAAAATGCCACTCCAGAACTCCCTATTTTTGATGCAATCTTATCTAGAATTGGGGCTGGAGATTCCCAACTAAAGGGCTTGTCCACCTTTATGATTGAGATGTTGGAAACATCGTCAATCTTGGCAACTCTGACTCACAACTCATTAATTATCATCGATGAATTGGGTAGAGGTACATCAACATATGATGGTTTTGGTTTGGCATGGTCAATTCTGGAACATTTGATCACTCAAAAGAACTGCTTCACTTTATTTGCAACCCATTTCCATGAGCTCACCGAGTTATCGTCCAAGTATTCCGATAAAGTAGAAAACCTTCATGTTGTGGCCCATGTTGAGAAGGAAAGCGATTCTAAGGAGGATGACATTACATTGATGTACAAAGTTGAACCCGGTATTTCGGATAAGTCATTCGGAATTCATGTTGCTGAGCTAGTCAATTTTCCATCTAAGATCATCAACATGGCAAAAAGGAAAGCATCCGAGCTTCAAAGCTCCAACTTGAATGAAGAAGATAAATTCATTCAAAATAAGAAAACGAAATGTTCTCAAGAAGAAATCAATGAGGGCGTTGGCCACTTGAAGAGCATTTTGAAGAAATGGAGAACAGAGTGTTATGATGAGAACACAAGGACACTTAAGCTTGATAGTGCAGGTTGCGTCGAAAAGTTGAAGAGCATGGTTGAAAGTGACTTCAAAGACTTGATCAAGGAAGACAAGTTGATCAACGAAGTAATGACCATGTTGTAATGGGAATGGACAAGAGTACTGGTGACTGAATTACGGAAAAGAACATATTGAGTGAGTAAAAACCTCGTATATATATTATGGAACATAGTAAATTTATCTAATGAGTATTGACTTTCAAAGAAACGTATTGTATACCATAATTTATTTATCGAATATTGACTTGATTGCAACGGAAAAGTTATCATGTAAACGGTGATTACTTCCTGTACAGCACATTATTCTGATTAACTACACTCAAACAGATTTGACTGAGATAACCCTCCACGACTACAGACTTTCCAAAAAAATGCGTTGTATGGGAGTAGATAATCTAGATCTAGTCTATAGCATTCACAAGATAAGTGCTTCGGGGCTTTCTATATTTCTCACATTCGTAGAGTACTCATGGGGATTCTAGGGTTTTCGTGTGTTTCTGGGGAATTGAGTATACATCCAAGGTTGAAAGGTATTGGGGCTGGTCCTGAAAAACAGGGTCCAAGCCGTAGGGTAGGTTCTGGCTACTTGCAAGGGTTGATTCTGGGCACTTGGTTAAAGGGCATCCAAATTTCACTGGGAACGTCCAACATCCGGAATAGGTATGAATCATAGCACTTCCTGAGTCTATCAATTCTGTCTATCTTCCGAGATTTGGACTTTCAGGCTCAAAGGATCAATCTGTACCAACTATTTCAGGTTCAGTTCACGACACCAGAAATGTAGGACATTCATCACTGCCGGGACTCGCTGTAGCTCTCGTCGTGCTCAGCCAAGCCCTTGACGGCCTGGTGCCGCTTCAAGCCCTCCCTGTCCACCAACGACACGATGGGAAGCCCCCAGACCGTCTTGAACTCGTAGTACCGATCCGTACCGTTCAAAAAGGTGCGCAAGAACTCCAAGTAGATCACGCAGAAATACACCCCTGTGCCAGTGAAAATGTGCCACCATCCGTGGCCCTCTAGCACGAAGCCGTAGGGCATTCCCCAGCTGCGTCTAACACCACGCACCAAGGAGCACAAATGGATGTCCATGTTCCACAACACGTAGCCCAAACCAAAGAATCCGATACCCAGCACGGCACAACGATTCAAATCCTTGCGAGCCATGGCGTCGGGGACGTGAGCCAGCGCAAGCAGGTGCGCCTTGTAGATGATGGCAGCGTTCAAGAGCCCATAGGCAGCCTGGTGGAAGGTAGGGTCCTGGAGCCAGAGGTATACTGCGGTTAGTACGAGCGCGCCCGTGGCGGTAGCGACACCCACCCACGCAGCTTGGTGGCGCGAGCGCCCCTCGCTGTACACCGACCAGAACGGAATACAGGTGGCATAGATCATGGGCAACTCGTCCAACAACTGGTACTGGTATCTCAAGGTCATGTGGAACAACCAGGAGCCGATTCCCACCAAGAGGAAGCCGAGGCCCGTCAACACGAAGCGGAACTCGAGCTTGTTGGCGTAGGTCTGGTAGATGTAGAACGAGGCCAATGCCATGAACACCGCGTTGGTGGTGGTATTGAGGGCCTCAGCGATGTAGTGCGACACCACGTAGTTTTCCTCGCACCAGTCGATGGTCGCGGTGGGGGGGCCCCAGTAGCCGATTTGTTCGGGGGGGTAGGGGACTGCGAACGGGAGCATAGGGTGGAGAGTATTGATAAGAGTGCTGGTGAAGTGGTAAGGCAACTGGTGAAGCTGATAGGTTATCGGAAGCTGGTTCGTGCTGTTCGCCCGAGGCTGGAGTGCGGATGGTTAGACTTGCTGAAGACGTAGACCGGCTGAAGACTTAGACTTGCTGAAGACTTCTCTTAGACTATGGAAGGAGTGGCTCGGTGGTCCAAAGAAGGAGACGGTTTTGCTTAGAGGATGTTCTGATCTCAGCTTCGAGGCAGTATGCTGAAGCTGTGGTTTGAGTGTCAGTGGAGCAGTGATTTGACGTCAGTTGGAGCTAATTCGACCCAGTTGTGCTGGCGATGGTCTCCACGACTGTGGTAATGAGCTGACAGCTAATTGTCTGCAGAGACTTTTGTCTGAGCACTGCTGTCTTGCAAAAGACTGCTGGATCTGGTAATTGAGTCTGGTAGACTTTTGTCTGAACCAAATTGAGGGGTTTCGATGATGGACTGTCTACTCAATGAATGTGCGAGTCTCCACTACTTATAATGCCGTCACGAATCTAGACTGTCGTCAGTGGCGAAGTGTGGGTATAATTACGAGAACACGAGGCGATTGTGGTAACAACAGCCTGGCACTGGTGGGTTTTTGAGGAGTGGGTTCGATTGCTGGCAAATCAAATCCGGGGCGATATGCAGGCAGCGGATAGCCAGATCCCCGGATAAAACGGGCACTATAAATAGCGCCACCACGGGTGGTGTGGGAGGTGGCGTGGCAGGTTGCGTGGCAGGTTGCATGGAGGTTGTATGCAGATGCGTAGCAGGTTGTGTGGGCGTGGCAGCCACGGATGGTTCGGTTGGTGACCGTTCCGAGTGCTGCAGGGTGTCATCTGGTTCGGCATGCGCGCGCAAGTACATGTGTGATTATATGCATCGGATTTATGTCTATGTCAGTGCGAGGGGAGCTAGCAGGTGCTGGACGATAGCCAGGTGATAGGATGGAAGCGTGGACTCCAGCGTACTGAAGAACTGGACTAATGGCCAGCTTGACAGTTTTGGGATATTCCAGCGAAGAATCCACAAAATTGAAGTACTGGACCAACCAACGAAGATAGGCGTCAGCCCTACCAGATTGAAGACTGGCCGTTCGGAACTGAATTCTGGGCCAGGTGGTTCTAGGAAGTCCGTATTGGTCTTTTGGGCCAGGAAAGCCAACCAGTTCTTAATACCGTGTAAAACAAAACTGGTTAAACAACGTAGATTCGAACCAGCTATACCAAATACATATTTGCTGTCGTATGGTAGGCCACACCGGGGCAAATATTCAACTTGCCAGTTGAATACTGGATAGTGGTGGCCAACCAGGTGATTTCAGGAACTGGTGAGTACATTGCTGGTTTTCAATGATGACCGGGTGGACACATTCCCCATGGATATTGATCCCTGTTTGCTGGCTTTCACCGTATCGACTGATCAGCAACTGACCATGCAGTTGTTGTTCAGCTTGTGCTTCACTGCACCACCTCCCCGTGGCGATACCACTCCAACCAGCACTCGTCGTTCAACGGCCGTGTGGTGTAGGTGTCCACCATCACCATCTTCTCCTCATCGGTGGTGTTCCTGCCCTGAGAGCTCTCACCCATTCCGATGGGGTTAGCGGGACCCTCGCTAGCGCGGCCGCTAATTTCGCACCAGTCGCTGCACAACCGCGACTGGTAGTGCCAGTAGAGGTTGGCCACTGCCAACTTCATTTCGATCAAAGCCAAGTTCATACCGAGGCACATGCGAACACCCTTGCCAAACGGCATCATGAACTTGGTCTGGCGCTTGATACGGGCCCGGAACTCGTCTTCAGGCTCGCCTTCGTATGCGAGCCACCGCTCGGGAATGAACAGGTAAGCATCGGGAAAAACCTCGCGCTGGCGGTGCACCGAGTAAGGCTGGCACGAGATGGTGGTACCTCTAGGGAGAGCAACGGTGCGGCCCCCGCGCACCGTCACCAGGTAGGGACGGTCCACCACCCTAGGCTCAGCGCCTGGAATAGAGGTGTGCACCCGCGAGTTCTCGTCAAGCAACGCGTTCAAGTACGGCAAGGTATCGACTCTTTCCAAGTCGTCAATCACGGCGTCGCTACTGCCAGGAACCCCAAACGCCTCGCGCAACCCGTCCACAAGCCGCTGCTGTTTCGCGAGATTCGCAGGCCGCGACAATTCGTAAGTCAAGTAAGTGAGCTGGATGGCGGTGGTTTCGTGGCCTGCAAAGATGTTATCCGACAAGAACGAGTAGGCTGCACGCTCCTTGTAGCCATGCTTCTTCAACGCTTCCAATGTGGACACGTTGGCGGTGGCTGGCACCGCTGGCACGTTGTTTTCCGCGTGGGAATAGATAGAGAGCTGCCAGGCCTCGATTTTTTGCGCGGCCTGCAAAATAGTGGTGCCAGCAGCCCAGTTCCAGAGCCGGGGCATCAAGGTGGTCCAGAACCCCATCAGAGCCACCTGGCGGTGGCTGATGATGATGTGGCGCTTGTCGGGACGCAACAACAAGTCGGTGCCGTTGGAAGCACCGAGCTCGAACGCCAGCACCACGTCCATCGCCAACGACGCAAATAATGAGTACACATCGATGCCTAGGTTGGTGCGCTTCCCCAGACGGTTGAACCACCGCCCGTCCTGGCTGGCGTGGCCCTTGCCGTGCTCGTTGTGCACGCACCGTGCGTTAATCACGTCGGGAGCCCGTCCCGACACCGAGGAGTCGTCCACCGCCTGCACCAACTGGCCGATTTTCTCCACAAGGTTTGCGCGGGTGGTGTTCTTGGGCGAGAAGATAGCCAGCTTGCTATACAACGCAGTCAACACCCGTTTGTACCGCAAGTGCACGTCGTTGGCCAAGCTGGAGAACATGTTGGGGTGGCCGTGGTTGCCAAACTGGCCATAGAACTGCGATTTGGGGAAGTTCTTCACATAGATATCGTGGAGATATTTGGGGTCTCCATTGACACTAATCTCATTTGGTGCTACTACCACCACATTCCCGTACTGCAAGTGGAGCTGGTGCACCGAGGAAATCCACGAGCGTGCGCGCTGGCCGTGCAATGCTCGAAGAACTGACACTCGGTTGAGGTAGGGCCCTGGAATGTGTCGCAAGGGCGAGAGCATCAACGGGTACACCACGAAGTAGTAGGCAAGCACGCCTGCCCACACTGCAGTGAGACATTGCCACGGCTGGCTGAGCACGAGGTGTGCGAGTTGGAGTGCTAGTTCGTACAACATGGAGAGGATGGTGAGATAGGGCTGGGAAGGAGGAGGGTTAAGTAGCTGGCGCGGAATTTGTTGGGCCGAATCAGGCGCGGAATTTGGTGATAGGAACTATACTATGCAATCGGCCGGCATGGCAGGTAGGGGTAATGGTTGGGTGGCTACAATAGCTGGGCCAGCTACGATAGGTGTAGTAGCTACGAAAGATGTAGTAGTGGGTTATGGCTTCCAATATTTCTGCCATTTCTTGCCTATCTCTTGTCCCATTCCTTTATATCTACCTGTCATTCTCCAATAACCTTACTTTCCCCCATCAACGACTGGCTATCGGTGCGCATCCCCACAAAGACGGAACTCTCGATTTCCGTCCCGATCTTGTCGGCCGGTGCTTTAGTTTAAGCGTCCCCAAAGAGACTGTCTATTCCGTGACCATTGCTAGATTTGGCAACAGGCACTTTCCGCCCCATTGGCCGTTTTGGCTAGAGAGACTCATCCTGTCCTTACAGTGGATTTCTAATAGACGGAAAACGGAATTTCTGATGCTAGTGTTGGCCCCTAAAGAGGAGCACCTGCGTTCTCTGCCAGTGGGATTTGGCAAGAGAAACTCTCTCCGCCCGTCCCCTACACTAGTTTTGGCTAATATCCTCTTCCACTCTTATCTAGTCCGACCAATGAACAGGAGATCAATACATCCACCCCACAGCCATAATTGGCCCTTATTCATAGAGAATCTATTCTAATGTTATCTTTAACACTACCTACCTACAATATTCTCTGTGACTCACTACACCAATTCCGTGCGAACGTCTATTTATCCATGGATAATCTATATTCTGGGCATTGGCCCAAGGCTAGTGTGGAACTGCGGCATGGCGTGTCCTGGACACCCACCATGCGCAGGAAAACTCTTCAGAGCATTAACTCTTCAGGGAAATGATAACTTTTCAGAAGCTGTGGTTGAAAACGAATTTTTGCTGAATTTCCATGTATTTTCAAACCACATCAATCACTGTAGGTGGAAAGCAAGTTGGGGAAGCGAGGTACTGGAGTAACGACTGGTTACGAACCGAGTGCAAAGTGCAAACTGGCGAACTCCACCAGCTCACGTCTTCGTCCCCTGGAGATACTGCGAAAACTGCGAGGTTACGTGAATGCCACACTCCGTCTTGGCCTGGCCCTTCCAGCGTCCTGCTCTCTCGTCCTCACCTTCTGCCACAGCCACCGTGGAGTGCCAGTCGCCAATGGACTTATACCCCAAATCCAAAAGAACATTGTACGGCACAGTGTGGGTGTCCACATACTGCTTGACCCGCGCAAAATCCCACTCGCACAACGGGTTGATCTTGTAGATCCCCGTCGCCTCTTCGTACTCCACGACTGGTAACAGGCCTCGCGCTCCTCCCTGGGACTTGCGTCTTCCTGTGAGCACCGCAGCCACCTGGAGGTCTTTGTAGGCACGCTGTGCCGGCTCTACCTTTACCAAAAAATCGTACAAGCTGTCGTTGGACTCCCAAAGCTGGTCGCCATGCTTGGCAACAAACTCCTGCTCGGAAGAAGTGCCTTTGGGTGAGTAGGTGTGGATTTTGGGGTGATACTTCTGCTGGACACTGGCCACCAAATCGTAAGTCTGGGGGAAATGGTAGAGGGTATCGATGAAGATCAAGTCAATAATGTGTTGTGGGGCCTGGAGCTCGCGTGTGAGCTTGGCAATGATGTCCACGGTGACTAGTCCCGTGAGGCCAAATGCAGTGGTCTGGTAGAGTCGCGGGAACGTGATGTAGGCCCATCTGATGATTTCGTGGGGTTCGAGACCCAGAAGCGTGGCGTTCAAGTGGGCCAAGTGGGCTGGCGAGAGGGTGACGGGGTTGGAGGGACTGGTCATAATGTGATCTTCGATTTTGTGAATTTGAATCTGAGTTCTAGAATACTGTGAGTATTATCTGGTGAAGCCTATTGGTATCTGGAACACTAGTTCTGGGTGATTCTGGCTAATAGTGCAGTACTGGAGTAGATCTCTGGTTAGTGCGAGTCTATTCTTGATCTTCTGGTGTTATTGCCTGGCTGTGATTTGACACCTGGAACCGTTGCTGTGCGTTGCTGTGCGTCTGAGCCGTTGTGTTCGCTTTTGTAGGGGTTAAACACGAAAGAATAGCTTTTCCTGGGAAGAGAAGGTGGTGGGCTCGGAATAGTGATGAGTGTATGGGGAAGTCGTTGGTAATAGCAAACCTGCTATTGAGTGGTTGGGCAGTGCCACGTGATATGGTGCTATGATTATTGGAACCCTCACGTGTCGTGCATGTGACTGCTGGTAGTGTTGAGTCACGTGATTATCCTTCCCCCCGCGCGGTTCGTAAACTGCTGCATGGAGCCCCCATGGGTTGTGGGCGTGGTTCCGGAAACCACCATGTTGCAATCGGCGAATACGAGCCGGCATCGTCCACAGCAAGCGGCAGCATACGAAGCAGTGCCCCTCGGGTCTAGAAGTATTTTTTGGGCACCGATTGTAGCATACGATAATGATCCTAGCGATGAGGAGGAGTGGGGGGATGTGGAGGTTTCGGGTGTATGGGTAGGAATTGTCAGGCAAAAATGGCTTTGGGCAGGGAATGGTAAGATGAGTATCGTGGAGGAGAGGATTCAGCAGGAGGAGATGCAGGATCGGATGGTGATTTTCAGGATCAGAGATGGTTCCATGGCTATTTCATGGCTATTTCAGTACTCCGGGTCATCTCCCAGAGAATTGCAATAATCCCAGAATATTATATTCCCAGCCACATCAGAGTAGCATTCTATTAGTATGACAGATTTCACCTTCCCCCAGATAGACATTCCAGTCCCCCACGCCCATGGCTCTCCCAAAAAGGCAATTCTTATCTCCAGACCTTCTCGTATTACGCACTGTGGTCCTGCTGCGGAGACTACGGAATAACTGCCGCAGTACCCCTCTGCTCGTTTACGAGTGGCCATGTAGGCTTGCCCATGCTACGAAGATACGAACACCAGTTTAAATAGCGTGGGGGTTCCTTCCTTCCATCACTCTATTGCGTCTGTTCTTATCACATCCAGACCATGATGCCGTCCATCCCTCCTATTAGTCCCATCCAACAACCCTCGGCCATCATCTGCAACCAGTGCCACACCCAGCTCCTGGCTCACCATCCAGCATTGCAAGATGACACCAACATGCTCATCAACTACACTCCAGGAGACCTCGCGGTGCTAGACGAACATATGCTCATCATAAAAGTGTACTGCGTGATGTGTCCAAACCCCATCGGGTTTCGAGTTATCAGCTTTGTCCACCATCAGGTGGAGTGCGTGGCACCGGAGCATGCCGTGAGTGAAAGCGTAGGCATAGACCTGTTTGTGAATAAGCTCATTTCCATCGAAAATAATGTTAACCAGAAGTGCGCCCAGTTGCAGTACCACCACTTCATGGAGGAGCACAAAGACATGATAGGCAAGCTCTGTCTCGACCACCAGCACATCACGCGGATTGTAGGGTGAGGCGAGGGAGATGGAGACGGAGAGAAGTGGAGAGACTGGAGAGATAGAGAGAACTGGAGAACTGGAGAGACGGAGAGAACTGGAGAACTGGTGAGACGAACTGGTGAGACGAACTGGTGAGACGAACTGGTGAGAGTTGGTGAGAGTTGGTGAGAACTGGTGAGAACTGGTGAGAGTTGGTGAGAACTGGTGAGAACTTATGAACTAGAGAACCTATGAACTAGAGATCCTATGAAATGTGGTCCTGAACTGGTGATGATGGCCTGATTCCTAATGCGGGTATGAGATTTTGATGTCAATGCTCGGAAGAGCCCTACTTTTTACATGAAGGAGAAATACCCCGAGAATCCACAGATGCCTGAGTAATGATAATAATGCCCTGGAGATTAGCCTCCCAATAACGAACATCGTAGCTATGAAGCCAATTATGACCTTTGGTGGAGATACTGCCATATAATGACCTTTGAATATACACTTTCCCTAACCTTGAGCAAATAAAAGCCTGAAATAGACCCTCTGGACCCTGATACGCCATCTCTCGATCTTCACATAAGCCTCAGATCTACATAATGAGCCTCAGATCTAATATACTAAGCTTCAGAACAAAAGGGATATTATCGTCTAGGTAGATGAGCAAATGCTTCATTTGCGAGTCTCGTTTCAGTGCCAAATCGCACACATGGACCCTGGATTCTAAATTACTTTACCGGAGTCGGGTATCTAGAAAAAGACATCTATTTCTCCAGTAATATTGGATTCACTGGCAGGATGTTGTTAGTTTCAGCTGCTTCGTTTCCAATCCGTACCACCGAGGGGTCCGCTAGCATGAACACCAGAAACATCACCGGGTTCTTTTAGCGATCCACCTGACAGATAGATGGGCTTTCTGGTATGATTTGTGTTACATCAGACCTGTCCCGGCTCTCCAACATCGTACCATCCTCTCGTAATTGCCAAGATATCAAGCAATTTTCCATACCATGAGCACTTTAATTTGCTGTTCCAGCAGTCGTATATGATAAGAATGGTAAATTTAAATGCTCGCCAATTTAACATTTAAGTTTTCTAGATATGATTTTTCTAATCTCTAGCTTGGTTTTTTGTATAAATAGGGTGGCTAGAACCCTCCTAGAGATGTAGCAACTCATTTTCCACTCTACCAATGTCCGCTATTTCCTACGATCCAATTCCCGATTTTGGTGCTTTTGATGCCGTCAGCAAGATGGACATGGGAGGCATGGGAGGCATGGCCAAGCCAGCCCACGCCTGTAAGATCTCGATGTTGTGGAACTGGTATACTGTTGACTCCTGTTTCATTGCCAGATCGTGGCATGTCAAGTCCAAAGGTGCTTTTGCCGGCTCTTGTATTGGTGTGTTCTTCCTCGTTTTCGCAGCCCAGTGGTTGCACAGGTTCTGTCGTGAATTAGACAACGCCATCGTGGCTCGTCGTCGTCAGCAAGCACTCAACGTCGTGGACACTTCATCGGAAGACTCCAAGACCAAGTCATACCCATCGCCTCTTGGTTCCAGTCCAAATCCATACATTTACACCCTTTCACACAAATGGTTATTTTTCAGCCAGCCTAACGACCTTGTTCCCAGTCCTTTAGAGCATGTTCTCAGATCTGTATTGTACACGGTGGAGTGGGGATTATCCTATATCATTATGTTGTTGTTCATGTACTACAATGGGTACATCATTATCTCGTGTATCTTGGGTGCTCTCTTCGGCAAGCTCGCCTTTTCTTATAATGAGCCACTCACTTGCAACGACGACGAAGACAGAAAGTGCTGCAAGTAAGGATAAGCACCAAACCAGTTGAATTCAGCGAATGTACGAACTCCAGGCTTGTTAAATAGACCTTCCAAAAATTATTCGTGGATTGTTAGCGTACCATGTTTGTTAATCGGCCCATGATGTTGCCAAGGAGAATGGTGACCTTTCTTTAGGAATCAACGTTGACCATTATATAATATTTCGAAAATGCCTTGTTAATCAAGTCTTCAAATAATCTCATCTTTAGATGGCCTGAAACCCATTAGAATAATCAAATAATATGACTTATGAGTAACTAGTACTGTATAATCTCTTGCTCCCCTTACCACATGGGATGTGCTGGTGGATTCAGGACGAACTATTCTCCTGGGGAGACTTGTCATGGAAAGAACTGGTGATACTTAAAGAGTGTTTTAAGGACTCAGACAGTTTATCGTCTGTGGAGATAATATCTTATGGCAATACACATACTATCATAACTTTGTCATGTGCTAGTTGTCGCCCATGACATGAGTCTTTAACCTTGACTTGGACTCTTCCAAAGCCAATTTTCTCTATTTATCTCTATGATGTGCTAGCAGCCAATCTGCTGCAAAGTAGTATTCTTAAATTTGATATTCACTAGTCAGATAATCCCACAGAATAAGCATTGATATACCAACCAATATAACTTCAGCATAGTCCAGTGTCGATGGTTGGTTGCAAGTCAATACCTACCCATTAATCATATGTTGTGTACAATCCACACAAGAATTAAGTACAGTGAGACTAGGCCCAGCAAGATCCCCATCAAGATCTGCAAAACTAGCTGAGTAGCTCAAAGACGATGAATCACTTATTAGCTCCACCGACCTACATTTGGAACGATATCATTTATTAATAGCCATTATACCTTTCGACCCTAAACCAATATACTAAACCAACCCAACCATAATTAGCAACCCTAACTAGCACCCTTCATAACCCTGGATATCCTTACTGTCATCACTTGATGTAAACTGAAACCCTTACCAACCCTAATCCCTAATCGACTTTATGTTAGCCACCAGTGTGTTTGTGTCCCTGGAGATTCTGTACCAGAAAGGTGTCCCCGATCAATCTACCCATAAACTATTACTCGTTCGTCATGCAATATGGCGCTACACACACTTAGGAATCACCCAATTCCTAGTGTAACTCTGCATGCATCGAGTAAATGTTCCAAGACAGATACCACGGTGACTAGTAACCTCAACAGGCATTGAATCTTTATAGCATAACAGGAACCACAAATACATTGCAACTGATGACGGATCCAATCCAGCTTAACAAGAAGCCTCAAGGGTTTTTATTCTCATCTCAATACCCTTCCCGATGCCCTTTTGATGCATAAACCCCTTAATTTCTCTGTTGAGACGTGGTTCATGCTTCTTGTGGCTTACTTTGGGTACAAATGGATGTGGACCATTCTCACTAGGTAATTCAGGTTCATTTTGGATGGTTCCCGGGTCCTCTTTGTGAATATAATCAAGCAGATCCTGACCGTCAATTGGTCTGTCAGTTTCGAATTGATCCATTATCTGATCCTCTTTGTGGATATTATCAAGCGAATTTTGAGCCTCAGTTTGTGGAGGTTCGTCTACTGGAACCATTGGCTGATCCTCTTCGTGGAGATTGGCAGGCATGGCTTGGTCAGGATTTAACTTGCAAATGATTGCACATATCTGCAGTTCGATTTCCAACCTATGGGAGTTCACAAGATGGTAAGAAGGATGGTCTGGGCCAACAGCTAGCATCAAATGATCTAATTCCTCCTGGTTATCCCATTGCTTCTTAAGCAACTCCTCCAATTTGCTCTTGAGATCAGTCTCAAATTCTGGTATTGGTTCTAATGCACATTCAGAGGTGCCGATACAACCGATTCTCTCCAGGATTGTCTTCACATCCAAAGTGGAAGCGCATTCAGAAGTTTCGTCGGCATGGATAATATCAGACTCTGGTGTAGAAGAGCAAACTTCAGCAACCTCAGAAGAATTAATTCTTTCTGAGATTGGCTTCACAGCTGAATTGGAAGCACGATCAGAAGCTTCTTCTACGTGGATAATATCAGGCTCTGATCCACAAGTGCAAACTTCAGCACTCCCAGAGGAGCCAATTCTCTCTAGGATCGCCTCCATAGCTGAGTTGGAAGCACATTCAGAAGTTTCGTTGACATCGATAATCTCCGGTTCTGGGTCAAAGGAGCAGACTTCAGCACTACCAGAGGAATCAATTCTCTCTGGAATTGACTTTATGGCCCTAATGGAAGCAAATTCAGATGCTTCATCGATTTGGCTATTCTCTGATGCTGAGTCAATAGACCAAACTGAAGCATTATCATCATTCTGGATATTTTCCAAGGTTACTGGAAGGTAAACGGGTGTCTTGTAGTATTCGATACTGTTTGGGATTGTCCCTGAAGAGTATACTGAAGCAACTGAAGTGCGATTGGAATCAGCACCACTTTGATAGGAAAACTGAGAGGATAATGTTGAAGAGTCTCGCAGCTTGTATTCGGGATCTCTTCCTGAAGTATTACTGAAGATAGCCTTCAATCTTCTCAAACTGCGTGCTTTTGTGTTTGTACTTTTTCTTTTAATAGCTTGCTTTATTCTGGTAAGACTAAGTCTTCTTCTCGATCCACCATTGTCAAGAGGGTCATCATGCATCCCTCCATCGGTTGATTGATCTTCTGGGAACTCACGAAGATTATCAATATTTAAATTATCGACGAATAACGGGTTCTCAATAACTGCCACAAATGGGCCTTCACCTTTCTTGTTGCCACGGACACTTGCCTTGAACTTGGAAAGACGGTAACGGAACATGCTTGAGTAATCGGTTGTTAATTTCGTAGACTTCTTACTTGAGCTTGTTCGATTTTATACTAAAGATAGTATGAAGAAAAGATTCTAAATCTCTAGGAGGGCGAGACAAAATTTATACCTGGTGTACAAACGGAAAAGTTGCAAGGTGAGAGTACCAATAGAGAACCAAGTTATTTGCTACAGCGAAGAGAACGATACAATGCAACGATTACCAGCGAGTATTATTCTAAGACTTTACTGTCCATCACAGCCTAATCTGCTCTCTGAAGTAGTAGAACTTGTAAACCATGTACTTGTTACAGATCCTCCTGGCTGGTGTTGGCTGCGAAATATGGTCACGTGATCGGGCTAGATAGAAGGAAGTTAAGAACTATTCTTGGTAGGCTGGGTGTTGCAGCCACGGAGGTGGGAGTATCTGAATATATTAACTATTATAATTCTCCTGTTTATTTTGATGTCTGTTATTTTAAAGATTCAGGATGTGTTTTTACGGATCCAAAATCCTTATAACTTCCCTTCTCCTTACTAGATTCTTGAACATGAGGCCATTTCTCTATGTTGTGACACATAATGACAAAGCAGTATAGATATTTGAACCCTATGATAAAGAGGAAGAGCTGTATTTACTTCTTAGGCTGTTGACACTTATTATCTTAGGACAAAACAGTCAGGTGGCACACATTCATCCGATAATCAGGCTACTTGTATCTCTTAGATCTTTCGCATAGAGAAATTCGTAAAGATATAATCCTCAAAACTATTCTGTGCTATCATGGAATTACCGATAGATCCCTGTAAGTATTGAGTAGCCTGTTAAATAGCCAGCAGTCTTGGTGTTGTTATCTACGAGATTGAAAGGTCATTACATGTGATTGACTTAGCATTAACTACTTCAGTTGACGAAGCCAAAAAAAGTTCCCTATATATAGAGAACAATCTATTACATCTTGATTCCTAACTTCTCAATGCCCGCAATAAGTTGGTCCTCTGCCAGAGTGGACTCAATGGAATGCTTCTTCTTGCTTGGGGTTTTCTCATCTTCAACTCCCGTCAGCGCCTTCATTTTGTCGGCATTGACTTGTTTGCGAAGCAATCTTCTCCAACTCTGGAACCAGTCCGGTGTGATGTAGTTCTTACGTGGCAAGAATTTTCCCTGGGTTCTTTCGATGGTGAGATTGTCGTCGCACTTCATAGTAAGATGGAACGGCCCATACTTGGGTTTGTTCTCATAATCCCTCACTGCCTCGATGATAAACGTGAAAACAAAAGAGAACCACTTATCCAAAAACTCCTTGTGAAAACGAGATTCTTCTGTGGTGGGATCCTCCAAGCCTAGTTTTTCATTCACATCAACTTCGTGGATACCTTCCAACATGAATTCATCGTCCCTCTTGCCGTATACCAATCTATTCCCTCCAGCAAGATAGCATTGAATCAATGCCGTCTGGAGCTTCCTTCTGTTGACCAGTCCCCATGCTTTAAGCTCTATGTAGTTGTCAAGTATGGAGTATTTATCGTACTTCTCGAACTGGGTGTCTTCCACTGCATCCACTTCACATGAAACCAAAACCGAATATTTCTCGTCTGTGACGCTCTTGAACTCGTGGTTGACCATACAGTTGAACTTCTGCTTGTTATCTCTGGCAGGAACTGGGTTCAGGGTTGCGTGTGCCTCGAAGTTGTATCCACACATTCCTGCTGGATCAACCTTCTGATTATCGTTCTTTACCCTTTCTATGAAGATCTGGTCGTCGTAATAGACAATATTGAGTAAGAATCTGGTGTTGTAAAATGGCACACTCATCAATTCGAGGATGCTTCTTCTCGAAGCGATGATATCGCAGTCTATTCTCCTCCTTTGGGACTGCTCCCACTCTTTCACTGCCAAAAGCTTGCTGCATTGTATGCTGGCAACATCTTTATTGGCATGTTTCGAGTAGTTGTGGTACGTCTTGTATCCAAGGGAAAGGTCCACGGTCTCATCTGACGGACAGTAAGCCTGAGCTGAAATACTGGTGTTGGTGATTCTGAGACTGTTGTCTCTCGAGTAGTGGAGCTCCTCGAATGGCTTGAACTTCTGGCCAGGATATGAATTAAGGAGAAAACTGGCAAATTCCTTGCTTCTTATAGTATCCTTGGATATCTTCCTTTTGCTGACAAACTCGTCAAGTATATGGGAGTCCATTTGTAATGGAACGAAGTATGCTTCTGAAAGAATAAGACACCCAAATGATACTGTTTGAATGTGAATTAGCCATACCAAGAATTGTGGAGAGATGGCGTCACGTGATGGGATCATCAGTAAGAAAACGGTTAGCGTCCGTTTACGCCTCGTCTAGAACATCACCGGGCGATATCCTGCAGAGGTTGTTCACAAAACTGGTAGAAAAGAGAGGGAATATGATTGGTTCCAGAAGGCAGCGAGTTAGCCGGTTTATTAGGTAAATCGACTGAAATAATTGATTTGGGATTGTTTTTTAGTACGGTAGAGGCTTTGCAATGTTTGGTGAGAGTTTTTAATCTGTATGGGAACGCTGTTTCAGTTGAGATCCTTGTGTTGGATTTGGGAGCTAAATAGTGCTATACACTATCCCTTAAGTACTTCTTTGAGGATACTTTACCCAGAAGTCAAGCCTACCAGTCGTGGATGTGTTGTAGGTTTCTCTAACCAAATAGTTCGATCTCTAGTGCTGGGCAACTGAAGACGCTGCCTAATTACCTCACGATTACTAAGCATCAAAGTTGATTAGTTCAGTGGTAACTTGAAACAGAACCCCTAGGGTCTCCTCGGCCTCATATCTTTGCATTTCATTATTTATTAATTTTGCAGACGCAAAATTTCCCAGGCAATAGGTGGCAGGAAATTCCAAAAAGAAGACTATAGAAATTGGATGACTATGGACTGTATGCTGTTTGCTCCGCCCTGATGTGGATTACAGACGATTCTTGAATTAACGTTTTACCACATATGTGGTGAGATGTTTATGCCCGCTAAAAGAGAATTCCCCATGCAAATTGAATAGAAATAAGACAGGGTGGAGAATTTAACTATCGTTGTGGTCGAAATGGTCCAAATTGCCCCAAAAAGCACCAGAATATTCACATCAGCTGCCTGAATCCCGTCGCTAGTCTACGATAAAAATTAATTCCACTCTACTCCTCTAAAATTCCATCTCTTCCAATACTCGTTACCTCTCCGTGGTTCATACCTTTTGATTCGAACTGACTTAATGAGTTCCTGCAGGTACAGTACTAGTATCATCATCATAATTACTTTCTTATATGCACTACAGTAATCCAGTTTCAAATTATCACCAAAGACGCGTTTGCCACCATGCTAAACCTCTTTTATACTACCGTGCCTGCCAGTTCTTACCACGCACTCGTGGTCGTGGACAAAGATGGCACCCTCTACTATATGACTCTTTCAAAAACCAACACCGGGCTGTTGCAACTGCTCATGGTGAAGGACTTCTCCAAGCACACTCATATCAGACTCAACGCGTTGTCTTCGACTACACTCATAAAGGATGCAAGCAGGATCAACCAAACGGTCGCCCTAGTCAGAGAGGCCATGGAAGACCCTAAATCCATGGACATCTCCAAGATTAAGTACAAGATAATCTTTGGAACCAGCCTCCAGCGCAGAGTATGGGACAAACTCCTCGAAATTGAGCCTGGAACTGTCACCGACTACTTCACGTTGGCTGGCGCATTGAAGATGCCAACCTCCAGCAGAGTGGTTGGAAACTGTGTCGGGGCAAACAGAATAGCCTTGTTTATTCCATGTCACCGGGTGCTCACCAAAGACCGCAAGATCAGTGGTTACCGCTACGGCGTGGAAGTAAAGCGGGATATACTCCAACTCGAGCTTGGGCAAGAGTTCGATAAGCTTGTCAACTAGGAGTGGAAAACATGTCGTGATATAATGATATTCCAACGCTGCGCGAACAATAGGTGTATTGCATTGTCTTGCTGTGGCCTGGAATAGGGACTTAATATCGATGAAGCGTTTACAGGGTCGGTGCATATAGCATTGCCTTTTTTTACGGCCATAACGGTACTCTCCATCAACTTTTTTGGGTTCATCTTAGTTTTGTCCTATTCTTTAACAAATACTGGTGCAATTAGACAATACTGGTGCAATTAGACGGTAGTGAACCACGAAATCGACGCTTGATTCATAACTGTTAGGATTAAACAGCTGGTCACAAGTAAGTTCCATGGAGTTTAGGAGCGGAACCGGTAAAACATTCATCCTTAGAAGGTGCTATTGGAAGTATATTTGCTTTGACCACAATAGACTCGCAGGACGAGGAACTGACAGAAGAAATTCTTCCTATCTTTGAAATCTCCTATTTTGGTGCCATTGAATGGGTGCAAAAAATCATACTATCTTGTTTGCACCCTCACGGGCTTTTTTGCACCCTGACGAACAGATCATTTCTTGGGAACCTGTTGGTACACAATCTTTACAATCTAGATAAAATATGCTTAATTATGACGCTTTTGATAATTTTCATGCTATCGTAATCATTTTGTATACTATTAATGCTTGAATTATGGTATTAAATATGGAGCTAATTATACAGATATGATCATTGATTCATAGTAATGGCTGTCGAAGTTAAGAAGTGAAAATGCATGGTTTGATTAATTGTGTTTTGCGGGAACGTCTCTGAGATGCTCGTATTCGAAGAGCGACATTCTAAGTGGTTTGTCCAACCTGACAGTCTTCTTGACTAATGCGTCGTATTCCTCGTTCTTGCCAGATTCATAGTTGTCCAACATTTTTCCTTGCTTGTCTAAGGGATCGTTTGGTCCTTTTGGTTTGTCTTGATCGTACTTGACCAAGTAACTGAGTTCGGCCTTGTGGAAGTCGTACAATCCCTTGGAGTGACTGAATTCCAATTGCAATGGTTCACTTTGTGCCAAAATTCCATGCAATTGCTCGTCGCTAATCGTCTTTGCTAAAGTGATGAGCTTATTCTTTGATACATCAGTGCCTTCTAAGTAGTCGTTTGGATCAACCACGCTCAACAACTGGTCCTGATGGACCCAGTTCTGTAACTTTGGAACGAAATACCAGTCTTTGTGCTCGTAGCTGACCAAACCACCTCTAGGATACTCAAACTTCAAACGACGAATAATTTCGTTGGGGATATAGGTTGGAACACCACTGAACATAGACATCTTGAGAGGACTCAAGTGCTCAAAGTTGTAGTAGTGAAGTCTACGATCATTGTAAACCTCCTTCTCTTCGTCTTCATTCATGATGGTGCCCTCGTCTTCGCTGTCGTTGATATTCTTATAGTAATTTTTGGGGGTTGCTTCCTTGCTGGTACTGAGACCGGTGATATCAATGTATATTCCCGAGTCGACATCGATAAATCTGGCGTCGATATGGTTGGACCTCTTGCTGACGTCTCTGTTGTGGATATAGGTCCCCACGTCAATGAGGAACTTGCCGTAGCCTTCGTTGAGATCCTCCACCACCAAAGTCTGATTGTACAATTCGCCCAACTTGACCAATTCTTCCACGGGCATCTGGATATCGATGTCGTTGTCGTAGGGAAACATCTGGCCACTCCAGTACCAGCTCAATAATGGGCCGTGCATTATCCACGAAGTCATGTCGTTCTTGGTAGCAAATTTGAACCAGTTTCTCATTAATCTCTCCAAGATAATGTTTGTTCTTTGGTTGTCGACGAGTTTACCGTTGAAGAACCGCCAGTCGTAGTGCCAGCCGTTGTCTGTGTTGTTTTCATTGACCCTCATCGATGACATCTTGAAGTAGGTTATCTCGTTGGCCGAGTCGTGTTCCTTGCTTCTTTCGAGCGAGTTTAAGAACGACCGTTGCAGGACGTCGAGCTCGGTACGCCCAGCCATACGCTTGTAGAGGGAGATCTGCAGCTCGACGTCTCCACGACCGTAGTGGAACATGGAAGGGGTCAACTCCTTGACGGCAGAAAAGTTCTGGTACTGGGTCTTGTCGCCAATGGTAAGGCCTTCTGCCTGGACCAAGGCGTTGAACTCCTTCACGGGGTTGAGGAGCACCTTGCCGCGGGAGAGCCTATTATTCTCAACATACTGGTTCATGAGCCCTGAGAATATGATTTTCTGCTTGGACGTTACGTTGTACACCAAATCCTCGCCGTGGTCGTTCAAGAACATGATCTTGTAGGGGTTGGGCGAGTTGGTGAACAAAAACGTCTTTCCCTGCATCAATCTGTATTTTTCATCGGTCTTGTAGTCAGAGTAGTCGTAGTAGATGTACCCAGGCACCTGGGAGTGTCCCAAAAACCCGTACTTGGCGAGGAGCCGGGGTGACACGTCCTCGTTCGACATGCACTTGATATACTGGTCGTTGTCGTATATCCTCGCTCTGTCGACCTTACTGTTGCATTCGAGGTACTCCTTGACGTGCTTACAGTCCATGCGCTCGTGCACCGGTTTTTCAAGTTCGTGGTTCAAGTAGGTGAGGTCCACCCAGTCTGCCCAGTGGAACGGGAGCTCGAGCGTGGAGTTGCCGGCCAACTGGTGACGAAGGTGGTTCAACGTCAACGAGATGGCCAACCGTGGGTCCTGGAAAATGGTGTCCTTGTTTCTCCAGGCGCTGGGCGAGGCGGTATCGTTGAGAAACATGCTGGAGTCCACCGTCAAGTGATTTTTTAAATTGGGCTCCTTGGCGTTGGTGAGGAGTTCCTGGATGCGCGCATCGTAGTTGATATCCTCCACATGGTGGTACTCCTCGTCTCCTGGACGCAAGTTGATGTGGTCGACTTTGGTGGTGCGCAGGTGGTAGGCAGCGAGGCCCACGAGGTTGACCACTACCAAGGCTAGAAAGATCTTTTTGAGGCCAGAGGCGTTCTTGATGCCCATGGTAGATGTGGTAGATATGGTAGTATGGGTGGGAAAGCCTGAAGGAAAGCGAGTGAAAAGGCGAGTTCGAGCGTAGAAACACGGTGGGGCAGATCGATAGTATATATATTACCCCGGCATCGCTGGTGTCAACAGTCACACGATCCAATAGATGCTAACTAAGGGTACGCTTAAAACGGCGTTGGGGATTCCGCATTGGGCGCATTGCAGCCAGGAGCGGAGTCCACAACCAGGCTTCTGCATTGGCTTCTGCATTCTCCGCTAGATCGACTAAAAATGGGTGTGGGCGCTGGACCGCCGGGAAAAGGGTGTCTGGGATAGGGGGCGTGGCTCTCTCGTGGGATTTGGTGGAGCATAGTACCAGCACTTGTGGAGACTGGCTTCGGTTCGGGGTGGCCTCGGTACCTGCATTGCACGCTAGCCAACGCGGTTCTGGCTGTAGTTCGCAAGTTATGCGCCGTTACGAGCCCTGCCATGCGCGAAGACTGCTCGGGATATGTAACCTTGCTTAGCAACAGGTGCAGCATGCGTCCCCCATCACACGCACAAAGAGTCGGCTTCACTAGGTAAGCCGTTCGCCATACACCGGGCCAGACGGTCGCCATGCACCACTATAGAGTCCACGATGCAAATGGGCACCCCTGACCTGCTCTGTAAAGGTTTCCTTGAACAAACCCAACCTATTCATGCAGGTAACGCCAACCCCGGAAATGCGCGATGGTGCCAAGACCATAACGTCTAGAGAAGACGCCTGAATCGAACAAGCAGCAATATTTTGGTGTTCTGCACCTTCTGCCATTCATGTTCAATTGTGTTTCAGGAACGGCACACCCTCAACAATCGCAGGTTAGAAGTGCCTGGCTCTCTGCGGGACACAACTCTGGGCTCATGCCCCTCCTCCTGCTAATTGTCTGTCTGCTGATACAATCGGGGCCAGACAATAGATGTAGGAGCCGTGCTTGGTGTCGGTACAGGCCAAGACGTTGGAAAGGCTCTAGAATATGGTGACAGAATCGTAGCAGCAGCTGAAGAACAGTGCAGGTATAAGTTCTTCGCTAGCACAGGTTGGGAACTCCAGAGGGCCCCACCGAAGAGCAATTCTTGAATTACTGTGAGAAGAGTATCCGTTTTTGCGCAGCGGATTTACTAGTGGTGCAGATATGGTCCCAGCGTGCTTGGATCTAAAAAATACGTGCATATTCCGCGATCGACCCAGCATTGTTAAAGGGATGGGTAAACCCGGCGTGACTAAGGATGTCCGATCGTTGGACGTGGAGAGAGCAAGTGGGCGACTGTTTTGGGTGGCATGAGTAAGCGCAGATTTTGATGTGAGATTCTGGAGACATGCGAGAAAATGCCCGTTCAGATGATGTACCTGGAAATGACGTAGTAGGCAGTACCCCTTGGTTTCCGGTGGTTAGTGCCGATGGAATATCTTGAAGTCAAGTACCCGTGTCTGGCAAATTTCCTGGTGAAGTGCCTTTTGGTTCTACAATAATCAAATTGCGTTTTCTCGCTATTTGATGGCTAAAGTTCTTTTGTTTGCAGAGTTGGAGCTCAAAATTATTCTCGATAAAATAAAGTCAAGACCTCAAATAATTTTTTAAAGGGATAGTCATTTTTCTCAATACCCCTACTAAGGACCCAAGCATACGACCTATCTATTGCAATCCTATCTAATAGCTGGCTGCGGCTTTTGTTCGGACTTAATTCGGCAACTTTGTTCCCTGCATGCCCATGCTAGCCTATAGCAACTGGTGCCTGAAACGTAATCTCTAGTCGTCCACTGGCCAGATGAGGATGTAAGAACACTCTTAGTACACTGTGAACCAATAAATGCCATTTTTTGAGTGGTCCCAGTGGGCTTCGGTGATTTAGGGCATTAATATAGTTAAAAAGTTATTACGCTATCGACCAAGACCTTTGAGAAATGCCAACCCTTTCGTGTTGTTACCTAGCGTGCTTTTGGCCTGATTATCCCGGTATTTTTTGCAATGCTTCACCAATATTGCACCGGATGAAAAATATTACACTTCGATGGAATGTAGTTCAAACAATTTCTCTGACTTCATGCTTATATCGACTTGGAGATAGTAGTCTCATTTCCGGAGGTTTTCCCATCATTGGCTACCAAAGGGTGTAGTGTTCGCGTACTCTCTGATGGATTGTGAGAATGGCTGCTATTGGGTAACTACCTTTTTCTTTAGCACTATCTGTTAGTTCCAAGAACTTGAATGGCTGGACTTTAATTACTTAATTTTATCTTCGTGTTCTTCGTATTTTTTTAATATTCAAAGTTGATAGATGATAGATTTGGACCTTGCCCTTAAATCAATCTATTTATTGGTACGCAAAAAGGTTATCGCCATCGGTTGATAATCTAGTACCTGCCCAGGCGGCACGAGATCTTTTGCCAGAGTTATATCTAATTTAATACATAAAGTAGTTCCACAATAATTAATTTGTATGCTCTATAATAGTCTTTTAGATTCATAGTTTTGAGTAATCGATATCACACAGCCCTTTCATAACGTGGCCCTAGAAGTCTAAGTTCCGTGTGATCTAGCGATAGGCATTGTAAAGCCACTCGCTTATTTAATTTACAAGGCACTTTCACTCATTACGTCTATCGAAGGTTGTACTAGAGAGATACGAGAATGAGATGGATCATGCACATCGTGAATCATGTTACTGTCTACCTTCCAACTCCCATACTATCCATCACTGGTCGTGCGCAGCCCGATCAGCTCGAGCCCATCGCCTCATATGCAGTATAAATTATTCAGAATCTATATTGCAACCTAAACGGTAGGATACCATCCCAGCATGAGTGTTCCACGTCCGCTAACGGATCTGGAAAAACTCGCGATCCTCGACCACCACACCTATCATTCAACCGTCAACTTCTCCCACACTGTTAGCAGAACATTGCACACATTCAGTCCCGAGATCCCCAATCTCTCCGAAGCTTCCATTGATTTCATTAACAAGATCAATGAAGAGGGCATCCGAAAGAGAACGCGCCATGAAATAGCCGCACGCACCTTGGCTGACTACAACTTGTGGTTGCTAATTGGCACACAGGGCCACAAAGAAGATATGGCTAAGAGGATCTATTCCAGATTTAACTCGATGTTCGAGGTAGATGTGGAACCGAATCTGTTGGCAAGGTACGAAAGAATCACTCGAGGTTTCAACTTAGCATTTACTGGTGAGCCAATAACTTTGAAGGCGGAGCTAGACAAGATCGTCTCGTTGTCGAAGGAGTATTCTCCCAATTGCATTTATTTCTTCAACGAGGTCAACTTGAAGCAGCAGGAGAACATTTTCACGTTCTCGTTGGCAGGGAACCTCAGCAACTCCGATTTTCTCGATCCCTTGGTCATAACGAACTTGCCCAACGAGAAGTTTAACTACTACCCGACGGGCCTATTAAACTCGTACCAATTCGAAAACTACTTGAGGCGGATCAACATGCAATTAAAACTGAACAACCGTCACATCGTCTTGATCTGCAGAAATAACGTTTTCTTGGATCCAAAACTGTTCTCAAATATCAAAATTCATTTCATCAACTTGAAACACGACAAGCACTATTCGCGTCGAAACTATCTCAAGCTTCCTGACGAGTACGGATTGAGCCATTGGTTGAAATTCAATTTGACAGACAAGCTCTTCCAACTCAGTAACTTCACCGAACCATCTTTGATCGTGAGCTCGTTGTGTCTCTCATATCACCAATGCATTACAAAATTATTAAACATTCCAATCTATCACAAGTTTGTCCAGTTGAATATAAACCGTTCAGAGTTTTTGGGCCCCTTTAACAAGAATTCCAGACTTGATAAAGAGTATATGGTTGTGTCTGATATCTACGTAGTGAAAAACGAAAAATACGATCGGATCCCAACCAACTACTACAACAACATATTCAAGTCAGTGGACTACAACTATGCAAGCAAGGACATTTACTATATTCTCCAGGAATTACGGAACTTTGGATCGATGAGCTTTACATGTGAGACTACTATGGAGGAAATTTCTCAGTTTATTGACAAGAAATTAATGCCATTTATTGCCAGCAATCGAAAATCATCGTTATCGTATTTCAACGCGTTCTTCTCTGAACTTATGGACAAAGAGAAGGGAAAGGAACTGCCCCCATATAAAGAGCCTACCAGAAGACTTTTTTCTATACCGCTAGATCATTGGGTATCATTCAAGGTTATTTTGGATATCGACAATGCCATGAGAGACGAACGACAGATGAATTTGTCCAATGACGGATATGTGGAAGATAATTTATTTCCAAAGGATGACAGTATAGTGATTAAGAACTCAGGTACTTCATATTCAGGCAAGACAAATGAAATTTCTAGCTTGGAGAACGGTGAATCGGCCAGAGTACAACCTCCAGCAGAAAAAGAGAGTTTGGCCCAGGCCACGAAAACAATTGCTCAGATTAATTTAGTTGATAATGTGAGTTCCAACAACACAAAACCATTGAATAATGTGCCAGTGGTCATCACAGATAATTTAGCGGTAGTTGAAAAAGCTCCACCAACTAATTTGCGTATTAATTTGCCAGCGGTTACAAAAGCCCCTCCAATTAACTTGCCTCCGATTAATTTGCCAGAGGTTACAAAAGCTCCACCAATTGATTTGCCTTCAATTAATTTGCCATCGATTGCAAAAACTCTACCAATTAATGTGCCAGTACATCCACCTATACAAGAGGCAGCTTCTGATACAAATATTCCCGATCCCAGTCCAATTGAACATAGGCCTATCAAGGATAGATCTTCAATTTCACCCAATAAATTCTTCAACAAGGTGCCCTCTCCACCCATTGCAAGCACACTGCCCAAAATTGGAACAGTCATTCCAACAACAAGCTATTCAAAAATTTCTGCATTACCGTTGCCACTTCCATCAATATCACCAGCAGTGGCCCATCCACGGACCAGAATTATTGCGAAACAGGAACGTTCTAGTCCCGTGAAAAAACGGAAAACTACAGTACCACCCATTCCCACAGTGAAAAAGTCCAAAATCTTGGAGGTTTTGCAAAAGGATAAGCTATCGTTCGTTGGTGCTGGAGATGGTCCTATTTTTTCTGACGATTCTGAAGATTCTGATAACTCGTTTGATCCAACTAGGAACGAAAGAATTAAAATTAGGAACGAGAATAATCGGCCGATGGTCCCTTCTGGTCTTAGCAATACTATTATTTTCTCGGATAGATCCAATACTTCGATACAGTCCAGAAGTAACTCCAAAAAATCCTTGGTTGAGAATAGCGATACTGGTACAAATCCAAACCCTGAAGAGTCTGGAGCAGGTGGGAGTGATGTTAATGCTACACTCAACCGTCCCGAATATGCCCTGGATTCAGATATTGCGGAAGATATAGCCAGAATTTCTTCCAGTAGCTCCGAATCTGATGCTGAGTCGGATGCTGACTATGAGAGTGCAGATGAAGGAAGCGTCTACCACAGCCCAGGTGAAGGCGCTCGTATTGAGAGCCTTTTAAGTGACCTGGACTCCTCTGGCCATGATATCAGTAAGCCAATTGTGGTTGTGGAGAGTATTCCAACTAGAAAGGAAAAGGTAGCTTCAACAAATAACTCAATTACCCTGCGTGGACTAGACACTAATTCAAGCCAACCTAGAAGGGTTTCTTTGATATCAGAAGTGACCCAAATCTCTGACAATTCGGATACTGATTCTGAAGATGACAATGGGCCGGAAAGAAGAAATCATCTAGCTCCGGTTATTGGCACTACCGTTGAAATTATTCCAGATACTGAGTCAATCGTTATCACTAAAGACTCGAACTTGCATGACATTGTTATGGCTAGTTCTAGCGACCAGGATTCCGAAATGATGGACAGCGTAGATGAATTGGATGAAAGATTTCCGGTATCTCAAAAAAGGATGATGATTAATACCCCTACAAAACAGGTTTCGACGATCACTGAGACCCATGAAAATGGAGAGGATGTCCCAAGCTCTGCAAATCAGGCTAATCGTTCTCATACCGTCACAGCTGGTTCTCAATCTTCTGAATCTGCCAGCGAGGCTAGTAGCGACCTGGGTTCAGATTCACACTCTTCTGCCTCTGAGACTGCCCCAAAACCTGCAACTCGGACAGTAGAGGAAGACCACGATATGGCCAGCAAGCGGAGTAATATTGCTCCTAATTCAGTGCCCTCGAAATTTGCAACTCAAAGAGTGGAGTTGTGGAGCGAGCTGGGCCTGGACTCCGACACTATTAAGTCAGAAAATACACCGAAGTCAGCACCTCAGGCACCAATGCCAATCAGAAATTCCAAAACCGTTCTGGGTGTCCTCTCGAAAGGTTCAACTCAAACTCATACAGTAGAGTTGTGGAGCGAGCTGGCCACAGACTCAGACTCATCTAAATCAGAGAAGTCATTAAAGTCAGGAACGCAGGTATCAAGGCCAATCAGCAATTCCGACACTGTTCTGCCAAAATCAAACTCTTCCGAATCACTGTTAGGAAAAACCTACAACGCGGATAACCAGACCCATGCTCTGTCCAGTCGGGAATCTCTGCATTCCCCTACCAACAATAGCAAATCCCATGGTCAAAATCCCAGTGAGTCACCACATCGACTTGTATCGCTCAAAGATATCAGAAAACCCGTAACAACAAAAGAGGACATTCCGAAGCCTGAAATCCGCCGCCCTGGCATGGTGAAGAAGAACGCTTTCAAGGGAAGAAATGAATTCAGTTCATCCGAGTCCGAAAGTAGCTCGGACGATCTGTCCTCGGAGGAGGATGAACCTCCAAAAGCTTCGCAGCCAACCATAGTTCCAGTCAAGAAAAATGTTTTGTTCAAGCTTCATGTACCCAAAATCGTGAGCCCCAAGAAATACAAGAATGGAGGACAACTGGGCTTGCCAAAACGGACATTGAAAAAGAAGTAAAACAGCCTGTATATAGAAATGATCAAACTAATAGAGACACCATTTCAACTAATCACCATTTCAACGAGTAGGGCCCATTTCACTTATCTGTAGCAATTTGACCAAAATTAACAAAAATCGAATGAATCGACATAGGCAAATGTACTCAGTTATGAAGATTGATCTATCTTAAGTGAGTGGTAACCATTACATTCAACTACACGTATCAGACAAACCGAATTGATATGAATTTTCACATCCAAGCAGTTGACAACTGTGGCGCCCGCTACTGTGGAAGCCCATAGAATCCACCAGCAGTACCAATAACTTGAATTCATAAGTGCCCACCCAGTGGCTCCAAGACCGAAATGTCTGGACGCACCCGAACCACCTCTCTGTGTCTGCACCCCTCTAATCGCTATAGTCTTGGTATTTCCAGTGTGCGCCGTGCATTTGCAGCCGCCACCCCCTACCTGCAGGCCAACCGTTGGCGCACAAGACCAAAAGAAACCCCAAAAAGAAATTCACGTGGGAGAAGGACTTTTCACACACTAAATCACATACCTCATTACCTTCCCAAAGGACGATTCCAGAACCTGTACCACTAGAGTCCCTTGAGCCTAGCATCTGCCTGTCTCGCTTTTCCCACTGCAATCACCTTTTTTCCCCGTGAAATCCACTGCCAGTGACCGGAAGAAATCGGAACACTTCAGTCATCCAATTTAGTTTATCCTTACGATAAATCCTTCCCACAGATACGCTCCTGATATAAAAAGCCAAGTCCACCAGCATTGTTCAGTACGAGCTCGAGTCGAAATTTTCATTTGAGACGTTATCACAGGTTACCATCAGCAGTACCGCCCAACACATCAGCACAACGAAATAGTACCAGTGGCCTATACGGTAGTACCACCACAATTCCCCAAATCCTTCTATTCTCCGGTAATCCCATAGCTCATAGATTCCCATCCAATCCGGTAAGTCCATCCCCATGAAACTCTTCTCCTCCCACCACTGCTTCAACTACGCCTGGGACCAAGTCACAGCCGCAAACTGGCAGAAGTACCCCAACAAGCTCTCCACCCACGTCGTCTCTGTCGACATTTTGGACCGTACCATCGACGTGGAGCGCAAAACCCTTCGCACGGAGCGGTTGATTGGCTGCAAGCAGGCCATTCCCTCCTGGTTGGCGTGTCTCGTGGGCTCCCAGCAGTACAGCTACGTCCGGGAGGTCAGCGAGGTCGACTTGATCAACAAGACGTTGGTGTTGAAGTCGTCCAACTTAACCATGAACCACTTGTTGCTCGTCAACGAGACGGTGGTGTATGCGCCAGACGCCCTGCTGCCAGCCACCAGGACCACCTTCAGCCAGAACGCCGAGTTCACAGCGTACGCCACGTTCTCGCGGGTGTGTGACAAGCTCGAGGACTGGCTGGTGGAACGGTTTGGCCAGAATGCCAGCACTGGTAAGGATGCGTTTGAAAGCGTGTTGCAAACATTGACCCAGAAGTGGCAGGAGAGCGGTACGTTTGTCAGCGAGGTGGGTACCACCATTGGCGACAAGACGTCGGAGGTGTTGCACGAGGTAGGGCGTTTGGGCAAGGTTTTCAACTAGGACAGGTGGAAAGTCTACTACCTGAATAGCTGATATTTGGGGCGTTTTATGGTGTGACCTGGAAGAATTACCTACGGCTTCATCTAGAATAGCTCTTGCAAAGCACTTGAAAGGCTGATACAACTATAAGTGGTCGGTCGGTCTTGCTGAGTGCTGTTCGACCGGAAGAGCCTGATTTCTACTGTTTCAACTACAATCGTTGCTTGAAAATCCGTTAGCCACCAATTTCCACTTTGAATCCTTTTCGTTTCCTCCAGCTGTTGAACCCAGCCCTCCACCGTGCCTTATTGCATATCAAGACTCCTTCTCAATAGCCCCCAATTATCTATCGGTGATTTTCACCAATTGGTCCCGAGACTCTCCACATCGGACCCTCTTGCATATTACTATTATTTATTGTTCACTTAGATTGTACATAGTTGACTATTTATTATTGGTTTAGTTCGTCACTTCAGAATTTTCAATGCATGGTTTACGTTTGGGACTCCGTAGCAGAGGATATCTCTTTCTGGGACAGATTCCGTCCTTTTTCCCTCAGTGCTTATGAAACTTGGGTTAATTCTACAAAATATAGTTAACCAATCCAGTGGTATACTTGGGTTATTGAATATTGGACTCATCGTTGTGTGAGTGCTGTTGTATCACTTCCCATAATGTGATGCCAGCCTTATCTGAATTATATATTTAGGGGGAGCCTGAAATACTGGTAATTCAACGATAATAATTAGGGCTGGTATACTCCTGATGAGAGGCATTCGGACAAACTCAATCGTTCACGAGGGTGCTCAACTGGTAATTTCGTGCTCCGCGTATTCTTAATTGTACATCGCTTTTCAAGTATGATTATTGTTGAAGCTACTTCGTTATTTCTATAATTTTCTGGACCACTGCCGATATTTCTATTCTCCATTTTGGCAGAAAAGTTATCCACCAGATTAATAGCAGGAATTGCTATTGAAGACAATCTTGCTTCTGTGGTATCTTGGGTCCTAGAAATATATTCATTGCTGGGACCATGAGTTTTGTAGATTATTTAAACAAGCCATCTCTCTGAAATCCGTGTGCCATGCTTCATTGAAGAGATATCTTCGCGTCGTGGGTTGTACTAGGAGCTACTGAATATCAATCCAATGAGAAAATCTGTTTGACCATGCCATGAAAATATGAGTATTTGTAACCTCAATTTATGACGGGTTGAGTATCTGAGTACTTGCGTCTTAATTGAAGGTAAGTGTTTAGTGTGGATATTTGGCTGTTGTTCATTTTTGCATCCTACCATGCCGTATTGCAAATAAAAATTGGAGTGGTGGTTGAGGTATTATAAATAGTTTAAGTTATGCACAAAATTCGTATATGGCACTGATCACGTACCCAAATCCCATTTAAATTTCACAAAGGTTAAATGAATACAGGGGTACATGTAGCTTCCAGGGTAATGTCTCAGGTTGAATGTAAGGATCTCACAGAGCCATGCATCTATGCTCAAGAAATAGATCAGAAAATTTAAAAAAACATGATGTTCATTCAAATTTAACCAACCATATTTAATCCTAAAGGATTTTATTTCCTTTATGCCCCTAATTCTTTCTGATTATCTTCTATTCCAAGGTCGAAATAGACTAATTAATAGTAATAAAATTAAGACAATAAATTTAATTGTAAAAAATAAAACTCGAACGAGTTGAGTTATATCTATTGCCCGCATCCATGTTAAGACTACAGCCTCGCTTCAGCATTTCTGCCCATTTAAGACCTGCCCATGAAGAATAAACGAGGATTACCGGTCATCAATCACGTGAATCATCCTCCAAACGCGACCGGAAGTCGCGTACCCCGGCCCAAATCCGGCCCATCTCATCACCTCAAAAAATTAACTGGTAGGCCTATTTTCATGGTGCCCACAAACGTTTAATGAAACCATAACTTCAGTAAACCGTCCCTCCATCTCACGTCAGTCTCCAGCAACCCCCTCAGCAGTGGTCACCTGTACATAGACCATACCACCATTCCCTTAGTCATTGCCTAAGTCATTTTCACAGAGCATGGAATCACGTACGCAACACACTCGAGATGAAATTGACAAGAATAACCTGAACGTGATCCACTTGCCTTCCAAGCAGATAAAACATGAACCAATGCTGGACGAGATCCACTTACCACCGTTCAAGACGTCAGATAATGTTCAAGATGTAACTGAAAATAACCACCCTTTGCCAGAGGAATCGCAACACGATTCCCTCGAGCACCTCTTTTATGAACTCAACGATTCTCCCAATAACCGTCCCAGCATTCCCGAAGAAATCGCCCCCAAGACCGAAAATGGCCTCGATGACGAAATCAACCAAGCATTGTTATCTTTCAACAAATTCAACCGCAATGACCAGCTCGAAATCCTTCTCAATTCAAACCCTGAAGACTCTGCATTGCCCCCTTCATCATCGTCCTCCTCTGACAACGGCTCGCCATTCGACTCGCCAGACACCCTCACCAGCATTGCGACCAACGAAGACGAGTTCAAGTCCGGAAAGCCGCAGGTTGTGCCTCCCGTGAATAACTCGACGGTGGCCTCCATCAAACAAGCCATGATCAACACCTCCAAGCTCACCTCGCTCTTCACCACCTTGAAAGTCACCTACTTGAAGTTGTGCAAGGAATTCAACTACCTCTTGTCCAAATTTAACGAGAACGAAAAGGTTAAGATCGAGCTCATTCACGAAAATAACGAGCTCAAGCGGTTGTTGGCAGACATTATGAAGGAACGGGAAAAGGATAAAAGACAGTTTGACCACGAGCTTCAGCTTGAAAAGAACAAGCACAAGATGTGCCATGCGCAGACAGTGATTAAGACTGAAACGAGCGTAGATGTGGTTGAGGATAGTAGAACCAAACGAAGAAAGAGAAGAGCAGAGGGCTCTTAAGCATCCGAGAAAGTCGACCAACAGCACGCACCAAGCCGAGAAGGACGTTCCGAAGTTCAAGCATTGTTCGCAGCAGGCATGTCTGTGGTCGTCCATGAAACACCACTTAAAAAATTCAATAGCATCACGGTCTCGAGTCCATTAGAATCCGTACCATACGAACATCCATTTATAGAAAATAGCATGAAGGGCCTTGAGTCCATTATACACCCGCATTGAAGCCATTTATAGAAAATAGCATGAGGGCCTCGAGTCCATAATTATTCCGCATTGAAGCAATTTATAGAAAATAGCAGAATCGATAGTATTAGTCCATTATGCGGAAACCCACTAAGCAGAAAGGGACAGTCTAGTGTTTTGTCCAGACTTGCCATCCCAGGGTAAATAATGATTCAAGTAGGTTTAGTCACACTCAATCGGTACCGATAGTGCACCCACATAATTCCGCTTCTAATAGCATAGATTAAATCAAGAGCCGACTGAATTGCTACCAATAGCGTTACTTGAGCACCATACTACCATTTCTAATAGCGTATCTGTGAGAACCAACTATCGCCAGAATACTGTACCTTATACGCAGCATCTCACGCGAATGATCCAAACAAATCATCCGCAGTTTAAAGATAAGAACCCTTATTGAACAGCCTCATTCGGGAGTGAAATCACCTCTACTTCGCCAACCAGCTACATCTACCAAAGTCAAGTGACCCACTGTCAAAAGCACCACGATTGACGAAACCAGACTGACTCTCCCCACAACATCTCAGGCATAAGTGACAAGGCCTATACTCCAGATTTCCACCATGTCCTCGCCCATTCCCACAAATACACCCGAGCCTATGTCCATTGACGAGTACCAAGAAACAATCCTAGCAGAATTGAACATGATTCTAACCACCGTGAAACAAATCGATTCCAATTTGGTTAAATCGATCGGCTTGCTCGAAGAAAGTGTGGACATCCAAAAGAACGGACAACCAGTGACGCTGGACTGGAAAACCAGAAAGAGGTCTCGAGGTAATGGATCTGGTGGTCAGAACCTGATCTGGATCAATGACAGCTTGACATATAAGGAAATGGTCGTGCGGAATGTTCAGGCGTTGTCTGATGTGTTGAAAATGTTAGACGCGATTGAAGGTGAGAAGTGACCAAACGGAGGAACAAGCTATAGATAGCCACTGCTAGTCACGGAGAACGAAGTAGGACCAGAAAGCCCAAATATTGTCACGAATTCACGGATAAAACCGAGAATAGCTGGAAACCTAACGATAGCGACTCAGAAGAGTACCTTACATTATCAGATCGGTGTTGATCATTCACCACACCCTGAGCATATTCCACACACAATAGAAGAACAACCAACATCAGTTGATATATTTCACTCATTTTCACACCAGATAGTCGAGTGATTAACCATTTGATAGACTAGCCTGACTTTTCACCACACATCCCGATCGACCCACCTTTGCACCCACCCTTCACACAATGGACCAGCAAATATCACAATTGGTAGAAGGATACCAGGAGTCCAAGTTAAGGCACCTCAACGACCCCGACAATGAGTCCAGCGATGACGACGAATTGTTGGAATTGTTAGAGGATGACGATGTTCTTTCCAGATACAGAGATGAAAGAATCCAACAATTGACCAAAGAACTCAAGAAAATCGACGACGTTGTTGCCGATACCAACGATGAAGAGTTGGGACGGGTGGTCAACATTCTGGACGAGAAGGAATTGATGAATATAGTGACTCAAAACGAGTTGGTAATCATTCATTTCTACCAGCCCAACTTCCAACGGTGCAAAATAATGAATGAAAGACTAGCCCAGGTTGCGGAGAAGCATCTCACCCTCAAGATCCTCAGAATTACCGCCGAATCAGCACCATTTTTGGTCACCAAGTTGGGAATCAAGGTGCTACCCTTTGTTGTCATATATAAGAAGGGTAAGGAGCTTACGCGTACTGTTGGATTTGAGAAATTTGGTAACGATCCAAATACATTCCCTGTGGAGGCTTTGGAACGCTTCCTAATCATGCATAACGTGATCAACAGAAGAACGATCAACTTCGGCTCCATTCGGAGCAAACCGCAGAAGGCTGAGGACGACGATGACGATTTGGATATATGATGACGTTTCAATATAGGAGTAAAACGTCTTTCTAATCTTAAAGCACCTAAATTAATTCCATAAAGAATATTGTCGGTTTTGATGGCCTGATGGTGTCACTGTGATGGTTTGACTGAGTGACTAGGTTTCAGCCGATGATGTGTTGCAATTCGATTTTAGCACACTGGCTCCGAATCATTCCGGCTCTTCAGTAACGCTTCTTTGTGTAACTGATCAGAACGTGTAAATGGTGCTATTTCGAAGCAATGACAACAAGACGTCCCAAGGGACCCGGCCCATCCATACTTCACAAGGAGTCATCTGAACTCTAAAATAGATGGTGCTAAAGATCACACCACAGCCCCGGAAATGGCGGAAATGCGGGTGCCCATCCTGAGTCCCATTGTTGCAGGGTGTTTCCCTTCAACTAACGATATCAGCGGATGTACCAGGGGAGGATGTTAGGGCAGTGAATTAACGATGTTTCCTTTGGATCCTTCTAGACTTGTAAAATAAGGGTGTTTTCTCCCAGAGTAGACTGATGTTTCCTTTAGATGCATCCAGAGCAATGACTAAGTGTGTTTCCTTTGGATATTCCTTTGGATCTCCAATATTCCTTAGATGTTTCCGGTGACATTTCCTTGACTCACCGGCAGATGAGCTTATTAAACCACCTGCGCAACTTTCCCTGGCCATCACCATGGCCAAACTCGAGCTCAAAGAACACCTCGTCGTCCTCGTCCTCGTGTTGCCCCTCGTTGTACCCAAGAGGTCTGTGCTGGGACGCATGGTGAGCCTTGTTGAGCAGTCTTCCGTAGTAGAACTCTCTTCGGTGCTGTAATACACGATCACCCAACATTGGCTTCATTCAGATTCTGGTACCACTGGTGTCCAAGTTGTAGTTGCGGCAGTTGCCGTTTCTTAAGCGGTATTGGGGTGTGGACGAACGATGGCTGTCTTGACCCACAGGCAGACTGAGCACTGTGTATATTGCAGGTCTCTGGTGGGTGTGATCAGTACAGGAGCTGACCAGCGGTTGTGTTGGTGGAACTGACTGGAGGTGTTGTAGTTTGGTTTGTTGTTGTAGACTACAGGTTGTTGCGGGAAAGTGGGGGTTCTGGGAAACGTGTTGCTGGTTGGACACACGTGACTGCACTTTGGTTGTCTCTGTGACTATCTCCTGCGTCTGGTGGTCCGGCTGGTCCGTCTGTGTGGTTCAGTAACTGTTGCCAGTGCTGGCAGTTGCTAATTAGTTGCAAAAGCCTGACTTCCCAATCGGGCGAGGTGCGGCCAGCTCCAGGGCACAAGCCCTGGAGCACCCCAAAACACGTGACCAGTGACCACCATTTCTCCCGCACCGGCGGCCCGTTCCAAGCGCGCACGTGACGCGAAAATTTTCCACGCACCAGCTATAACTTTCCAGCATCTCCAATCTCTTTTTAAACTAATCTTGGTTAGAAAGAAGCATCAGTTGCAGACAAGCCAAAATGCAAATTTTCGTCAAGACTTTAACTGGTAAGACCATTACCTTGGAAGTCGAGTCCTCCGACACCATCGACAATGTCAAGTCCAAGATCCAAGACAAGGAAGGTATTCCACCTGACCAACAAAGATTGATCTTTGCTGGTAAGCAATTGGAAGACGGCAGAACCTTGTCCGACTACAACATCCAAAAGGAATCTACCCTTCACTTGGTCTTAAGATTGAGAGGTGGTGGTAAGAAGAGAAAAAAGAAGGTCTACACCACCCCAAAGAAGATCAAGCACAAGCACAGAAAGCACAAGTTGGCTGTCTTGACCTACTACAAGGTTGACAACGAAGGTAAGGTCGAAAGATTGAGAAGAGAATGTCCTCAACCAACCTGTGGTGCCGGTGTCTTCATGGCCAACATGAAGGACAGACAATACTGTGGTAAGTGTCACACCACCTTCAAGGCCAACTAAATATGATATAGTGTGATAGGAAGGCATTTACTTGCTGGCCTGTTTATAATATAAACATAAGTCTTGATAGAGTGTAGATGGAGTGAGTGGCTGGTAAAAGTTTACTAATGGTGACCTAGGCGGGGGCTGGCGCAGCTCGAGTACAAACCACTAAACGTCTCGTATGTGAAGGCGGTGAGGATGTGATGTGTAAGGGCGTCGAGACTGCTGAATTAGTACGCTAAATTTCTCTCTATAGATGTAAAACAATTACGTCCATAAACAGCGTAAATGGGCTCCGATATATCACTTCTTCAATATCCAAAGTGCCACTTCTTCAATGAATGAAGCTAGATCTTTAGGCATATATATTTCAATTCCGAAACGCAAATAAAATCCAGCCACCATAAATCCATACAACTAAATTAATAGCTGCTGGTAATAACCTGCTATTTTGCATCGGGGCCAAAATTGTCACTGAGAGCAATAACCCCGAACTAGATACCCTTCAACGTGCTAAATGTCTCAGAAGATGTAAATAATCTAAATACTTCCTAACATTAATATCCCAGACCATATTAGATAAGCAGGGCTATATGCAGGAATAACTATAGTTCACGAATCGAGACAAACACGCTGGACTACCACGTCTACCTTGCAAATACCCTGCGTCCTGTTAGAGGGGGGAAACTGACACCAAGATCCTGCGTACCTTACCGAGAGGGCCCCATACACCCTTGAAACCCCGAACTTCTGGCACTCTAAACGGGATACACTGCCGAAACAGCCCCAGCCTGTTCTACCATATATGACCGCATCAACATGAGCTTCTCTATCTATGACTTGGACGAGAACATCCGCAAGCTCTTGAATCTCGACAATTTCCTCGATGGGCTTTCTGTGAATGATTTCATCGAAGAATTGAGCAAGGACCATTTCTTGAAGGGGGCAGAAGTGAACAAGTTGGAGTACTTGGATCCAAAGCCATACATCAGAACATTCGAATCCACGCTAAGAGAGCTCAAAGAGTTGAACATCGAAAGCAACCAGCAACGGGAGCAGTCGGAAAAGATGGTGGAATCGTACGAATTGAAGCACAGTGAAAACGTCATGCAATTGGCAGACCAGATCGACTCCACAGTGTCCAAATTTGATTTGCTAGACTCCAAGATATCACAGGTGTCGTCCAAAATCAATCCGCTAGGCCAGTCCCTTAATAAGATCACCAATTCGAGGGACAGATCGCTCGAAACCATCTTCTTGATCCGAGCGTACCATGGCTTCTACGTCAAGGAGAAATACGAGCCGTTGGAAACCCTCAGATTGAGCAAGAAGTACGACGACAAGATCAAATGTGCAAAGACAGTCAACAACTTGTTGACGCTATCCAAAAAGATCGAGTCTCCAGACTTGCCCAAAACCACAAAGTGTGTTAATATCATAGAAAAGTACAGTGAAACGATGGAAAGAAATTTATTGAACAAGTTCGAGATCGCTTCCGAGGACAACAACTTCGAGTTCATGCGTGAAATAGCCTCTATCTTGTTTGAGTTCAACGGGGGAGCCAACGTGGTGCAAACGTTTGTGAGTAAAAACGATTTATTGTTGGAAGCAGAAAACGACATGGAAGACGACGGAGAAGGAGAAAAAGAGGAAAGCATATTGGACAACGAGGCCATCTGGATCAAACTATCGGACCCCAACTTCGTGGGCATCATAAAGGATGCGCCAACAGAGTCATTATTGCAACGATTAAGAATAGCCATAAAGGGTCAAGCCAGAATTATCCAGCAGGTCTTCGACAACCCAATCCCCGTGTTGAAGATTTTTATCCAGAGAGTCTATGCCCAGATGATCCAGAACAAAGTGAGTGCATTGCTCCAGTACTCGTTATCTGTGAGCTCGTTAAGCCATGTCAGAATATTGCATTCCTTGTACACCTTAGTTGGAGATTTCACCAAGGATGTCAAAGAGTTCTTGACTACAAATGATTTTGATGAAGAAAATGAGTTGAGCTCAATTTTGGACCAGTCCTACTACGATCTTTTTATCGAGTATACTTCCGAAAATGTCTACTTTGGTAGAGAGAAGAAGAACTTGGAAGACATCATCTACGAGTTGGTGGACAAGTTCAATCACTACAACGAGAGGGCATTATCAAATCAATTCTTGTCTACAAAGCTCGAAACCTTGGAGAATCTGGATATAAGAGGAAATGGAGGAATTGCTTCTGGTACCGATCACCAGAATAACGACAAGTTCAATTTCCATTTCTCGGAAAGAAAGAGATTGAACCAGTTCAAGACGTTCATGAAATCAAAATTAGATAGACAAGCTGCAGTCAGGCCAGAGGACTTGGAAGAGCAAAAGGAGTATTCCTCTTTGAGCATCACCAAGGTGGAAACCATTTTGAAGTCAACCATTGAATCCATTGCCAGGGTTTTGGAATTATCTCCCACCAAGGCACCCGAGTTTTCATTGGAAATCTTGGAAATTCTCCTTTTTGATTTCGGAAAATTGTACATTGGTGGTGGTTTGGAAGTTGCATACGACCAGTTAAAACAAGAAGCATCCAAGGTAAGCTCGGTACAACCGTTTGATTTGGTGTACACCACTTCGTTCAACTTCGTCAGCGAGATCTTATTCTTGATTTCTGCCACCGTCAAGAAAATCATCGTTCCTTGTGCATTAAACTCCCCTAACATTAGAAATCGTATGAGTAATTTGACCAACAATTACATTTCCAGGTGTGAGAAATCGTTGAACTTGATCTTGACTGAAACCTTGGACATGATTAGTGGACGTATATCATACATTTTGACCAAACAGAAGAAAAAGGATTTCTTATGTGATACCATCGAGGATGATACTGAGGCCTGTGAAATATTATCCGACTTTCTCCAGGCCATATATGCCACGTTCTCCAGCACCCTCAACAACGCCAACTTGAACAATGTGCTTGTGAAGGTTGGTATCAACTTGTTGAATCAACTCTTGGAGCATTACAAAAAGTTTACTGTCAATTCGACTGGTGGAATCGTTCTTACCAAGGATGTTATTAGATACCAATCTATCATAGACGAGTGGAACATTCCTGATTTGAGTGAAAACTTCCAGTTGCTTAAGGAGATTGGTAACTTATTCACAGTTCAAGCTGAACTTATCAGTTCGTTGGTTACTGAAGGACAATTGGCGCATTTGAAACCATTCAATGTGAGACAGTATGTTGCCAAGAGAGCCGATTTTAATCCCAGCTACATCGAGAGGTTTTTCAGTTTCAAACAATAGGCACATAGGCGACTCTGTCGTATTTAAACAATGCATAGAACGGTGATACTTCACACATTGTAGATTCTTGAATTACTCAAACTTAATTCATTAAAATAACTAAGTCATTCTATCTTCATCAAACTCGTAAGTCCGGCACTCCAATGAGATTTCATCCATACACATTCGCCTACTGATACCATCAGTAATCATTAAACTCTGAATGCATTGGTGATGCTTAAATCAAAATGCATGAAAGTACTTGTTGATCAAAAATAATGCTATGATCAAGCTCAAACCACTGTTCCAATAAAAGCCAGCATAGTCTCTAGTTTCCGATACCAGGCTTATTCTTGATTGGTTCAGCCTGCGGAAGATTCTATTGAATTTCTTAGGAAACAAGTACTTCAAAACGAAGTATGCTTGAGTAACACCAAAAATTAATCCGTATACCCGCAACGACTTGTATGGATTTGGCATGTAACATAATTCTGTGTTGTAGGTGAACGTCGAGTCGCTAGATCTTAAATCGTTCCTAGGATAACTTGAGCCAGCAGGTTTTCCCACGGAGTCTATCGGATTCAAATGGCCATCCACTGGATTATTTAATGAAAGCAACTGTATTGCCGGGTACTTGATTCCACTGGTCATGGCACACGATTTGGCTGCGATTTCTCTGGCGATGCGTAGTTCATCTTCAAACGTGTAGAACTGGTGGATATCGCAATAGTCATGGTCGTCGCCTGCGAAAAGGACCACCGGGTTGATGGTCGCGAGAACTTTCTGGCTGATGTCGTACTCGATGACTGTCTGATATTGCTTGCCCTTCTGGATGGGGAACGGGGTTTGTTTCTCACGCAATGGCCCACAGGGCGACTTGTCGTTGAAGCGATAGAGAGGCACATGCAGCAACAAGATGCGTGGAAACTTGGTGTTGATTTTGTCGTTGATGGTGTCCAAGAATTGCTTGGGTGCAGCATTCACGACTGGGTCTGGGTGTGACAACGAGATGGTGTCCAAGAACACCAATGTGTGGTTGCCCAACTCCACGTAGTCGTTCAGGTCGCCAAAGTACTGGGCAAACCGGTGGAGCACATGGTGGTCAATTTTCTCAAAGCCTATGTCGTGGTTTCCTGCGACGATGTTGATGGTTCTTCTGTTGGCTTGCTTGGGAAACACTGCGTTGAAGCGTCTGTACTCGTTGAGCCATACATCATCATCCCACTCCCGTCCCCCGTCGAAGAGGTCGCCCAAGAAGATGGTGGTGTGGGGGTCAAGCACCTGCTGGATGTAGCGGTGGTTTCTGTGGAGGTAGTTGTCAGCAATTCGCCTGATGATGTAGTTCAACAACGCTGGTCTGCCCTCGTACGAGTACTCGTCCACTATCTGGGGATCTGCCAAAAATGCCACACGGTGTGGTTCTGTTCCCAGAGGCCACAGTTCCCAGTTAGTCCATTGGCACTTGTTGATGACACTAGCCACTTCTATCCTCTCGAAGTAGTGCAACGCTGCTAGCCACGCCACGAACACCAATGCTAGCGCCTGGTAATGGATGGATCCAAGATGGGTGGCGACTGAGGTGTGGTGTCGTTTTGCAACGAAGTATGGAGAGTGGCGATTGTCGTCTTTGGAGTGGCTAAAGTCGTCCTTGGAGGCGCCGCTGTCCTCCTGGGGCGAGTCGTCGTGCTTGTCTCGTCTTCTGTAGCTCATGATGGAGTTGAAGAGGAGTGTAGGAGAAGTGATACGCGTTTGGCAACAAACAGACAAAGGCAAAACCTAGAGGTAGAGGAAATCAAAGGAAGCCAGAAAAGTCAAAGGAAGCCAAAGGTTAACACAAGGCCGACGGAAGACTACGACAGGCTCAAACACACTAGGAGTCACCAAAAGGCAAAGGCAAACACTGGTCGTTCAGAAGGCATACGCTCATACACGGCAGCGATAAAGCAGTAATTCGGAACGGCTCGACGGCTCAGAAGTACTATCAGAGGTCAACTCTAAGTGCTGCTAGAAGTCAACTCTAAGTGCCGCTAGAAGTCAACTCGAAGTATTACCACCAGAAGTACTACCAGAAGTACTACTCTGCAAGGTTCATCCGGGCTCCTCGTCAAGACAGAAGCCAATAGTGGCGTGAACTACCAGTCAGTCCCCCAAAAGCCGGTTCCTACCGTCCGGCAGCCAACAGACAAGCTCGTCATCTTTCATCCAGAGGGAAGAAAGCAAAGACTGTCACAACAGCCATCGACAACTCTGCTGGATCTGGCATCGTGTGCTAAATAAACAAGACACGAAGCTATACAATTGCACAGGCCTCCGTCAATCTACTCCCATGACTAGCACCACGTCTGGCGACGACAGTTCCCGGCGAAAGCTCAGATCCAAAGCTGGGCCTACCAAGAAAACAGCCAACTTGTTCAATTTTGAGGTCAATGAACTCCTCTACAAAGACCAGGACATCGCTATCAAGCAAGGCACCTCCTACGAGAACATATACAGGTACTTTAATGATATAGAATTGCCCAAAGTCCATGGAACTCGAGAAATCCAGCTTCTCGAGAACCTACTACCAAGACGGACAAAGCACAGTCGGGATGCATTGGACGACCAGGTGTATGAAGCGTTCCACAGAAAGATGAAAAAGGAGGAGAAGGTAATGACCAACGAAGAAAGACTTCGGATCCTGAATGAAGTCGACAATTTGCACACCCAAATGGAACTTCTTCATCGCTACGACTGGATCCGACACTTACCAGAAATCACCCAAATAGATGATCCCAAAGACTTCGAAGAGCTCGAGCACAAAAAGGAGTTGACCATCCATGAGATTGAAAAGCTCTTGAGGAAGCATGAAGACTGGAAAAGGCGAGTCGATGCGCTCAACTCCGATATCAAGGAATACGAGGTTAGTGACGAAGAGGAGGACGAGTATTCTGCTTCCATAGACCTTCTCAAAGACAGGCGTCGCAAGCAAAGAGCTGCAAAATATGGGCCTTGTATTAAGTTGAGGTTGAACAACGGATACACCCTTATCATTGACCAAATTCTTCCCCCCAGAATTATCAGAACCGTGGTTCTGGACAAAGAGGCAACGAAACCGATAGCAAGGCACCATGATGCCAAACCTGCCAGAATTCGTGACCTGACAGTGCCTGCAACCCCAAGAGGCTATACCAGGAGAAGAAAAAGCTACGTGAAACTTGAAGACCTCGACTCAGGTGTAGACCTCCAGTTGAACATCGACGAGGATGCTGCTTTTGGAACACGATTGTCCCATATTGTTCCCTTACCTGAGGGTTTCCGGTTCCCGAGATATCTCAAACGGTTCTCGGAAGAAAATGTCGAAGAGAGAAGATCTTTCAGGAACAAACTACACCACAAAAGTAATGATGTATGAATTTATGTATTATAGGAAAATTATAATAATTGACCTGCTACTGGTACCAGACGAGTTTCGGATATAAGACGAAGTAGGGATTCAGATGGAATCTCTTTAAGCTCAAGCGTAGCATCGGCTATTCAAATGATCATAAAAGCTCCATGCGTTTTTGGAATGCTTCAATGATCGTTACAACCTCCGTTTCACTTGGAGTTGGATACCACACAGCTAGCTCGAAGCTACCGTGGTTTGCAGCCTTCAAAGGCTGCCGTAATTCGTTATCAACTTTCCCGGGGCGAAAGGCATCGATTTGTTCTGGAGTGACGCCATATTTACTCACTAAGTGCTGTCTGAGGTCGATTATGGTAATCATTGCTTGAAACAATTTGGTACTTTCACCAGATTGCTGGTCAACGTGCTTTGAGTCAACTAGATCCATTAAATCTACCCCAGTAGTGGCAATTTGCTTATCCAAGCAACTGATCAAGGTAAGAACTTCTTCGAGTATGGCAAACTTAACAAACGCAATATTCTTCGACACGTATGGTATCAATGAAAGGAGATCGACTTTATCGTCCTTCTTTTCCACTTGGGCACTCACCACCAACACTTTGCACAACGATTGAACAAACTTCTTTCTTGAAAGGGAACTGTTTCTTACTATCTGGTATATGCTTTCAAAGAATTCTATCTCCTCGAGGTATGCCTGCGATACCCTTTTCCGGTAGTCTGCTGCCAACTTGATTCCTTCCACATAGCTAGTTCCCGTTAAAGATTCGTGTTTATCATAAAGCTCTTTGTGGAGGTCTGTGGCGATTTTCCCAATCACAGAGTTTGTGGTTGATTCCAATGCTATAATGGTGGGAATGCACAATTTAGGATTAGCGTAGCCCAACTTAATCACCAACTGCAAAAATTGGATTGGTAGGTAGGAAAAATGCCCGGAATCTTCAAGACATAATTTGAGGATGCGGTGAATATACCGTTGGACTATCCCAGCGCATATCCCATCGTTAACGTAGCTTTTGGCATTGCCGTGGAAAACTGCCACGTCAAGTTCAGACTCATTGGATAGCTTCTTTGAAGAACCATTTTTTTTGTATGTCTCATTTTCTTCTGTTTTAAGGAACTCCATGAGTCCATACACAATTCCGTGAACTGTGGACAAGTCGTTCGACTCAAATTCCTGATCAATGACTTTCAAGATGGCTCCAGACATGAATAGCTTTGGATGGGACGAGCAAATGTTGATTATGTTGGTAATGGCGGTGTTTCTTATGCTAGGATTCGTAGCCAGATAAGTGAAGTACAATAGAAACTTTATAATCAAGCTAACCACCGACTCTTTAGCTTTGAGCCCAAGCAGTGTTTTCAAAAACACTTCACGGTGTCTCTCAAGCTTGCAATATTTTCCAAAACAGCCTAGGAGGTGTAACAACTTCTGCAACTTAGGAACATCAGTCAGTTGAAAGTCTTCGGATTTTGCTTTTGGATTCTTCAGCTTTTTCATATCATCTATGAACGGTCTGATATGTTTAAGGCATGAAATAGTTGCATTTGCTAGCTTAGCAGTTTCATTCTTCATCTCGCTTAGTTTCCATACGCATGGCATGGCTACCTGAAGCTCTTTCAGGTTGAATTTGGTGAGCTGTCTGAGTAAATGGGGCTGGACGTAATCCAAAAAGTCGGGCCTCAAAGAGTCAATTCCCTTCAATGTGTAGTGTAAAATCTCTAACCCGTAGAAGCATAGCTTATTCCCTGAGCTCTGATCCTCGATGATAAACGGCTGCAACGACGTCAATTGATCCTGTGAAAGAAGGGAGCTCTCGCACTTAACAAAGGTCGAGATTAGTTTCATCGAATTTTCAATTTGGACGATCTTGGACTTGGGTTCCTTATTGGAATTCAGTGAATCTTCCGTGGCGTCTTTCGAACTGTCCTGGGTAGACTCCTCCAGTTCAATAATAGAATCTAATACGGAGTCCACTATTAAACTCAATGAACCTTTAATCAGGTCCCTATTATTGGAAAGCACATCGTCCACCAAGAAGTTCTCAAAACTCTGAACAGTCTTCCCTCCTGCGGTCACTATCTCGACCATTACCTCGCCTCTCTTCATGGCTGATGCACTGGCCACCGGTTTATTTTGGACAGCTTTTTCTTTCTCCAATGAAACGAACCACACATCCAACAAATAGCTCTTGGCTAACTCCTGGATAGCATCATCTTCGTCAGCCAAGCGCATTAGTAATTTAGAGGCAATATTCACTCTGACTTGCTTGGAATGACTATTGATATACATTTCTTTGGACAATCGTATCACCCGTTTCCGAACTTGAACACTATCATCGTTCATGCAATCGCATATCGCCCTATGGAAACCTTGTATCAATTCTGGTTTGGAACTCAAGTACTTGCTTACCAAATCAACAACAGCATCTCGAACCAAAGGAGATGAATCCAGGAGTCTGCTGGAAATGGAATCTTGGATGTAAGGCGACATTAGCAAGGTGGGATCCACTTCAACCAAGCTGGATAAGATCTTAACTGCACGGGATTTGGATTTTGTTTTAGAGCTTTCCATACACTGGAGGAGGGTGGTAAGAAAGTTTTCATATAACTCGGGTAATTCCTGGGATAGCAAAAGACTTCTGTATGAGATTGTTGAAGACTGCTCGCTATCAAAGTTGTTTCTTTTGATCAGTTCACCATTGAATACACTGATCAATGCCTGATAAAGAGTCAATAACATCGGTTTCTTCTGCAAAACGTCTTCCTCACCACTAGAATCTAATTGTGGATTATCTGTACCATTTGACTCCACTAATGGCTGTAACATTTTTATAAATTTAGACACCAAGAAAGTTCTGGACGCTGAGGTGCTGGCGGTTTCTGATACTTTTCCCTGCAAGGAAACCAAGGAGTCAATCATACAATTCTGTATAAGTGCGATATCGGTCTCAAGAGCATGCTCTGTTAATGTTAAATGGCTTCCGGGTAAATTCCTGAGATGAAGTATCTTTTCTGCTGTCACACCTAAAACTTCCAACAAATAATTCTCTAGCAAAGCAGAGCAAGTCTGGGATTGTATTGCAGCTAAAAATACCTTCATTATAGAGCTGAGCAAATTTTCCGAGCTTGACCATTCGGGTAGGCTAAGCAATATCAACAAATCCTCAACTAGGAGTTCCAAAAGTTGCTTGGAATGCTGTTCAGTACTCTTCGAAAGTCGGTTCAACAAATAGGAAGCAATCTCAGTTGATATATCCAACAGCCCTTGAACCACTTGTGTGGACTGCTTTACAACAGCTAGGCACTTCTGGTGGTTATTGACTTCGGAAATATATTCTTCGGATAATAGCTCAGCAATGAGCGTTGGCTCAGCACTGGCCTCCACAAATTTGACTAGCAATGCAGTGACTAGCTGTATGTTACTACCTCTGAGTAATTTATATTGCCTTGCAATCAACTTCTGTGTTGGGAGCTTCTCCAAGTTTGAAAGGACTTCGTTCAAGATAAACTCTCGTTGATCCTTGGAGGTTTTGTAAACGGTCACGAGCAAGTTCAAAGATGCTATCTTCAAATTTTCAAGGGTATTCGTCCCCAACACTGACAGTTTTTCTTTCCTGTTTCCGTCCAAAAAGATCAATACGGTTGAAAGGTACTCCAATTTGGTCAAAAGACTTTCCTCCATCACATTTTGTGAGATATACTCGGTTAGCATTTCAAAAATAGCACAGAGGTCGTTTGACAATGTGGAGAACATTGGACGTAGAACCTTTAATTTTTGCTGGGAGTCGGAGCTCAATACGCAGACTGGTCTGATGATATCATCCACTAGCTGTGAAGTCAAGTCTACCACCCCCTGGAGGTATTCATCAAGGTATACTCTTTTTTCAGGCCACTTTCCCACCAAGATCTTCATCATGATTTTGGAGATCATATTGAATGTAAAGCAGTCCTCGAAAAAGCGTTGGACCAAGCCAATGGATTGTTCGAACTTCACATCATCCTCCTTAATGAGGTTCTGAATTTCGTTCCAACTTCGCTGCTTCGCTTCTTCCAATGCATTTAGACAAACTTCCTGAAATTTGAATATATGCTCCATTTTTGTTTGATGGACGATTGGATGCTTTGCGATTCTGTACAAGCAATCATATAGCACTAGCAAGGTGTTGATGGAGGGTACTTGAACCCCGTTGTAGTGCACCCAGTGTGGGTCTGGATCTGAGGTATTTTGCATTGCATCCAATAGGTTTGCAAGCACAGTGCAGAAGTAGTCAAACGACTTTTCTGTTATTTCGCCGTCAGTAACGTAGCTTTGCTTTTGGACTCGTTTGGACTCGATGTGCTCATTAGTTTCGTCTTCTAGAGCTCTCTTCATATGGTTATTTGCACCAGATTCCTGGGGCGCGACCGAAACGACGCCATCTATGATGCCCATGAGGCGTAGCTCGTGTCTATACTTGTTCAAGTACCTCTGGTTGTGTTTAGCAGTGGCTTCTGTGGATGACTCGTAGTCTTTTCGTACGGAAAGCCTAGACTTGGGCTCGTGTCTAGAGGAGCTGGTAGTTTCAACCCCGAAAGAAGACGGTATTTCTTGGGCGCTTAGAAAGATGTTCCTTTCAAAAGGCGGCAAATGAGTGCTGGGGTCGGGATAGAGTGTCGTGGTGGAGTCTTCTGTCGTTTTGGCCAGCTTGAAGCGGATCTCTTCGAGCTCGTCATCATTGTAGGCGCTAAAATCGTTGGATAAAAACGTCATAACATCGTTGAACCGCTGAGGGTCTTGGTTTATGGCATCTCTAGTTTGCCTTGCTGGGCCGTTGAGCAACATGGCATCTATGAACGAGTCATCAGGTTGTTGGAGAATGGTATTGGTAGAAACTAGCGGAGCTATATCCTGCTTTGGAATCAAATGGAGAAGAGGAGTGACGCTGAGGGCTTCCCTCAAGTCGATTGGATGTCGTTTCTGGTTCGTCATGCTGCTTCCGACAGGCAGCGGGGTATGCTGGATGTGTGGCTGTGAAGAGTAGCTAGATCAATTGCATCTCCAGAATAAGCTCAGATACGCGATCACGTGACAAATGTCATGTGACTCGATATGGTTATTCATTTCGTGGTCCCTTGATCTATCCAGATTTGGCACGAAAAGGCTATGTTGGTAGCTTTGGAATTTTCGTTGTACTTTTTTACCTTTATTTCTTTCTATATCTTTCAAATTCGGTATTAGACACCATACGCAACCACTCATGGACTGTACCGTGCCATTCAAATAGTCCTCGTTGTCTGGATGTCATAGAATACAAGTATAAGTCTAAAAACTAACCGGACTTATACAGACGTCTATATTGGGCCAACACACCAGATAAAAAATGCAAATTCAATTTCAGCCAGTCTTATTGCCAACTGGCAATTCTATACTCGTAATTTTGATGCCTGGATATGAGTATAGAACTGGTATGAATGTAGTTATTGCAAAACGTCTGAAATCTGATATTTGAGTCTGTGAAGTTTGTATTGTAAGCCACATTACTCAAAGAGATAATGATAGCTTAACTAAATATGAGGAGGTAGTCTGGGACCAAACATCCTTACGACCACTAGTGAAAAAAAATTGTATGACAATTGGCTTTTTAGAGGCTGTCTATTTAATTCACTGTGATATAAATGAATTTCGACCACAGTATCACACAAGTGACTTTTTCTACCATCAAAGCCAAATATGGTTACAATTTACTTCGCATGATAAATCTTCCAGATTCCGTTACTTATATTGGCCCATTTTCATAAAATTGACGCTCTGAAATTTCATTGTTACGTTTCAATATTCATATCTACCCTATATTAATACACTCGAATTAATCCTATGCAATAACCCTATTAATAATTTCAAAATACTAGTATACATTCTCCTCCATTATTCTAGATTCATGCCTTATCACTCCCTCAATTGGTAGGTGACCCCGATCCTGGTGCTGGAGAAGACCCAGAAGACATCCGCGGAGTAGTCAGGCCTGATAAAGGCGACATATTGACCCCAGACATCCGTTGCTGCTGCTGCTGCTTTTGTATCATGGCCTTCTTGCGCTGCTCGTACTCCAATTTCGACAAACTATTCATATCCAAAGGAGAACTAGAACCAGTTATAGGTGACCCGCTTTTACGAGCTGCCAAACCCTGCAGCTGTTGCTGAAGCTGCTGCTGCTGCAACTGCTGCTGCTGAGCTGTTTTCGCAGCCTTGAGCATCTGGAGTTGGTTCCTTTCCTGGGGAGTAAGCGTTGCTATTTGTGTTTGCTTGTGGACTGTCTGCAGCGAGTTTCCAGGACGAAACAGTTGCGGGTTGGATCCACTTGCTAATGGCTGGTTCAACCTATTCTGTTGCTGTTGCTGGTTAAATCTCTCCTGCTGTTGCTGCTGAAGGTTCGCCAAGTATTGAGCCGCAAGCTTGGTGACTTGCTCCTTGCTGAAACCGGGATTTTTCTGCTGGATCGAGTTTATAATGGCAGACACTTGTGCCGGTGCAAAATGGATCCGTGGCTTGGTTACAGGAGTCCCAGAAGAGCCTGTCTGTGGATTGGATTGCTGCAATGGGGGGGCAGATTGGCCTGGTTGTGCCTGCGGTTGCACCAGAAGGGAGCTATTAGATACTTGAGGCAGTTGGCCCTGAATCTGCGGATTGGAAATGCTATTCTGGTTATTTGCCAACGTCTTATTGGGCAAGGAACCATTTGGCAACATGGCACTGTTACTCAATGGACTGCCAGCCCCTTTAACCTGTTGGTTCTGTTGGTTTTGCTGTTGCATCAACCTCCTCTGTTTCTGGATTTGAAGCAATTGCTGGATTTGCTCGGGAGTGTAGGGAGTACCATTGGGAGTGGTGGGACGTTTGTTTGCCGTAGGCAACGTGTTTGGCCTTGCCCTTTGGTTATTCACAGGTGGTGCCTGCCCCGAGACTTGAGCTGGAGCCGAGCTGGAACCAATCTTGGAATTTGGTGGAAGATTTGTGGAGTTCACTCCCACAGGCACTCTTTGTTGGGGCCCAATGTTGCTGTTGTTGGCAGCTGCAGAGGCATTGCTGCTATTGGCAGCTGCTCCTGGTTGGAACAGACCTCGAGGTCCACTATTGTTGAGCAGTTGTTGCTTCTGCTGCTGCGCAACTGCAGCCATCATTCTAGATCTCGTAGCCTGTTGGTTTAAGTAAGCTTCCTGGATCGACTTATCTCTCTCAAACTTCAATTTCGCCAATTCAGCAGGTGTTGGGACCCTATCAAGCACCCGTTTTGTAGCTGGATTTGGCCCTGCGCTGGATACTGATTGGTTTGCATTCGAAGCGGTGGTGGTGGTGGTGGTGTTATTAGCAGAAGCAGTCCCTGGATTGGTGGCGGTTGAAGCCGAAGTCGTTGTACCCGAAGTATAATCGGTGGTTCTTCTATTATTGATCTTGGCTGCGGCTATCTCCCGCTTCTTCATGCATTTTCTTATCGCATCAAAAAGAGAGGCCCATCTTAATCTTCTGTGGCCTCTCTGAATGGATTCCGCTCCAACACCCAAAGGCGATATTCTTCTCTTGGTAGTCAGCTGCGCCTTGTGGGCCTGTTCGAGCCACTGCTGGGCGTGGTACGAATACACTCCTTTCATATCGGAAAATTGGAACTTCTCGTTCAATTGAATGTACCGTTCAAAACATTGCCATGGCGTCCTTCTCTCGATATTAGATTCATACTTCTTCAAGGTCGAGGCAGACGACAGAAGATGCTCTGAAATCAAGTCCCAGTTGAAGCAAAATTCAGCCACGTAATGAATCAAGTACTTGTCATCCTGGGGCAACCAAATGGTAGGAGAGCGATATTCGATGTTTTTGATCAAGGGAGGCTTTGGAGGCTTTAAGTAGTTGAAGCGACGGTGTGATTGGAAGCCAAAAAGTCCCTTCTGGTACTCGGGAGGGCCAGAGGAGTCGGGGGAATTTGATTTATTGTTGGCTTCTTTTATGACGATCTTGTACCAATCATCATCTTCCTCGAATGGATGCAACAAGCGCGAAACGGGAATCAAAGGAGTGTCTTTTGGCTTCAATGCTGGCGCAGGTCCATTTGGAGCTTCTTCTTCGAATGCAGAGAACTTTGGCAAGTTCTTAATGATCGATTGGTCAATCTTCTTGAGGTCGTTGAGGTCAACATGCAACTTGAATGGACTCCTGTCATCGGTGGATCCTTTATACTTATATATATCCTCGTCATTAATCTTGGAGTAGTCTGTAAACGAGAATTTGACTTCTGGATCTGCTGTGGAATTCTTTGAGAAGATCAAGTTGGTATCGATAGACTCTGGATCTTGTCCAATTTTTTCAGTGGCCAGCTCTGCATTTGCAGTATCTTTGTCGAGGATCTCGATTGCTGAAGGTGTTTCAACCTTGACTTCCTCATCATCTCCTGGTTGTGCTGGAGCTACCAAACTGGTTTCCTCCTTAACTATATCCACAGCCAGATTTTCAGGCAAGTGTACTATCTCCTTGGGCTTTATACACACGGACTTTCCGTGCACCCAATAATCCTTCACAGCCTGTGCAATTATCACGCAACACGCTTTCTTGTACTTGGAACTCTCCTTAAAATCCGCTGCCATCCACTTCCCTTCTTGCACCATGCTGTCCCAGTGGTATGTGTGCTTCTTATTCTTTTTCAAGTACACGAACGGGTCGTAGAATCTCTGTGGTTGGCGCAATGACCATTTTCCTTGCCTCTTAAGCTCCTCGATCCGCGAGTACAACACGGCTATTTTACCTTCCAACAAAGCGAGCTCGAAGTTGTCGGTCATCAACACCTTGTGGCTCCCTGGAAGGAGCTTGATCAATGGAAGGGTTTGGGTTAGGTAATATAATTCTGCCAACGACGACACGGTGTGAGGCTTGGTAGGGTAATGCTCTGGGATCGATAGTATTTCCACTTCACTGATATCCTTGGTGAGGAACTCCTCCATCTCTTCCTGGGACACCTCTTCTTGTGATCTTAACGACTTGACTGCGGAAGCCTTCTTTGGCTGTCTGGTGTTGAAACCTGACGCCTGTCGGGAACTCCTGGATCCACTTGGCTTGTAGTGGTGCCTCTTACGGGCTCTGTCGTCCAGCGAATCGAAATCTGCCTTCCGTTTCGACGGCTGGCTGGGATGGAAGGTCGTTTTCTCCATCGACAGAACAATCCAGTTTTCGAGGCTCTTGGCCAGGCCATTTTCGTCCAGCAAGCTGCGTAGGTCGAAATTCTCGCTGTTTTCGATGTCGTTTTGCTGTAGAAACTTGGATAGCCCTTCATTCTTGGAGGTTAGTGTATCTAACAACGGATCGTTGATGAACGTGTAAAGCTCCTCTAGCTTTCTTAGCCTGGATTCTGCGAGATAATCCAAGTTGGTCATTGTCGCTTGCAACGAGACGTGGATCGTGGGCTATGCAGCAGTGGTGGCCGTGTCGTATGCCGTGAAAATGGAGCTAGAGTTGTAGAGGATAAAATTGGTGTGTTTATTTTATGTCGCACGTGATAAACGGGTTGTATATCACGTGATCTGTTTTTTGGCTTGCAAAAAATGCGATTTCTGTGGATCGAACACAGGACCTTCAGATTAACTGTGACTGAATCTCTTCAGTCTGACGCTCTCCCAACTGAGCTAAAACCGCTTTTCTTGCTTTTTGTGGGAAACTGAAGCGCTACCATGTGTAAAGTGAAGATTATGTAATCAAAGCTATGTCTGCCACCACACCTTTAATTGGTCTTATTGAAGCAGGCTTGTTGTGGTTTTCACTTTGTACCATGATCATGGTCTTGAATTGCAATTATCAGGAAAATATGTGGTCAGGAGCTCCAGTTGAATCGATTTTATAAAACCAGCAAGTTAGTAACAATAGGCTATACTATACTTACCGTTAACAAGAATAGACACATGGATCCAATGATTAAAGACCACCCAGCTGTGGAATATCAGCCTTGGTGGTGTCAAAAGGGTAAAGGTTGTGGAGTAGACAAAAGCTCATAGAAAGACAAAATTTCAAAGAGTATACCTACAAAGACAATTATTCGCAAAATGATAGAGTCAACTGTCGAGTGTTCTCTTTCAATTATTGTTTTTTTTCTTGTTAATTTACATATTTTTTGTAAAAATGTATTAGAACTCAAATTGAGCTACAAGTAGACAAGAAAAATACTCAAAATATGCTTGGAGAGAAAGGTATATCTCTACTTCTGCATAAATAAACAGGAGTATTTACATAGTTCATTAGCATTCTTGCCAGAATAATAACCTCCCCATCTGATTTGGCATAGTTGGAACTTCCAAGATACTATCAACTAATTTTCTAAAGCGCGGAAGCACGGAAGCACAGCTAATGTATGCAGTATTTGGTACTGCTAGGAAAAGCCAGGTAGTCTAGTATGGAGTCTAGTATGGTTATCCATAATAAGGCCTGAATTGAAGATAACGAGTTTCAGAGAAACTATTGTTGCATCAGATTAACTCAACATGTTACTTTTAGACGAGGCTCCTTCACCGATGTAATTTCGACTTCAATATGCTTGATAATGTAGCACGACTGAACACCAAAAGTACTTTTGGACCATAATAATCTTGCACTGTGTCGCAGTAAAATCACAACCAAAGACAGGGAAGATGTATCATAGTATATAAATTCGACAAGAGACAGCAGAAGAGTTCTTAGAAACACTCACTGACGAATCAGCCAGGTGCAACCATCTAATAATATAGATAGATTAAACATTGCGAAAAGATGTTTCAAAGGTTTTAAAGGCGCTGAAAACGATTAATGGACTTAGAAATCCACTTCTAAGTATCCATTGTATTCCTGGGGTGGGGCGTGTGATTTGATGATGGAAACTTACATATATGACTCCCCATTTCAACTAAATCCACTGGTGATAGACCATTGTCAACAACCACAACGACCTGGACTAGGAGCATATGAGGATGGGTAATTGGAACCACTAAGTGAACTTTGGGACGCTCAATGAGAAGAGGAGACTTAGTCCACAATATGAGGGGATGTAAATAATTAGAGTATTTCAAGTTAGGGGGACAAAGAAGAACGTTGCGGGATGGCCCATCAGTCCACATGGGAAATACGGATCCAATGGTCTCACTAGCTAATCCTATACAGTGAAGAATGAGACGTCGTATTTATGGTGGGCCCAATACAAGCTAAATTCTGACCAGTCGGACGTTATAGACATGCTGCAGGGTTAGTAGGTATATCTGGATGCAAGAGCAGTAACGAGAAGATTTATACTGGAAGAATAAGAACCGAAATTGATGTGATAAAACTTGTACTTCCAATGCGCAGGGGCTTGAATCTTTCATTTTTATAGCTTAAGTTGACAGTATGCATGTGGATCTGGCATCATGCTGCCGTAGAGAAGAGGTGTCTGACAATTCTCTGGTGTGGTATATGCAGGTACTAGATCCTGATCTTGAAGTTTGGATCTTTCTTCCCCGCTCTTGCAGAAAAAGAAGAAATTTTATTTGCTGCAAAAAACTAGATATCCGAGGGGTCGAATCTACAATATAACAGGTTCAAGTAGATCCAAGTGCATATTAACTCCAGCTTTGGGCAATTGTGCTTGCACTACTGCCACTCCACGACCCCTGTTGCCATTTTTAGAACATTTACCAGAAATTTCATGGCTAAGACGACAAATATCCATCAGGCATTCTTTGGCAGTTAGAAGTACAACTTTCTTTCATTAAGAAAGATGCCACTGGCAACTCGAATCAAAGAAAATTCAGAAAAGAAGCTTTTCTAAAGCAACTGGAGTAAAATTTACGGATAATCTAGCTTTCTTCTTCGAAAAAAAGGGTTATAATATGTAATTTTTTGGTCCATGGATTAGCCAGATACAAATAGTGCCTGTAAAATGACAGGTTGTGATGGTTTGATGCCTTGAGTGGCTGTCAACACTGCATACGTTTTGATACATCTGTTGGTAAATACGCGAGGCGGGGAATCTTGGATCCCGATCTAGATACTGCATCAAATAATAAAGCTTAGATGAACAAACCTGTAATCCGATCGCTTACCGGCTTCTGGAATCTAAGCCACGTTGCAGCCCAATGCTTGGATGCAATTGAGCTCATACGCGTGGCCATGAAACCTTTTTGCAGTTTGACATAACCGAATTTGCGACCTTGCGTTTTTGCACCCAAATACCGAGGGGGACCCTCAACGATTATTATTTAAAAAGAAATGGTACTGGCTGCTAAAAAAAGCCACCAGCTCCCGTGGGGAGTAGCTAGAAACATCCGTACATCATTCTGTGTCTGTGCACCATATTCAGATTTTGCAAATCAGTCTTAGATCGTCCCGTTTACCATATCTTTCTTCTTAGACAAGCTACGAATACAATTCAAGCACTATGAATAAAGATTCCTCCAACCCCTGCTCTAACTCAGCGTCGCCTAGCAATGCTGACAAGATCTCGGGCTTTCCCCAGCTTTCGGATTCTCCTTTTGTACCCAAATCCGCTGATTCACCTTCAGGATCTGGCGTTGATGTCATGGGACCAGAGGTGCCACCTCACCAAGCTGACAAGTTTCCTGTTCTTCCATTCAAGAAATTGGTTGGAAAGAATGTGGCTGTTCCTCCTTTCAACAAGGAAAAGAACAATCGTGTTTGTGGCTCTTCCAACAAGGCCACTTTATTTTTTGAAGAGAAGGCTCCTCACCAGAGCGAAACCTCTCGTGATGTTGCACCCACTTGGGCTGAAGTGTTGTCTGAGAAGAAATCTTCTCCAAACAAGGACAGCACTTCCAAGTTGTCCAAGAAGACGGGCTACACAATGAAGAAACGTTCCAAGAATAATGGAACTAATGTTGATGCTGGTAAGCCAAATGAGTCTGTTGAAGTTTCGAAAGAAACTAGTGTTGAGGCTGGTAAGACCAAGCCAAATGAGTCTGTTGAAGTTTCGAAGGAAAGTGTTGAAGCTGGTATCATTGAGCCAAAGGTGGTTGCAGAAGTTGCAAAGCGTACCCAAACTATGCGTGAGTGGAGTCCTAGAAATGAACTTGCTTGTTCAACTAAAGGTTCGGTGATTCCATTTCTTGATGTCCAAAGAAGCAACGGTAATAAAACTAGAACAAATAGTCTTTTCTGTTACAGCTTTACTAAAAAGACCTTCTGGGCTGCTCATAAATCACAAAAAGGAAAAGGACCTTTGGCCAATGGTTCCGATAAGGTCATTGAGTCATCTCAAGTGGACTCACATGAGCACAAAGAAATTATGGAGACTGGTAGTTCCGATACGCTCGACAATCATTATAAGGTCCACCACAAGGATAATAACGAGAATGAAATGCCTGAAACAGAAGTTGAATCTGATGGAGATTTTAAACTCTCATTCGATATCCAAGCCCCAGAAAAGTTTGACTGGGCCGAGAGCGAAGATGATGGTAGTTCTGATAAGTTCTTTGCTTATGTCCTGGTAATGAGCAATCTAGAAGCGGGTGTCAAGGATGGAATTCCTATTCTTGATATTCTAGAAGATGAACAATTCGTGGATTTAGAAGCTGGTGTAATGAATGACATTCCTATTGTTGATGTTGAAGAAGCTGAGGATTTCTGTAGAATGAAGAGCATTCCTATTGGTGATGAAGAATTCAAGGGGTTGGAAGTTGGTGGAATGGTTGACATTCCAATTGGTGATGCTGAAGAAGCTATGGGCTTAAAAGCTGGAATGTTTGATATTCCTCTTGTCGAGGAAGATGATACTCTTGGACAATCACAAACCATTGGGAAGGCTGAAGTTTTCAAAATTAATACTCGAGAAATTGTTGACTTTATCGTTCTTTTAATTGTTGTTCCTCTTTTCTATTTGGATATTGGGAGTGGTATTGCTTTTGCAATCAGCGTATTTTATTTATCCGTCCAACCAGATGTTGAAGGAAGAACTTTTATTCCTAGCTTTTTTGTCCAAGAAGCCCAAGACTTTATGGATTTAGAATCTGGTGAGAAGCATGAAATTTCTAGCGTTGACGTTAAAGAAGCTGCAGAATTTGTGCACTTAGGGGCCACAGCGGACAACTATCATAGCTTTGTTGTACAGTGTATTACTCACTTTGAAGCTTATGGGAAGGATACCTATTCTAGCGTTGACGATTTAAATTTGGAACACATCGCCTACTTAGAAGGGGAAAAACTCTGCGAGAAGTCCATTAATATCTATGATGGTTCGTTACATCTCATGGGGTTAGAGGCCGGTGGAAAGGTTGAACCTGAAGAGGAATTTTCCGACTATTCTATGAACTTAGAAGTCCATAAAAAGGCCACCGATCTTGTCGAGGATGAACCACAGAATTTCGTCGTAATGGCAGAAGACGGAAGGGTCACTAGTCTTATCAACGATGATGCAAAAGATTGCTTGGAATTGGATACCGCGGGGGTGGTTGAAGATTTAGGCGATGTTTGTCTCAAACTGATCAAGAATTCAGTAGACCATGGAAAGTATTCCAGTAGTGATGAATCTCAAGATATACATTTGAGAGCTAGGGAAAAGACTGAAATTCCTCGCAATTATGGATCACAAGATCTAAAGCTATTAGGGGCAAATATATTTGCCAGTATTGCTCCTCAAAGTTCAAGTGAAGTTCTCCAGAATAATTGGAAACAATTTAGGGTTACGGAAGAGTTTTATTTGGATAACAAAGTTCATACTTTTGCCTTGGCCATCCAATTTGATGAGTATTACTTTAAACATTTTTCTCCACTCGAATTGTTTTTAGACAATTCCGAGAAGGATCTTCTCACGGATCAAGAGTGCTCCATTGAAACCAAGGAAGAATTGAGTAACCATTGCGTTAAAGTCAATTCCCACGCAAATCATATTGATTCTGAGAATATTTGAGAAGAGAAATTGTTAGTCCTTGACCTGGATACCGAATTAGGGATTCTTGAAGAAGAGATTCTTATAGCAGATGAAACATCTGAAAAAACTTCGAGAGAAAGTAATCAACCCCTTGAAAAAGACGAGGAACCTCTTGATACTTTCTATGAAATTGACCTGAATTATGGTTCTTCGGAGGAAGTTGGGATCAACGACTTCGCAAGAGTTCTTACTTTAAAGACGGTTATTCCTAAAATGGATACCAAATCCGAGAGCTCAGATATCCCTGCCGACGCTAAGAAGGGTACTTCTCATAAGTTGATTTGTTCTCTCTTTGTTGAACATTTCGATAAAGACTATGGAAATGCTGAAGAAGCAAATTCTCCAGTTACTGAAGAACTGGTGGAATCAAATGATGATTTTGAACTCAAAGCACAAGACAATACCTTTGATCGTCTGAAGCAGAATGTTTCAGACCCTGAATATTATCTCGCAGAAATCTACAAGTGGGGGCTTGAGTTTCCAAGGAGTATCGATCAAACTATCTTTAACTCTTCTAAAGAAACATTAGATTCTACTGACGATGATAATTCTAATATCTCTGCCAACAAATACACCAAGAAATTCCGGGGGGATGATTTTGGCCTTAGTAACAGAGATTCCCAAATTACCATAGAGTCAGAATCTTCCAGCGATAATTCAAAAACTCTGAATAGGTTTTCTTCCAGCATTTCCACAAGTTTAAATCCAGGCACTCCAAGTACTCAAGGCAGTTGTTCTGAAGACTGCCAAGAACAAAGAATCCAAATATCCACACTTGAATCAGATATTTGTACTCAAACAATAATGGAGTGTGAAGCAACCAGCACTGGTTTCCTTAATTTAAAATACTCTTGTGAGTTTCTGAAATTCGAAGGAAGTCTTTTGGGCCAGATTGGAACTGAGGCCAATGAAATGGTTACCTGGATTAATAATTCCAGACCATGCTCGGTACGGGAAATTGGGAGACAATTTTACTCAGGCATTTCCATTAGACAAGACAAGAACATTGGAATTCAGTGGCATGTATTGATCATATTACTCTTCCAGTTGATGATTCTCGTCTTGGATTTTAGAACTTCGCTCCATAAGTTGAAGAACCTCAGATTGTGGTCAGCTGTCCGCATACTCTTATGGCTTCTCTCCTGAAAACGATAGAGCTCAATTTACGACATTAATGACATTCCTCAGCTTCAAACTCCAATACTCTGTTGGAATATCCAGCCAAACTACACACAGTCCAACATTGGGACACTTTCTAATAGAATTTTTGCATACATTTTACATACTCCACCTCTATTTATAGTATTAATCTTTATAACGCCAAAATTTCCAGCCGAACTGGACCTGTAGAATGTTTCATTTTCTTAATAATTTAAATTCTATTTTACTTGGAGCGTCTATAAATTGTGGATTAGATACAATGATTATTGAAGGTGGTCTACACAATGTATCTAGGATTAAATACTGTGGCAATCGCTTTGTTCAAGGGAATTACTTGGTAGTGTCTACATGTGACTGAAATTTGGAGACATTAAGACTATTTCTAGTTTCGGGCCTAGGTCAATTAGTATAATCAAGGTGAGAGCTTATTATCCATTAGGAACAGACATAATTCTGTACAAATCTAAAGAACAGGCTCATAGGGCCAAGGGAAAGAAATTGATATAGTTTTGATATAGTTTGGTTAGATTGGCTGTTCTCTTGTGAAAAATAAAAAGCGTTCTTAGACCTGCTGGTAAGGGGATTACTTTTTATGCTTATTCTCTTTTTCCTTAGTATAAGCATTGCCAAGCAGCTACGAATAGACGCCAAGTGTGCCTTCCAGAATACTAAATATCGTATAAAAAACGAAGTAGATACTGAGCTATATTGGCATGCACATAGGGTTTTGGTAAAACGGCAGATGTTATAATTTAGGTCTCTGGATGGTAAAAAACTACTCTTCGAGAGGAAGATTTTATGTGCAATTATTCATTTGAAAATCATGTAAAACACAATCTATCACTCCGATAAATCACTTGGACCTACCGGTTAATTTATAGTATTATCATTTCCTTTATTGGGTTCATTAGGAGAATTTTCGCCCGTTTTTCCGTCTCTAATTGCATTTCGTAAATCTTCTTGATATAGTATCTCTTCTAGATACCTACATCCTTGTCCAATCATTTTACAAGTATTGGCGTATAAACTTCAGTAATTGTAGCGCTTTCTGAGGGGTTGCTATATTTTCCGATGCATTGTTTCAACTTTGATGTTCGAAATGTACCGCCCAATGTCTCTATACATATTACTTACCTGCACACAACAGAATCCCAAATCCCAAATCCCTCATAAACCTGACAGGAATTCCAATTCCAATCTATTGTGTCCATAACTACCACCACTCGTCAAAGATAAGGCGTGTCACATTCTTAAGAAGCTTCTCCAGCCAAAACAACACTTTTGTTCAAGCCATGCCATACTATGCTGTGGCTAAAGGCAACAGCAGAGGTATCTTCAACAACTGGGATGACTGCAAAAGAAGTGTGAGTGGCTACAAAGGAGCCTCGTTCAAGAAATTCAGCTCAGAGTCAGCGGCAAAGGCGTTCATTATAGAAAATAGCAGCTCGTCCAACACATACTCCCTGTCAAACAGTTCTTTCCGACTGAAGGCGTACGCCCCAAAGTCGTACTCCCTGCGGTCATCGTCGAAGAGCTTACACCCTCCGAAGTCATATTCGTCGAGCTCTTTTCTCTCCAAGTCTTCTTCGCATGATCCAGATTCATATTCTTCCAGCTCCCACTCATCCCCAAGTTATCAATCAAAGGACGGTTCCTCTACAAAACAAGAATCGGCTGATATCTATGTTGATGGGGCCTGTAGAGGAAACGGAAAAGATAGCAATCCTCCTTCAGGATATGGCGTGTACTACGGTGCCAATCTGGAAAAGAATGCAGCCATTCCATTATCACGGGTTGACAAATCAGGAGCACGTCCTACCAACCAAAGAGCAGAATTGTACGCAATGAAGCATGCTTTGGAAGATATAAACAAAGAATTGGCCAACGGGGGCAGTACCAAGTATACTATACACACAGATTCACAATACACTCAAAAGTCGCTCAACGAATGGTCAAATACCTGGAGTCGTAATGGGTGGAAGAACTCGAAAGGTCAACCTGTCGCTAACTCTGATATAATTAAGGATTCCTTGAAATTGTTGAATGATGTCAACTTGAAGTACCAGGAAAAAGGCTGGGGCAAGATTGATATTGCATATGTGAAGGGCCACGCTGGAAACCATGGTAACGAGCAGGCAGACAGACTAGCAAACCTAGGAGCTGACTCTTATGGGAAATAAAACAAGAATGCATTTTTAAATCATACTTCTTATATCAAGAGTAAGTTGCATTCTTGAAAATTACAGAGATGAACTTCCACACCGTTGAATATGAAAACCAATAAATGATGGCGAAGGCGCACAATAGCTCAGAAGTAGACTGGAAGGTCATTCACTAGGGTTTGTGAAAGTTTGATAGCTTCCCTTGAAGATTTAGGTGCCAATTTGCCTTAGACGGTGCCACCCTCTGTATTTTTTACCTCTTTTGGTTCATTGCTTGGTAGCCTCTTTTTTGGAGCTTTTTTGTGCCTTTCAGTTGATTTAACCTCTGCCTTGGGTCTAGAATTGGCAATCAACTCATTTTGCGAAGCAATGTCCTTTTTTGATTTTACTTCAACGTTCAGTTTGTTTCGCTTAGGATAATTTGGGGCAATTTCTGTTCCCTTAGTATCCTCACTTTTGACTTTGTTATCTCGTTCCTTTGGGGGATTTTTCTTTGGAAGTTCCTGTAGTTTACTCGGTTTTACAATTTTCTTTTCCAAGTTAGCTTTGTCTTTTTGTGCTACCTTCTTTGGTTTGGATGGTCTTGTTTGACTCTTTTCTTTTACGTCCGACTTCTCTTTTGATTTCTCTCTTGACTTCCCTTTCGGCTTTTCATTCGGGTTCTCATTCGGGTTCTCCTGTGGCTTTTCATTAGACTTGTTTCTCTTCTTTGACTTTAATTTTCCAGGTTTTCCATCTTCCCCGACATTGGCTTTTGGCCTCTCGGGGAACAGTTTTTCTTTTGCTTTGAGTTTTAAGGGTTTGAGGGGCTTATCTTCAGGTGTAGCCTTTTTTGAATCCACCTTTTCGCTTCTCTGTTTTGCTAGCTTTTGTAACTTGCTTGCCTTTGATTTTGCTTTCTGCTCTTTTTTAATAGTATAATGTTCTTTGGCGAGATCGAAAGACTTAGTCTCTCCATTAAGAAATTCCAAATATTTTTTATACAAGGGGTTCTTTTCGATTACACTCAAAGCTATGGGTTTGGAGGAAATAGTGGACTCTGGCATCTGGTTTATGATAGATTTCTCAATAACTGGAATCAAACTGTCGCTCGTGGTAGACTCGTAGAATGGTTTTCCTTGAAGTTCTGAGATGAAGCCCTGGATGTACTGCTCTTTGGCGAACCGTATGTATGCCCTGGAATATGTAGGAAGTTCATAGGGCTTAGTAGCAAGCACACCTTGGACGTAGTACAAGGAGCCTATCAGGTCCATATTTTTGTAGTGGTGTGCTAGCTGTTCCCTGAACTCGGCCTCTGTCAATGTTGGTGGTAACAACCTCACCTCCAACTTGAGGTTCACACCATCGGATATACGTGAAGAAGACCCTTTTGCGGTTCCAGAGGGTGGTGGATTTTGCGCTGGCTGGCCTCTGGGAGTTGGTGGGACGTTTGGCTGCCTTCTAGGCGCTGAAATAGAAGCCATCTCGAAGTGCTGGACAGGATGAGATCTGCTAGACGTGGCTGTTCAACAAGGTGGTTCTTAGCTCAACGTTCGGAATTCTGAACCAACTGAACCGATTCAGAAGCGATTGTTAATGTTAGTAACACTAATTTGGGTGGCCTGAGCTGAAAGGATTTGGGTGGTTTTCAATCGAGTCTTGATGCAAGAATTTGCCAGCTCAAGTTTGATTCACAATGGTGATGTAACGCAACTGGTGGTTAGTTACGGACGCCTCAAGCCAGGAAGTATCGCATACGAGTATCAAGCTGATAGTGATACTTCTGGGAAGAGGTGGAAAAACCGCGAAATGCGACTTTTGAGATATCAAAGTCAGTAGACACTTATGGCCATTCACCAATGGATATCATAAACCGCTACCTCGGAGAGGTCTCCTCCGTATCCAGACTCAACCAGAAGGACCAGGTAGCCCAGCTTTCCAGGTTGCTCAGTCTTGACCCGCAAGTGAATCAGTATGTGCTCGTATTGAACTCCATCCCAAGTGAGGTCAGCTTGAAGCAGATCAACATCGAGAACTACAACGTCTACAACAACGAGTGGTTGGCGTTCAACGAACTCTTGCTCAGCTTCATCAACTTTGCCCTCGAACTCAATCCGTGGTCAGCTTTAGAGTCCTACGATTTGTACACCACCTACTTGAACGACCTATCCATCGCATTCAACAACAATAATCGTGGGCATCTTTTGAGTTATCTTGTCAAGGAGTCAATTCAAACAATAATCCCTCTATCCATCAAGCTCGACGCCCAATTCTTCATCAAGGAGTTCCGTTCACGTCCCAGATTGACATACTTAGCATCGGTGCTTTTGAAGATCTTCAACAATATCAGATCGCAGATCAATGACACCAACCAGCTCAAGAAGACCATCATATTGTTCGTGAGCAACAAGCTATGCTTGATCTACTTCAAGCTCGAAAACCCGCTTCTCTGTCGGAATATCTTCTCCAACATGAATAATGCCAACTTGAGTATGCGGACCTTTTCCAAGTTAGAGCAGGTTCAGTACAGGTACTACTTGTCCAAATTCTACTTGATCAAAGATCAGCTCATTGAGAGTTTTGGGCACATCCAGTGGTGTCTCTTGAACTGTCCGTTGGGGGGCTCTAGCCAAGAAAGGTCCAATTTGGAGAAGATTTTAAAGATCTGGTTGCCTGTGTGCTTGGTGATTGGAAAAGTTCCCAACTTCAATTATATCCACCAGATTAGTGGGCCATCTCCGATCGTACAGATGTACTCCAAGTTGAGTCACCATATGGGCGTGGGCAATTTCCAGGGCTTCAACACCGTGCTCTTGGAAAACTACACCTACCTTAAAGAGAACAACCTATTGTTGTTGTTGGCCAACAAAAGCAAGGTGCTCATTTTGCGGAATCTCGTCAAGAAGGTATGGAAACTAATGGGGTGTCCTACCAATCTTGACTTCGATATAATCAAGAGTGCGCTTGCCCTCTCGCTAGGAAGCACAAGCTACGACAAATCCACGTTCCCATTTCTCCAGAGCCCTCACGATATTGACGATTACTTGGTGGAAAACATCTTCATTTCATTGATTGACCAGAACTTATTGAAAGGGAAGATATTTTTGGTGCTCCGGAAGGTAGCACTCAGCAAAATGAACGCCTTTGCCAGAGTTGGCGATATCAACTTCACTCGGTTCTCGAGAAACTCCAAGGCAGATGCGTGGATGAATCAGTGAAAGGGGAGAGATGGAGTTCTTCGTGGTTACACGGTAAGAACTTACGTGGTTGAACAGGTTAAGAACCCTAGAGGTCCACCAGTAGTTGCTACAAGAACAGCTGAATGAGGTGATCAAGAAAGCTCAGTGGAGTTGGGCAAGAGTCCACTTCACTGGTGATTGTATTGTTGGGACAGAGTGGTCTTGTACGAGTACACTTCATGATTCCCAAGGTGTTCTACGATCAGTGGGGTTTCTAGACAGTAATACGCCCAAGTGGTTCTGCCAGAAGGTATGCTAGACGCAGTACAGTAACACCAAAAGAAGGTGCTGTGATTCTACCAGTGGTGTTCTTCAAGAGCAGCTATTTCCAGGCGAAGTTATTTCTGATGTCATACAGCTCAGTAATTCCATCAGAAGCTAGATTGTGAACAGCTTAATGACTTCCGTAAGGAAGTTAGAAAGCTCAGTGTTTGTGAGTGTGTTCTATGTCACTGTTGAGGAGGTGACTTAGAGCAACATCAGTGCCCAGACAACCCTTCTAAACGGCAATTCAACACCACTCAGCTGTCAGCATTTGCTGGAAATGCCCAGAAGCTGCCAAATTTAACCCTACTTGCAAATCCGCCTTCCCTCGCCAAAACCACACCTAACCTGTCAATCCTCCAGCCTCATCCACAATTCTTGGCCTTCCATCCCTGCCACGTGAGCTCCCTAACCTCGCTAGCGCGTGCCGTTAGACCGCCCCAGCCGCCAAAACCATGAGGCAAAATAAGTGACTGACTCCACACTTAAGAAAAAAAACTGCACACAAAACATGCAAAAATGCAGCAAACACCACAACAAGATGAGCCATGCATAATGTGGGGGAGAATATAAAGCACGGGTTGGAACCGGCAAAATCTTCTCCTAAACATACCTCACCAATCACCAATCACCACTCGCTCACCATGAATCTCGAATACACCTGGAGGCTGCAACAGGTATCTCCTCCCCATGATGGAATGATCACGTGGCTGTTACCGGAGTTGCCAGAAGAGGTTCTCCAGATTATCCTCGACAACTTGGACCAGCGGCACTTGGCCAACCTAGCCCAGGTCAGTCGCTTCCTCAGGAAGAAGGCCTGCGAGCGGTTGTACAAGAAGATTATCGTAATCAATGACGATATAGAGGGCAATTTCCTCGACCAGTGCAGAAGCTCCTACTTGAGAGTTTCCAGGCTCAACTTGCTTGTGGACAGGCTCAGTCCCGAAAACTTCGCACGCATGACGAAGATCATCATCCACTCCCAATCCAACTTGATCAGCTACGACTACTTTCCATTGTATGAGCGTCTCCTTCGCCTCTGGGACCTCGTTCCTCACCATAGCATCACTTTCATGAACTTTGACATCAACAACATTCGGAACTCCAGGACAATCAACCAGTATGTCTCCAATAGATCCACGCTTTTCATCGAAGACGAACTCATGAATTTGCACAATAACAGCAAGGTCAGCAATTTAAGGAATTGGATGGTATTTGATTTCAGAGAATTGTTTGAGTTACCATACAACTTGAACTTACAAGACTTGGATATCTTTATTGAGCAGTCAATGGGCCCAGCTGCATATCCAGATCATGCTCCTGATGCGTTTTTACACAACTTGTCTACTCTCAGTGGGTTATACTTGGACTCGCCAACTTCGACATCTCAGTTCCTTCAATATTTCAAAGGATCGACAGCCCCCATCATGCATAACCTAGAGAAGTTATCCCTCACTTCAGCCCATTCTTACAAGGATAACTCGCGTTTATCGTTTTCCGACTTGAGCAAAGTGATTGATTTCAGAACGCTCAAGAAGTTTGAGCTTAAAATTAATTGTATTCACAATGACTGTGATTGCATCAATACATTCTTCAGTGAGTTGCCTTGCAATAACCTCCAGAAGTTCATTTTAATAAACTACAAGTCCAACAACTTGAAGCAAAACTTAAACCAGTTTGATCGCTTATTGAATAACCCCGACTTTTTTAGAGCAGTCTCGACAGTGGAATCACTTTACTTGAATGTGAACGATTTTATCAAGTTGGATGCTAACCACTCTCCCAAATTTTCAATAAGAAAGTTGATGCTGAGAATTTCAGGTTTAACTAGGTTACGTGAATTAGTTATCCCTGATTTTTTTAACAATTGGCTGGTAAGTTTGCCTTCAATTTTCGAGCATCCAAGAACAACGGAGGCAGGCTACGAGCCAGAAAACTGCTTTGACTTGCTCCTCAATAAATGCTCATGTGTTGAATGTAATTCAACTAGAGCTAGGTTTAACAAACTTGCCAGCTTTGACTCCAGGAACAATTACAAACATGATTTCAAGAGGTCTTTGCCCTCATCTAGTGGATTAGCTGATGCCTACAATAATACTGAACATCTTATTGAGTTCACCACTTCAAATGTGAATTTCTTGAATTACCTTGTTGCCAACTTGAAGCGCCAGTTTATCTACATCAACGAAAACCTTTTCTCGATTAATTCAGTCATCAACTCTAACGAGAAGCCTTTTATTGTGAACCCCGAATTGATTCCTTACAACAAATTGTTCATGCATAGCTGCTTGAATCATTTTGTTGGCCGCATCAAATACGATAAGCTGGATTTAAAGCTCATAAATTTGGGCGGCATCGTCATTGAATTCACGAAGCAAAATTGCATAAAAGCACCCTATAATGTTTGATAGGGGCTATGAATATAAAATCACTAATTAGTTCTTTTTGTTACAGTATGAAGATTATAGAATAATACTTCTCCAACTCCAGCCATGTAGACCAGCTCGCTAAGTTTTATTGTAAGATCGTGTCACGTGACTAGAACACGCTCTGATTCCGTCTACGTGTATTGACATGCCCACCACAACAGGACTTATTGAAGCATAACTGACAGTAATGACCTCTAAGAAAGATGGTCGATTGAAAGACTATTCCGAAATCGCATCTGCTAATGCAGCTGTCACCACGTCATCGCTCCTGAATTTGATAAGCAGGCTTCTAGTCGGATTCAACGTTGCAGTGAGGGCATACTGTGCCCTTTACATGATCATTTCTGACTGTGATGAAACATTCAACTACTGGGAGCCTCTCAACTTGCTACTCCGTGGATTTGGTAAGCAAACGTGGGAATATTCGCCCGAATATGCCATAAGAGCATACACGTATTTGATTCCATACTATTTGGTTGGCTATCCTATTCAGCTATTATCGTCTGCTTTGGGTGAGTTACCACATTCCTATTCGTACTACCAATTCTATATTATCCGTGCTGTTGCCTTATGTGGGGTTACAAGCTACGGTGAAATAAGGTTGACCAGAAGCATTGAAAAGTATTTGAACCTGAAAATTGCCTGTTGGTTTTTGTTCTTTTCTACCGTTTCGCCTGGTATGTCACACGCTGGAGTTGCTCTACTTCCATCCACCTTCGCCATGCAATGCAGCACGTTCGCGTTCGCATATGTTCTTGAATCTATTGTTTCTGCTAGTGTCGAAAGTACCATTTTGGCTATTACTTGGTTCTTGGCTGGGGGTATTTTTGGCTGGCCTTTTGCATTGGCCTTGGGTGTGACTTTTGGCCTCTATACAATCTTAAATCTGAAGAATTGGCAAGGAAATAAAATGGTGCTGATCATCGGGGGCTGTGTCTTGAGTCTCTCTGCGATCTTGGCAACCATAACTTTGATAGATTCATACTTTTATTCAAAGATCTTATTGGTGCCATTGAACATTGTCTTTTACAACGTTTTCGGAGGCGAAGGTGAAGGACCAGAAATCTTTGGAGTTGAACCTTTCAGTTATTACATTTTGAATTTGTTGGTCAATTTCAATATTATTGCAGTTTTGGGATACTTGGGCCTCGTCTTGAATCCTTTATTGTCCAGAAAATCATTTGGAATTGCATTCAATTTGTCGCTACCATTATTGCTTTGGTCGGTGATCTTTTTCTCGCAGCCACATAAAGAAGAACGTTTCTTGTACCCAGCATACCCTTTGATTGTGGTAAATGCAGCCATTTTGGTTTATCATATTTTTGCAGTCTTTGGACAGGTTTCAACAAAGATTCTCTCCAATTTCAAATATAGATCCTTATTCACCAGATTCGTGCAAACCATATTTTCATTACTAGTGCTCGTGGTATCCATATTAAGAATTGTCAACTTAGTTGAAAACTACTCAGCACCATTGCAAACATTTGAGTTAGTGAGCAAGTTGCCATCTTCATCCACACCAGTTAATGTGTGTATTGCAAAGGAATGGTATCACTTTCCAAACTCCTTCTTCTTGCCAGATAACTACAGATTGAGGTTTGTGCAAAGTGGATTTGATGGCTTGTTGCCTGGTGATTTCGAAGAGAGCTTTCAGTCACTTCAAAAAATCACCTCCCATATTCCACTGAATATGAACAACAAAAATCAATTTGAGACGGATAAGGTGATCGAGTTTGGCCAATGCGATTATTTTATTGACAACACCGAGAAGTCCAGTCAACACGTAAAAGAACCTAATATTATCCAAGAAGACAGGAATGGCACGCATGTGGTAGACCCTGAATGGGAACTTATGGGTTGCAACAAGATAATCGATCCAAACGGTGCCCATTCCGGTATTGGAAGATTAATCTACATTCCAGTAAGATTACGTCAGTATATCTCATATGATGTCAAATACTTGAACTTCTGTGCCATGAGGAAAACGTCTATTGTATAGAGTCTATTTAGTCAGCATAAAGAGAATGTGGAGTAAGATTCGCGACTAGCTTATAATCAATTGCTCGAAACGTAATAGTTATTTGTATCTGAAGCAATTCAACACTCATCTTCTTCAAAAACATAAGTCACCTGTTTTTCGGCTTCACTCGGTTTCCCTTATGGGCCAAATTCGGATTCTAGGCCCGAGTGGAAACGATCTCTCCAGGTATTGCGTCATGACATAAAAACAATCAGATTTAAATTTCCGTTGTGAGCTGTCAGTGGGGTTTGGCTACTGACCATGGGAAGGGATGCTCCGTGAAGGACTTCCACCCACGGCGATGTTTCTTGAACCACATCTACTAGAGCTTGCAAGCAATGCCCCATATTTCCGGAGGAAATGTGTGCAACCCCAGGATGCACAATTGATAGGATGTGATGTTTATTTATCTAGAAGTCAGGCTTTGATTGTAAATATATAGTAGTTAAAATTCATCATCGAAGTATCTGCTCAAGGCGATTTTTGATTTTACAAAGCCATCTCTAGCCTTCTCTAGGGCATCCTGGATGAGGGCAATCCAGAAATCATCTTTAGACTCATCCGGTATTTGTGTTGTATTAATAGTCGTTTCGTTGGAACGTTCAGTATCGTTCGTGTCATTATGTTGGTCGTTAGTTTGTGTAGCGGCAACAGCGCTGTTTCCTTCACTAGTAGTAGATTCATCGCCGTTAGACTTGGTGAATGCTGGACTTTGAGCCACATCAAAGTTGTCGAAGTTGTTTTTATGTCCGTAATTCTGAATTCTTTCACATTGAGCCAGGATTTGAGTCAATCCCAATGCTGCTGCCAGTCCCTTCAAGTAATGTCCCAACGCCAGAAGCTTTTCCAAGTTTTTCTGCTTCAAGTTCTCATCAATTTCTCGGAATGTATCTATTACCTGGTCCACGAATGTTTGAAACAATGACTTGCTGAACCCTTCTTCGTCCTCATCCATTGCCACTAGTTCTGAGAACACACTCCACTCCACCATCCCAGAGGCCTGAAGCTCTTGGCTTTTCTCGTCACTCATGATTTAGTATATTCCCTTGTGTTTCTTCTTACACCGAAGCAACTTTTTCTACTTGACGAACTCCTGAGAAATGTTACACAAAATCCCCCTGTATATGAATGCGGGTCTGGAGGCGAAACGTCATAACTTGAAGGAACTCAATTTGCGATTTATAAGGAAGCTAAAGAGGCGGAGTAGGGTGTTCACTACATGCAAGGTACATGATGTCAAACTATCTGGAGGGTAAAAGTACGTAGTTACTGCTCGTAGTAAGCGACATGCAAAATGCACAGTAGTTTCCCCGTATCACCATTAGTAAGGACATCATGTATATTATTCGCACCAGCGAGGATGACGTTGCACTACGCTCAACACTACACAACTACCCGTATATTGTTCATTCGAGTGACCTCGGCTTTTCCTCCCCCTTAACTTCTGGAGGGGGGCATCCGTCCCCTCTCAAATGTGTCAACCCACACCAAGTCTCATCATGTTACATACGCCGTAGGAACAATCGGGATACCAGTTACCCCGTTCACTAAAAACAAGTTGTACTAGCCTAATGCCCGCAGGGGCGCCCCTAGGCATAAGGATCTTGAGGATGCATACATTTGCATATTATGTTAGCCTGATTTTGAGTGATGGGGTACTACAAAGAAATTTAGGCGCTTTTGCTTTATATTGTGGTGCGCCTAGACTAATCGAGGTTCCACCAAGAGGGTGGGCAAATGGGTCCAAGATCAGGCAATAGCAGTATCCGTCTAGCAAGTAACTGTATCGAAGATGACACACAGCAACTAAGTGCTGGAGCTCGAACAATTGCTTTGTTGCACTACTGTTAAGAGCACTTATTGTTCTCAGCACTGGACTATGAACAATGTCCCTACTCAAACGGTCTAGATCGTTCGTAACTCAATCTCGAGACCCTTGACTTCGCACCGATCGTGCCATTACAAGAATCCTCGGGTAAGCCGAGCAATCCCGAGGACCACAGAAGGTCACTTTAAATCGCTTAGGTTTCTCTAACACCATCTTAAAGTTCTGCTGCACGCTATTTAGATAACGCTCTCACGGGATTTACCTTACGTACAGAAGTTGTACAAACGTTCCATCTTTGCCGAACGTAACTTTGTTACCTATTTTTTGCTTAATTACACACATTCCTTCGATAGCCATTGCCTTTGTATATTCTAATTATAGTCTAGTCTCTAAATTTGCAACTTATTGAGTCATTTCAAACAAGTCACCGAGCTTATCAGCGTAATAAGTTGGTGCCACAGATTTTTCCTGAGCCAAAACCCGATCTTCAGTTTCTATTCCTGTAAGAACCAACAAAGTATCAAGACCACCATCTCTTCCGAACTTCATATCGGTGTTGAGTCTATCTCCGACCATCAACCCTTTACCTGGGCTGGCCTTCAATCCCTCATTATCTGCCTTAATAGCATTCAACATCGATTGGTTTGGCTTTCCACAAACTGCATCGGGCTTTCTGCCACTGGCGTATGAGACTGACTCGATAATTGATCCTGCGCCGATAAGCAATTTGTCTTTCGTTGGAAAGGTCGAATCAATGTTGGTTGCGATAAAAGGAATGGATTTGTTATCCTTAATCAAGTATTGCATGGTGATTGATAATTTCAAGTAGTTAAGGTTCATAGTCAAGCCAACAATGACAGCCCCTACATCCTTATCCAAGTTGTTTAAGAGTTCATGGTCCGGATCGAATGTGACGCCATCGGCAGTCAATCTAGGGTCAGTTCCTCCAATAGTCGTGTATCCCAACTCTTGCAATTCCTTCTCTATACCTGCTTCTCCTAAAACCCAAACCTTCTTATCCTTTGGTAATTGAAGGATCTTCTCGATGTAAACTGCTGAAGCATAAGAAGAGCCAAACACTTCATCCTTGGTGATACCGCTGATTCCAATCTTTTCAAACTTACCTAAGTAGTCATCTCTAGACTTGGTGGAGTTGTTGGTGACAAAAAGCACTGTCTTGTTATTCTTCTTCAAGAGGTCCAATGTCTCGGCAACCTTGGGCAAAATATGATCTCCACGCCAGATAACACCATCGCAATCAAACAAGAAATAATCATATTTATCAATGATTTCCTGGGCCTTATCTCTACTGTCAACTTTCAATGACATTTCCAATGTTGTGTAGAAGCTTTGTTCTGAAGTTAGTCTCGAATAAAGTGATTTGACAGCGAAATATGAGATCCTAATTTGGCTAGTCGCGGGCCTCAAATCCTCCGCTAAATGATTAAGAAAACTTTCATTATCTGCTTCAGCTATGTGAAAGTATCAATCTCAGCTAATGTCCAGAGTTACAGTTCTACACAAACTGGTATTTGCTTATAGTCATTTTATCTACAATCTGTCCAAATTAACTGTTCTTTAAGTTATGACATTATTTGTAACTAATAAAAAGATTGATTGTTACTTCGATATATGCAAGGAAACCAATCTCGAAAGGCAACTGCGATCCGCATGCCACGATCCGTCTCAGTTGGGATGAAGTAATATGATGTGATTGTCGAACAATGTTTGATAACATTTCAGGTCATTTATCCGAAGTTTAAGTAGTAATTAACGCTCAGAAGGATCAGGACCAGCGGTGTACTTAGGGAAACGGAACTTCGACTTGTCATTATAGATTTCTTCATCGAACTTGGCTTTGTTTTCGGAACTCATTGATTCACGAACCAAATCTTGTCTGGCCTTCTCTGAGTAAAATCTTCTGGCTATGTTTCTGTCTTCTTCGGCCAACAACAAGGGTTCCAAGTAGAATCTGGCCCATTGTTTTTCTCTGCTTATTTCACGTTGCTCGTTCACACCTTGATAATATCTATAGAATCCAAATGAGATCAAACCAGTGATACCCCAAAAGTAAATTGTAGGTCTGAATCCTCTAGAAGGAAGGTTTCTCTTCCATTGTACTGGCTCGTATCCTCCAATAGGTGGTAAGTCTTGCATTCTTTTGGTATTGGATTTGATGAACTCTAATTCTGAGAATTTTCATTACATTTACTGTGAGTTCATTGGGTAATTTTTAGGTGGGCGCACGACCAATTTCGTGATATTCCTTATGGTATGTAGATATTCCAAGTGCCTTAAATAATTTATACCTTATATTGAGTGTTGTACAGAAGCCATAAGCACTTTAATACTAAAGTCGCTGTCTTCTACTATAAAAATCAAAACCAAAAAAATGCAATGCAACGGATTACTTAATATCGAAAACTGGTTTCAATTTCTTGATTAAAAGCCAGTCATCTCTGGAAACGGTGTCACGGAAAGCTGGGTCTTTCAATGTGTCAATGGATTTACGAGATATCAATGAGTATAAGTTGTCACTCTCGTCCACATGACGGCCCCATACGGGTTGAGCAGCGGATGGGTTTTCCAATCTCATTGCAACACCTGCATTAGTTTGACCCTTCTTCACTTCATTGGAAGATTTGTGATTCACTTCCAATGAAACGACCTTACCTAACACCATGATATTTGGTTGCTTGGTAGCTGGGTCTTGACGAACGGCACAGATTGGAGTACCAACACGAACTGCACCTTCAACAACATCAACACCAATAATCATTGGGTTACGTTTGTTAATGATTTGAACAGTCTTCAACACACATGGAAGAACAGCATATTCCATGAAGTCCTTACGACGTATTTCAAGTAATTTCTCTTGATAAGCAGTGAATTGATCGAACAAGTGGTAAATGATGTCTGCATTGAAGATCTTGATCTTCTGTTCTTCAGCGTATTGTTCAGCTTCCTTGTCAACCTTAACATCGAAACACAACATAATTGCTAATTCCGGAGCTTTTTCCAACATAGTACAAGCTTTCATGACATCTCTCTTGTAAACTGGCCCCAACCCAATGGACATGACAGGAATTTTCATATCCTTCAAGAAGTCCAACAAGGCTTCCAAGGAACCCAAAGTAGATGCTTGAACAACGACACCTCTACCAGAAGTATCGACTGAGTCCAATAAACCAGTCAAATCATCCATAACTTCTTCCATGATTTCTTCCTCATCGTCGTCCTCGCCAACAACAATTAATCTAGAACCAGCAACAGCTTTTTCTAAATCATTGGCAGCAATCTTAACACCTAAAGCAGCCTTGACTTCCTTGTGATGGACATATTCGGATTTGATACGAAGTTCACGAGATGGAGGTGGGGTCAATAATGCTCTAATGTTCGTTGCTATAGGTCCATTCAAACCACACAACACAACACGATCTCCCTCTCTCAAAATACCATTGGACAAGACAACATCAATAGTGTAACCAAAACCTTCCACTACCTTGACTTCCAAAATGGTAGCTTCAACCTTAGATAAATACATCAATTGCTTAGACATTCTCTTTTGAGTCAATTCAAGTAACAACCACAACAAATCAGGAACACCTTCACCAGTGACAGCAGAAGTAGGAACAATAGAAACATACTTGGACATGTTCTTGTTCTGGAAGTACAATTCAGAGTTCAAACCTTGTTCAGCCAAGGCAACTCTAATGGCTTCATATCTGTTTTGGAATTCAGCTTGGACTGACTTTTCTTGTTGAGCAAATGAATCTCTGAAAGAATTATTTGGAATAGTCTTCCAGTCATATAATCTATCAATCTTATTCAAAGCAACAATAAATGGAGCCTTTCTGTCTCTCAACAACTTGATGGATTCAATGGTTTGTTGTTCTAAACCATGCATAATATCAATCACCAAAATGGCAATATTACACAAGGATGAACCACGGGATCTTAAGTTGGTGAAAGACTCGTGACCAGGAGTATCAATAATCAACAAACCTGGCACATCAAAAGTTTGTTTTTCGAACTTAGACATAACTGCAGTTTTTTGTTTGATAGCATCAACTGGGAAGTAAGTGGCACCAATTTGTTGAGTAATACCACCAGCTTCACCACCTTGAACATTAGTTTGACGGATTTTGTCCAACAATTTGGTTTTACCAGTATCAACGTGACCCAAGATACAACAGATTGGGGAACGTAAGTCCTTCTCGGAGGGAGTAGAGCTCTTTGCCAACTCTGCCTTCTTTGCTTCCTCTTGAGCAAGCAAAGCGGCTGCTTCTGCTGCTTGCTTTGCCTTACGGGAAGCCTCGAGTTCAGCCTTGACTCTTGCTTCTTCTTCGGCCTTCTTCTGTGCTTCTTGTGCGAGCCTCTTGGCTTCAGAATCATCTTGCAAGTCTTCGGTATCTTCTTCTTGAGCTTCCATTGCAGTTTCCCAATCATCTGCAACTTCTTCAGCGACAGCCAGCTGCTCCCAGTCTTCAACCTCTTCTTCTTCTGGTTCAGAAGATGCGTTCTTGACAGTTGACTTTTCTTGTGGTTTTTGAGTGAAAGTCTTTGGCTTGGTAGATTTCTTCTTGGAGTATACAACCTTCTTTGGCTTAGGGGCATCATCCTTGTTCAACAAACCAGCAACTGAAACGTTACCTGCTTGTAACAATTGTTCACGACGACGTTCCTGTATCTTCTTTTCCTCCTTTTGTTTTTTGGTCAAGAACTTACCTTCAGCCTTCAATTGTTCCTTCTTGAGTCTTTCCTTTTCTTTCTTAGCGGCTCTGGCTGCCTCCTTCTTGGCTTCTTCTTCTACTGCCAATCTTTCAGCTTCTTCCCTTTGCTTTTCTTCTTCTTCTTGCAAACGACGTTGTTCATCTTCCAATTGCTTATTTAATTCAATTTGACGTCTCAAGGCGGCAATTGCAGCTGGAACTTTTTTGCCACCCTTCTTAGCTGGCTTCGATTCTGAAGTTGTAGAGTCTTCTGGCTCAGGAGTTGCGGATGCGGAGTTCACAGAAGCGGCGGCATTTTGCTTATTAGCTTCCTTGATTTGGTCTTTCTTTGTAGCCTGCTGAGCCTTCTTTTTGGCTGCTTGTTCTTTCTTCTTTTGCTTCTCTGCTTCTTTCTTTAACTTTTCTTTTTCCTTCTTGGATAAAATCTTAGGACCATCCTTAGCCTTCTTGTCTTCTTCGGCTTTGGTTTCCTTCTGCTGCTTCGATTTTCTAATAGAACTCAAAAAATCACCTGCAACTTCCTCCTCTGGCTCTTCAGTTCCTACAGATTCAGTAGGTTCTGGAGTGGCTCCAAATTCTTCACCTTGTGGGGCATCATCTTGAGATGGAATTTCTTCATCCCAAAAGTCGCCTCCAGCTTTTCCTCCCTTCTTTTTACCCATGTTTAATGTAAGTTTAGAGAGTAACTTCTTACTTTAATCTTTTGTTATATGGTGAAATTTTTTCAGTACATTTGTGAATTATCGCACGACTTTTTTTTTTCAAGATCATCAAGTTGCAATTTTAGTAGAACCAACTCAAATAGCAAAGTAAGCCAAGATGACAACCGTTGAAAAGATTAAGGCCATCGAGGATGAGATGGCCAAAACTCAGAAGAACAAGGCCACCTCATTTCATTTGGGGCAACTTAAAGCTAAGTTAGCTAAGTTAAGAAGAGAATTATTGACCGACGGTTCCTCTGGAGGTGGTGGTGCTGGTGTTGGATTCGATGTTGCTAGAACAGGTGTAGCAACCATCGGTTTTGTTGGCTTTCCCTCTGTTGGTAAGTCTACTTTACTTTCCAAACTCACTGGTACTCACTCTGAAGCTGCAGCATACGAGTTTACAACCTTGACTACTGTTCCTGGTGTCATCAAGTATAAAGGTGCAAAAATTCAAATGTTGGATTTACCAGGTATTATAGAAGGTGCCAAAGATGGTAAGGGACGTGGTAAACAAGTTATCGCAGTTGCCAGATCGGTGAATTTATTATTTTTGGTGTTGGACGTGAACAAACCATTACAACATAAAAGAATTATAGAGCATGAATTGGAGGGTATGGGTATCAGAATCAACAAGCAACCTCCAAATATTGTGATCACGAAGAAGGAAAGAGGAGGTATCAACATCACTACCACCAGTCCTTTGACCCATTTGGACAATGATGAAATCCGTGCAGTCATGTCCGAATATAAAATCAACTCTGCCAATATTGCTTTCCGTTGTGATGCCACAGTTGATGACTTGATCGATGCCATTGAGGCAAAAGCTAGAAAGTACATCCCTGCAATTTATGTCTTGAATAAGATCGATTCATTCTCAATTCAAGAATTGGATTTAATGTACAAGATCCCAGACGCAATTCCTATCTCTTCCGGAAATGGATGGAACTTGGATGATTTGCTTGAAATGATGTGGTCCAGACTTAATTTAGTTAGAGTCTACACGAAGCCTAAAGGTAAGTTGCCAGACTTTTCAGAACCTGTGGTTTTGAGAAATGACAGATGCACTGTTGAAGACTTCTGTAATTCTATCCACAAGTCTTTGGTTCAAGATTTCAGAAATGCATTGGTTTACGGTACTTCTGTTAAACACCAGCCTCAGAGTGTTGGTTTATCGCATGAACTCGAAGATGAAGATGTCATCACTATTTTGAAGAAGTAATAATTTTTCATATCCACAATGTACATTACCTGAACAAACAATCACTTGTAGCTATACCGCCATTCTGTGGTCACTGTTCGTATATCTCCAAGCGTTCCTTCTGGGCTCGGCTCGTCACAAACTCATCACGTCACGTGAACATTGTTACGTTTTTTTTTTTGAATGAAGAAATCAGCGTAACCTTATTAAAGACTACGGTAATCGACAGCTGTGTTGTTAACAGATAGCGTTAGCTGGTGAAATCATTCTTAGCTAACTACTGATCTGAATTCATAGAAGTTACTAGCAGTGAAATCTACGATATGTCAGTTTTACCTGCAGAAATTCATGGTGCTTTAAGTCAGCTCTTGCAAAACTTGTCATCAGCTGACAACAGCGTTCGTTCCTCAGCTGAAAAGCTTTTGGAAAATGAATGGACTACCTCCAATAATGTTGAAATGTTGTTGACTTTCCTTGCTGAACACGCATGCTCAGCTGAAACCGAGACCTTGAGGGCATTCAGTGCGGTCTTATTTAGACGGGTGGCCATAAAATCACCAAAGGAATTGAACAGTGTGATTGACAGAACCATTGGAGTCATAAGTGAACCAGTCAAGGCTCAAATTAGGGCGATTCTTTTGCAAGGTTTTACCTCCCCTCAATCAAACCAAGTAAGACATAAGCTCTCGGATGCGATTTCTGAAGTTGCCAAAGAAGATGCATCACCACAGGGTACTTGGAATGAACTTATACCAGCATTATTTGAAGCAGCTAAGAGCACGGATGTGAGTCTTCGTGAATCGGCATTCCGTGTGTTCTCCTCTGCTCCTGAATTGATAGACAAGTCTTTCCTAAACGAGGTGTTACCAGTTTTCAATGCCGGATTTGATGACTCCAACGATGAGGTCCGTATTGCTGCATGCACTGCTTTTGTTGCTTTCTTTCGTGATGTTCCTAAGAAAAGCTGGCAATCATTATCCCCACTCTTACCTAACTTATTGAACTCCTTACCAAGATTTTTACAAAATGGCCAAGACCAGGCACTTGCATCCGTTCTCGAGTCTTTGATTGATCTTGTGGAATTGGCTCCTAAAATGTTCAAAGATATGTTTCCAACCATCATTGAGTTCTGTACTGCTGTTTCTAAAAACAAGGATTTAGACTCGAACACCCGTATGGCTTCTCTCGAATTGCTCACCACTTTTGCCGAAGTTTCTCCAGCAATGTGCAAGCGTACTCCATCTTATACCGATAACATGGTCATTGTCACTTTATCAATGTTGACTGAAGTGTGCGAAGATGACGATGATGCTGCTGAATGGAACAACAGAGACGATGGTGATGATGATGAAGAAGAGCCAGAATACGATGTTGCCCGCCAGTCATTAGATCGTGTTGCATTAAGATTAAATGGTCAATCACTCGCCCAACCTTTGTTTCAATATTTGCCTGCGATGATCCAATCTGCTGACTGGAGGGCACGCCAAGCTGCATTGATGGCTTTATCTTCAGCTGCTGAAGGATGTGTTGATGTTTTGATCAATGAGATTCCTAAGATTTTGGATCTCATTTTGCCAACCTTGCAAGACAACCATCCTAGAGTTCAATTTGCTTGTTGCAATGCCTTGGGTCAAATGTCTACTGACTTCTCTGATGTCATTCAAAGAACTGCAAGTAACCGTATCTTGCCAGCATTAATATCCATGCTTACAAATAAGTCCGTTCCAAGGGTTCAAGCCCATGCCGCTGCTGCTTTGGTTAACTTTTCTGAGGCTGCATCGAAGGATATATTAGAACCCTACTTGGATGACTTATTGAACAACTTGTTAGGTTTATTGCAATCTCCTAAGAGATATGTTCAGGAACAAGTCTTGACCACCATCGCTATCATCGCTGATGCCGCTGAAAAGAAGTTTGTGAAGTATTACGATACATTGATGCCTCTTTTGACCGATGTTTTAAAGACTGACATGGGTGAAGAAAACAGATTGTTGAAGGCAAAGTGCATTGAATGCTCTACCTTAATTGCTTTGGCTGTTGGTAAAGAGAAATTTGCCCCTCATTGTCAAGACTTAATTCAATTGTTTGGTCACATCCAGGCTACTGCCTTGCAAGATGATGATCCAGTCAAGCAATACTTGGAGCAAGCATGGGGTAGAATTTGCAGAATCATAGGTAAGGACTTTTTACCTTACTTGCCCGATGTGTTGCCACCATTATTGATCGCTGCCAAGGCAACTCAAGATATCTCTTTGTTGGAAGAAGAACAGGCTGAAGAATTCAATCAAAATGAAGAATGGGACGTGATAAACTTGTCAGGAAAGTTGATTGCACTTCACACTTCTGCATTGGATGACAAGGTCACTGCCATGGACTTACTCAGAACTTACGCCATTCAATTGAAAGATGCATTCTTTCCTTGGGTCAAAGAGATTGTTCAAGACATCGCGATTCCAGCTTTGGACTTTTACTTACATGATGGCGTTCGTGGCTCCGCAGCTTTAACCTTGGCTTCGTTGTTGAGGTGCTCCGTGTACGCAACTGGAAATTCTTCGAATGAGACTTTAGGCTTCTGGTCCCAAATATGTAACAAGTTAGTGGATGTTTTGAACAATGAACCAGTTCCAGAAATGTTAGTTGCTTATTATACCTCATTGGTTGAATCTATCAATGTCTTAGCTCCAAACTCTTTAGGAGCCAATCAGCTTAAAGCGTTAGCTGATGCAATCAATGCAAACCTTACAGAGATCTATGAAAGAATTAAGGCTCGTGATAATGAAGATGATGAGTACACTGAAGATGTTGAGGATGATGAGGAAGAATTCACCGATGAAGAACTTTTGGATGAGATCAACAAGGCAATCTCTGCCATTTTCAAAAACTCTAGATCAAACTTCTTATCGACATTCCAAGTACTTGTACCAACAATCACCACTTTCCTTAATGATGAAAACACCAATATCAAGTTATGTGGTTTATGTGTTGTTTGCGACATCTTGGAACACTGTGGAGAGGACTCGATTGTATACAAGGACATTTTTGTCAACGTCATTGGTGATTCCATCGTTTCTTCCCATGCAGGCATTCGTCAAGCTGCTTCATATGCCGTTGGAGTAGCTGCTCAACATGGAGGAAATGCATACCTTGAATTTTGTTTGGCCTGCTTGGAACCAATGTTCAAGATGGCATCTGTTCCTGACGCTAGGGCTGAAGAAAACATTCATGCTACAGAAAACTCAGTCGCTGCAATTGCTAAAGTTTGTCATAGATTTGCTAATTCAGTTCCAAACTTGGATGCTATCATTGAGCAATGGATTGTACTCTTACCAATTTTTCAAGATGAGTCCGCTGCACCATTTGCTTACACATTTTTGAGTGAATTGATCAAAAACCAGCATGTCTCTGTGGCAAACAACGTTCCTAGAGTGATAGACTCTATTATTCAAGCATTAGCACATGCCTCGATTTCAGGTGCTACTGCCGAAAGAGTAGTAACGCAAGCAAGACAATTATTAGGATCAATGCCACAAAATGAGGCAATGGCCTTGTTACAGAAGAATCCCTCTGATATTGATGTGGTTCAAAAATGGTTCTCTTAATGCATTTATATAGATCTGTCTAATTAATTAACATATGTAACAGTTTGATTTATATTAAAATGTAGCGGTTGTCGTATTACAATATGTTAATTCAAGTACTAGAGCAGGTGAAATTGGGTAGTTACATGTGACTAAGCAGGAAAAAAGTTCAGCTATTCATCTAAAATTCTAAATTCTTGTCAAAACAAGAAAGAATTAACATAAAACTATAAATGACATGATAATTTATGATCTCAGCCAAAACTCCAGTGATTTAGTATAATGATAACGTTCTTACATCGAAATGATAGTGGAACAAGTTGAACCTGAGATGGTGCTTATATATTCAACTGAGACACGACCTCAGATCAATCCCATGTACTTATAGTTCCTGGTGCGACAAAGTCCTCCATATCAGATCAAAATAACAACACCCCTAAGACAGGATGTCAAGTTTATCTTCAAGTCCGTCTTCTGGTACCTCGCGTTCCAGCAAGCGCCAGTCATTGAGTACAATAGAGTCGAGTGTTACTCGGTTGTTGGTGTCTACAAAGCATTTACTAGAGAGTTTGACCCAATGGGCTCGGCATGAGGCGGACGATAAGTTCGTAAGTGATGCATATGTGAAGTTGGGCAACGACTTTCGAGCCGCAACAAGGGCTTTTACTAGTGCTGGAGTGGATATCTCTGATATAGGAGATGTGCCACAGGCATTAAGGATTATTTTGGAAGCAGCGCTTAGTGAACCACCCAGCCAAGAAAATCTTGATCGTTTCCTACCTAACATAAGGAACATTATAGTGACTTTACTACAAAACTTGAAGTCCAAGCAGGTGAAAGCGAAGGTACTTTCACAAGAAAAGCAACAACGGTCGAAGCAATTAACAGCAGAGCAAATTACGCCAACCCCAACTTCAACTACGGATACACCAGTTCAAAATCGGAAAACTTCCAATCCTCCTCCTAGACAGCCTCAGGCCTCGCAGAATGATGCTTTGGCCCAATTACAGAACAGTAACCTGTTGCAAAGAAGGGCATCGAAAAGATTCAGCGCCTATCAATATGCTAAGCTAACGAATTTCCCTTCACCTAATGGATTACCCAAGATTACATCCGATAGTAACACTAATAGAAGCCTTCTGGTACCCACAAATGATCACGTTAGGCGTATTGATGAAGTGAAAGAGATAGAAACAAAAGCTGAGCAGACATTTATCTTTTTGAAAATTGGCAATAAAACGAAAAAGATTGAGATAAAATTGCCTGTTTCCTTTGCATCTCTCAGGTTGCTTTTTGTTGAGAAATTTGCATACTCGCCGGGTTCATCTTCCTTTCCCGAAATTTACATCGAAGACCCAAAAAGCGGTGTAACATATGAATTGGAAGATCATTTGCTTGATGATGTCAAATGTGGAAGCCTTTTGTGTCTAAATGTGTCTGATGGCCCTAGTGATATTCAAAAATCGTTGGAAGTACAGTTTGAGATGTTGACCGCAAAGGTCGAATCTATATCAACTGGAATTTCAAATGAAATCAAAAGTGCCGTCAGTAGTATAGAGATCCCAGCACCCATTCAACCAGCAGTTGTTCAAGAAGGGAAGAAAATTACGAGCTCATTGAATCCAGGGATAATAAGAGAAGTCGTGAATATTCAACGAGATCTCAAAGTAATGAGGCAACTACAAAGCAACAACAAGGAGACCATTAAAACGATTCTTGGGGGCTTGATTCTGAAAGTGAGGGAATTTCAAGAATCTGGTCTTGATGTATCTAAATCATCAAATAGAGCTTATATGGATTCATGCCATCTCAAGCTATCTGAGGAATCTGATCAATTATTGACCAAAGTTGACGATTTACAGGATATAATGGAGGCCTTAAGGAAAGATGTGGCTCAACGTGGAGTTAGGGTGAGCGAGAAACAATTAAAGAATACGAAACGAGAAATCGAGGAGGCCAGGACTTCTTTAAGAACAATGACGGGATATATTTCTAGCGAGAAGTCTGTTTGGAAGAAAATATGGGAAGCCGAGCTAGATAAGGTATGTGAGGAACAACAATTCTTTAATTTACAAGATGATCTTACTCAAGATCTAGAAGATGATATTAAAAAGATTCAAGAAACGTTTGACTTAATTGAACAATGCTCATCAGAGCAAACAAAACAAAGTGCATACAAAAGAAATAGGGTAGTGGCTCAACTACATATCCCCGAACCAGGTGAAAGCATCCATGGTATGAAAGATGCAGTTTTGAACGAGGTTGCTGCATTACGACCAAACCACGAAAGCAGATTGGAGGCCATAGAAAAAGCTGAAAAATTAAGGGAGAGAGAGCGCGAGTTGATGAAACTCAGTAAGTTTCAGGAAGAATTGGGCGAGTTCGTTGAAGATGGAAAACTAAAAAAGTCAGGAGGAATTGAAGAGGTCGAGAGAATGAGGAAAGAGAAGGATAATGAAAATTTGAAAAGTTCATTTGGGATAATATAAACTGTTAGCTGTGTTTTATGAGTCAATTAGCTCAGAAATTGCATTAGTCAATTCCAGTGTACCCGCGATGGATAATTTTGCGGTAACAGTTTGCCAAAATAATGCATCGACTGTTTCTATGGAACTGAATATTTTATTGGTGGATTCAAATTTTTCAATCGTTATGGAAAGCAAACTTAAGATGAAAAATTGAAAGGAGTCCTTGCAGAATTTTTGTTTCCTCAATAATCCCATGTGTGCCTTGTGAATAGATTCTAAGATTATAATTAGTAATGCGGATATATTGTCAAGCATATAAGATGTAGACTGAAGATCAAGATCAATCAAATAACTCTCTAATCGAGTTCGGTATGCTTGTTGCAAATAGGTGTATGCTTTTTTGAATGAGTTTTGTGAAGCAGGTAAACTCAAGTACCTTTGAACATATTCTTTAGAAATATCCAACGTGCGAGTATTAATATTAATACCAACAAACCGTAGGGACTCTTCCCTGTTTTCGGTGCCTATTCGAACAGTCTTCTCATGATTGATAAATGCACCATAGGGATGTAAAGATGAGTCCTGTATAATCCCTTCTGCCCTTGCACACGTTTTCCAATCGTCAGATATAATTAAGAAGTCATCCGCAAGTCGTAATAACAACGTGTTGGGATTAAAATTCTTCAATACACTAAACCGCTCTTGTACCATACGACGATAAACTAGATCACAAAAAGTAGCCAGCAAAGGAAAACCTTGGAAAACACCATGCTTTCGTTTGTATACGAAATCAGAATTTGGCTCAATGATAATAGATGTATCCTTTAAGTGACTTTGTATTACTTCAAATACTTGTTTCTTGGACAAACTGACCGTATTCAACTTGTCTTGAAGAGTTTGCTGGAGTGTATTATGCACACTGGATGAATTGGGAAAATCAAAATCTGTGAAATTTGACTGGTCTTTTATCAAATATTTCATTTTGGATACCTTTAATCCTCGCATGGTTGAAAACTTTCGGATAAAGAACTGTTTACTATCAGCATCGTCAATAAATAGTTCTTGAATGTACCGAAAAATCTTTTCTTGGTTAAGGCTATCATAACAATGTTTCATATCGAATTTGAGCATGTATAATTCAGGCAAGTGGCCATAGGTCGATAAAAGTGACTCTTTGAAAGATTTTAATAGTGGTATAAAATCTCTGGTGGAGAAACAATGGGGAAAAGTTGGTGGTTGTTTTGCATCCATTTCTTTGATTTTCATCGAGATTATCTGTCTCGTTGGACGAATAAAATTTTCAAGGTAATTCCAGTACTCAATTTTGTTTCTCTCTGCATCCTTTGGGGATACAGGTAGTTCTGTATTAAAGCTCATTTTGGTAGGTACGCAGAGTAACCTCAAATCCTTGACTTTAGGTATCAACTTTAAAGTTCCAAAATTGAACTTGTGTAGAATCAGTGAATCGTGAGAAAACTCAGGACATTGAACTTTTTTCAAATACTTGTTGCTATATGACAACATCCAGTGTTCTTTAATTTTCATCCACGTAACCTGAGGAATGTAAATCAAGGACAGACCTCCATTGTTAGGCAGCTCCGCAACATACCAAAACGAACTTACGATTCTGGGTACAATGTGAGAAAATATCCACAGCACAAAGCAAGAAAATGTTTTTGATCTGAATTCAAATTCCTGGACTGAATGTGACTTATTCTTACCTAGCCAGAAAATTGAACTAATATTGATCGATCGAGTCAAATCCTCTATCGGAAATTTCTCATATGGCCCGCCATTTAAGAACTTTACTATGTTATTGAGAACAACCGCTTTGTTAGCCATTGTTCCCCAGGTTTCAAAAGGGATTACTTTTCCAAATACTGCGAGAACAAACTTTATAACATGCTTGATATCTGTAGCTGATTCGCAAATTGAATCTTCATAGTATCTTAATGATACTAGATTCTTGAAGATTTGCTCTTTGTTACACTTGTCATCATTATCAATTATCTTCTCGAGAAGCTTTTTAAACTTCCTGTACTTTTTAGGGGTATTCTTGCCCCTAGTTTTGACTCCTAAGACTCGTTCGAGTACCTTCAAAGGATCATTATTTGCTATGAATGGAGTAACAATTTTAATCTTTCGAATTTTGACGCTCTTAACCCTATACAACATTCTTGTTTTGGAGATATGGTTGTCCAGATTGACCTTAAACTTGGGCATATAGCCCCAAATCTGGATTGAACCTCCAGACTTGTGCTGCAAGAAGCAGTTTGTACTCATGATAAGTTTCATGAACCTTTCACCTCCTAGTGCCATGTAAACGGCGTTCCAGAAGTGTTTCTTTAAAAAGTTTACACCAAAACTCACGTATGTGTTTATAGTTTGGGATTGAACATTGTGATATCCACGAACCAACAAATTTGGGGACTTTTGGGATGTAAGATACCAGACTAACTGGTCAATGAAATCGATATAAGTATTTGTCAGGGATAGTACTGGACTTGGATGCGGGTGGTACGCGTCTTCAATTGAAATTCGCTTACTTAAGTCAGAGAATTCGGGATTGGACACTCCAATAGTATCAAGTGTTTCTCTGTTAACCAAATTGGATAAGTACTCTTCCAAAGATTTCCGGTCGTTGTTCATGCATCAATGTGTTGTTCCAGTTAGTATAGTTGATTTTGATGTGCAGTAGTGTACCGGTCATAATAATCTCATTTATGATACAGAGGATTACACAGGACTCTTTTGCCCAATGGTTCAAAAGATAAAAAGCAAGAATTCGGACAATGTGGATCTAGAGAGAGGGATATTATATGGATGCTTGCAACAGGTCAGGTCCTCGACTTCGAGAAGTTTGGACGCTGACAATCCTCCATTATTCAAGGTTTGGTGTTGTGAGATCGAGCCTCGCTACACTCCCGTGGTGGTATCCTTAATACGCGATCAGATTTCACCGGAAGAGGAGAAATCGTTGATCCACATAAAGCGCTTTCATAAAATCAATTCTAGCGATACTTCTACAATGATTTTGAGGATAGTTCTTTGCACCGAGAAATTTCTCAAAACTGAAGAGGAGGTAACTAAGTTTTTCACTAAGCACAGGAAACATGATTTCGACTTCAAAATAAGAGATATGTTAATACCTTCGGTTGCTCCTCGATCGAAGAAGATGAGCGAACTTTGGTCAAACAAGTATTGGCCCATGTCTTGGAAAGGTGATCCCAATCATCAGTTTCTATTACTGGCCCAGTTTGATATACAATTCGAAAGAAATCAGATTAGTCGCTTGATAAATGAAGCATGTGCTTCGGAAAGACCCAATGTACTGCTAACATACATAGGAAGACTCACAGGAACTCTGGATTTCCAACTAATGTCGAGTGAAATTAATCATGGATCCCTGAATCCATATGATCATAGCATTATAAAGGCCATCAATAAAGTAGCAATCGAGGAGAAGAAGAAGAGAATACTCGGGGAAGCTGATGAAGTGTACTTGTGCCAGGATTTAGTTGTGTACACAACACATGAACCATGTGTAATGTGCTCTATGGCCCTAGTGCACTCTCGTATTTCACGCATCATATATTTGGGAGCCAGCTCTCAAACAGGAGGATTGGAGAGTAACTATCAGCTAGGCGACAGAGACGGATTGAACTGGAAATTTGATATTTGGAAATGGATTAATAGTGAGGAAGTTGAGCTTTTTAATTCTAAGCTTTCAGTTATAGACAAAATCCACTATTGAGTATTCTGTAAGCTATTTTAATAGATATTCCAATTTAGAAAGAGTTACTAAGGCGTCATTGTACAATGTTTTCTCCTTTCCAGAATCCGAATTCCTCCCATAACGCAAATCACTTAGTAACTGGATTATACCTTCAGTTGTGGAGATAAGTTGGGCGATTTCATAGTCCAATGAAGAATTCTGACTGACCAATACATCGCACAACTTGTTGAGTCTCTTTTCAATCGATGTAATTGATCTTGCTCTTAAAACAGAACCTGGTTGGATATCTGTAGTTGAGGTGACTGGTACGTCGAATTCCTGAAGTATGCTCTTTGTTACATGTTGTACACTTTCACTCTTTCGTTGCTTTTGCAACTCCTCGTAGACCAATTGACATAGTTTGTCCAGGCAATCTGGTGGCATAAGCTTGATGAAAATCTCATACGGTACGAATGACTGTAATGAAGAATTATTACCTAGGAAGTTCTCGAGAATCAGACTTGACTTCATTGTGTTTAACCTTTGAAAGTCAGGAATATGTTAATATAGCGAAGTCGTGCGAAATACATTTATCAATTTCAAAACACCGAGAAAATTGAGCTGAATGCCCACACAGTTAGTATAACTTTTAATAGGCCCAAATGTCGGCATTATCATATGATTCTTCATCATTCTATGTTCAGGGATTGGCAACAAGTATTTCAAAGCGGCTTTTCAATGACCCCGACAATTCACTTGTATTGAACATAGCACCAACTGGAAGACAAGCAAAGAGAAATGCTCAACAGATCAACTACTCTGAGGAATATGTCGACGATTTTGATTTTGAAGATACTCCATCCTCTAGTATCTTGAAGAATACTTCAAGTACCCAACAGCAATCGAACATCCAAAAGTACACGCCTGCTCGAAATACAATACACATTAAAGATCTTGAAGATGAGCATAGAATTAGTGAACTTGTTCATAAGACCGATACTTTAATACCTATTAAGATAAGTCTTGAGAACCCAAACTCTACACACAAGGTAGTTGATTTTTTTATGTGGAATTTGAATGAAACATTGATAACGCCTCAACAGTTTTCAGAAATATTATGTACCGATTTGGAATTACCCAATTCAATGCAACAGCAGGTCGCAGAGTCAATAATTCAGCAAATTGAAGACTACAATTATGTTTCAAACCTTCAGCTACCACTTGGAAACCCATGTGTCATTATTGTTGATTTATCGGTTAATCTCAACAAACAATTGTATCAAGACAAGTTTGAGTGGGATTTAGCTCAATCTGAAGTAACACCAGAACAATTTGCTCATATAGTAGTTTCAGACTTGGGTTTATCATTAGAGTTCAAGCCGGCCATTTCACACTCATTGCACGAGATTTTGATAAGGGTTAAGAAAGAGATTATTGATGGTTCTTACAACAATGAAATTCATAACTTGCATTTGTTAAGAGGATTGATTTTTGAAAGTGGTATACGTATAGCGACTGAAGCCAGTGTACAAAATGGAAATGATCATTGGGAACCAGTTGTGGAAATGCTTTCTCAAGCCGAGATTGAGAAGAGGGAGAATGAGAGAATTAGAAATATGAGAAGACTTAAGAGAGAAAACATGAGGCGAGATTATGATGACTTTAGTTCAAAGAGAAGACAAACAGCTTCAAGAAGAAGATACGACGAGTTGGAGGGAACTTGGAGAAATCTGTAAATTAGTGTACCTTTATAAAATGCATAATCAAAAAGAATCCGAATATATACAATCTTTTATTGATGCTGGACTCTACTAGTTTGATATTCTATTTGTTGAATAGATACTAATAAATGTTATATTGATCCAATTGTGATTTATTGTAAATAATAGACTACTGTCAGTTTTGCAACCTCCTGGCGAATCTACTTTTAAGTCCGTGATTACAACATAATTTGGTTTGGCAGATTAGTGTAATTTAGATAAAATTTAAAGTTCTTGAATCCCGACTGAGACAAATAAAACAGAACACATTACAGCGTTTCCAAAGTACATTCGAACCCTCGGCCCGGAATTGTTCGTAATACGGGCAAGCCAAATTTCATAATACGGGCCGGAACTTTTCATACTAAGCTTCAATTAAAACTATACCTCCCGTAATCATGAAACTGGTGCTAGCAAA